ATGTACGATGAGAAAAGTACGAGTAGTGTGGGCAGCGAGCGACGAGCAACAATGATGGATGGTGGGTATCACGACATCTGTACTACTACTAGAGAGTATCGGAATATGGGAATATGTCTAATTCAAGTCGTGACCGGGGGGGGGGGGGGGGGGGGAAGGGATGACTATGACAGGAAGGGTGGTTGGCTCTCTCACTCAATACGAGTATGGTGTGATGGGGTAATTGGGCCCATGATCAAGTTCGAGATTACTCAACCTCCACCTGGGACGCAAGATGGCGTGATTGCTCAAATGGGCCCTCATATCCACTCTTTCTCACTGGCTGCATGCCACGTGTATTCACCGATCCATCCTGCATCTCGACTGCATCGCTTCCGCTTCCACTCTCCCAACCATCCCGCCAGCCAACCCGCAATGCCCGCCATTCACGTCACCCACGCTGCACCATACACCCCCCCCCCATTCCGAACACCCACAAAAAGCACGAATACGTGCCTCGGCCTCCCTCGGCAACCCCGGTCCAGATGTTCGGATGTTCGGTGTTTAAATCATACCCGCCTCGCGCGCCATCGCTCGTCTTACGCCCTCAGCCCTAAGCCCTCAGCCCAACCTCCGTGTCGGGCCTCTAGCCTCGGACACCGAACACACGCGTGGGTGCGCGTCAGACCGAGACCGGTGTCGACTGTTCATGTGATGACCAGTCATTCGGAGGTGACCTAAAGTCGGACCGAATCTTGCAGGACAGGATTGTCTGTGCGAACTGGAATCGCCGAATTGCAGATCATGTAGTGCGGGGGTGGCGTGCGGGTTTGGTGAGCTGGGGATTCATCAGATCATGCAAATGAGTGAATCTCTAATCCCAACAAGCTCATGGACTGAACCGCGCAGAGTCGCGTTGCATGCATCGCTCGCGTCGCGCCCCTTTCGTGCACTTGCACATGCCCAAGTGCACATCCTTATACTGTACCATGGCATAACGATGGAATGGAAACTGACAGGAACGAGCGCTGGAATCAGATCAGATAACAAGCAAACCCCGTTATGCTTGTCAAATTGCTTGACAACGGTGGCACGATGGTAGTTCAAACGCCGGAGGGAGTATTGCTGGGGCCGCTACGTATAAGTGTGAGAGTGCAACCGCTTCCCAGTGTCTTGTTGACCATCTTGTCGAGTTCAGTGTATCAAACAGGTTCGGTCATGACTTGACTAACGCTGGAAATCGGCCAGAGGAGTTCTCTCGGTGAGCCTGTGAGTTCCAATGCCAGACTTTGCCGCGTTCTGGATGTATCAATCTGATCGGACAGCCCAATAAGGCGAGTCCTTTTCCTTCTTCACCAAGATGCCTCCAATGTCGACTGTACTCACATAGTGGCAGTAGATTTCTGGCACCCAGGAGGTGATGCCCACTGCTCAGCGAAGGAATGAGTCCTAACACCCTCTCGGCTCAGCCTCCCCGGTCCGATCAACATGGTTACCGCCGACGACATCGTGCTTGAGTCATGTGCTCGCCATCCTGTTCTCGAGAAGCCGCTAATGACATGGCGGCAAGAAGCACTAGCGAACATCAGCGTCGTCACCGACGTAAACCGACAAAGCCAGCACACTAACTAGCTTGATAGCCTGACGCTGACAATCGCGGCAAGCTACTCAATCAATGGCTGGAACTCACGTACGCGAGATCGGGAGGCTTGAGCTACGAGAACCGAAATCACTCCGTCATGTGATACCGCGGCATAACATGCCCGGTCCCGCCATGCCCGTGGCGGAAGACGGAGATGTGGTGTTTCCAGATTGGGCCGACTGGTCTCATGCGCATGACGTTTCACTGGCAAGCCAGCAGCAGGATATCCAGAGCAAAAACCACGCTAATCTCGTGCCATGTGGTGTCGCAACTGGAACGCTCAAACCATTCAGAGTTGTTCGGCCGCTCAGACCGCTCAGATGCCCAACAAGTCGGGCCGAAGTGTACATAGCAGCCACTCTACCCCCACGCCACACCCACATCACCCAACACCTGCCACCCACCACGACCTTGACTACGTGCCGGCACGTCACGCGCCGTCGTTGCGTTTCATGCTTCGCCGTATCCCGCTGCCGAACCGCTGGGAATCGCATCCCGGGTTCGTACCTCGCCCAGGACTAATACCCGGGACTCTGGAGCGGTTCCTCGGTCTTGAGTGTCGAGGCGGCAGACCGAGTAAAGGCAGCAGCGGCGAAGGTAACAAACGCAGCAGCTATGCCGAACATGGCCGCCGGCTTCCGGTCTGTTATGATCCTCGCATCTCACCCACCTCCCGCTCCGTGCTCACTAACATGCCAACTTCCAGCCCACTCCTTCTGCAGCCCACTTGGATCACTTGCATACCTGACCCGCGCCCGCCGTCCGCTGACGTCGCCCCTATCCAGCCCATCCGCTCCTTGCTCCACCAAGCTCTGGTTCCGACTTCCGCTGCTTGATTTCCGGCACATTGTGTCACTTGCTCCATTGTGTCATGCCCGCTGTCATGCTTGGCGTAATGTAGCGTCCCTTGTGTCCTCATCCGCGGCGGTCCAGCATGGACCGAACATTACATGGCGATCATGTGCTCCCGAATCCTGGCGGCGACATCGGTGGCGGCTGTCGCTCGCTTGGAGCGCGACGCGGCGGATGTCGGCATACGGGAGAGATGCCGCTGGTCATGACCCACGCTTGTTGGGTTTGGACTCCGGGGCCTGCAGAGTTTCCAGCTTCCAGCATGCTCGCTGCCTCGAGACTCGATGTCAGCTTGATCCATCTCCCGTCCACCTATGCTGCCAGGGTGTGGCAGGAGGTAGAAGATATTACACGGGGACGTTGTCGCCTTGGCTGAGACGTGTGGGGATATCCCTCTCGCCTCGACGCGAGGGGAGCCAATATCGCCACCTTGATGCTTGCGATTGATTGCTCGCGATTGCTCGTGTCATCCCTCGCGCGAACATGCACCCTGGCTTCATCATGACGAGCCGTTGCGCTGCCATCTCTGATTCGACTGGGCGATCATCATCTGCAACCCAAGATCTGCAGGTACCCGTGGTGGCTGAAACGTGAGTGCCAGTGACGCCTCCCGGTCCCGTTTCCGGCATGTCCCGGCGCCGGCGCCTCGGGTTCCATCATTGTCTCAGGCCTCTGGATGGCATGCATGCACGTACTGTATGAGGTGTCGCGGCAAACAAGACAAGGTTAATGCATCAGTCATTGCACTTGGCCAGCTTACCGGCTCATCTACAACATCTAGGGCGCTGATGCCGTTGCGACAGCCATCGGCCCGGCGTAGTTCCGAGTGTAATGTGTGTCAGTGAGATCTGCCGCATCCGCGCTCGTGCGGCTTCCGCATCCGCCGTGCATACTAAGCCATGACTCATGACCAGCTGATTCGGCGCATCCAATGTGCCGGCGACGCGGAACGGCGACCCAGAACCAGAAGACAGCACCCAGGCTGGTGGTAAGCCTGTCCGCCAGAAACGAGGTCCCCGCGGGCCTGCACTCGGCTCGGCGATCAGACACGCCAGGGGAGCGCCAACTTTCCACAACCCAGGTTTTCTGGCCGGGTACCGCCAGCCATCTCACGACATTACCTCTGAGCAGTCCCGCGTTTTGGATGATGTGAGACGGCTGGCGGCTGGAGGCGCCAGGCAGACGAGGCGAGTCACGCGCAATCGACGCGTGCCGTTTCAGCATTCCTTCCGTCATGTGCCTGGGGCCTCCAGCGTCTGCCGGCACCTCGCCCTGACCCAAACCCGTGCCAAGTGGGCGACGAGTGTGGCACTTATGATCTACATCCACTCGTTGGACTTCAGTAGACGGGAGGGTGCGCGGGAGTGTGTCTGGACAATGGCGAGCGGGATGATGGCTGGTGGAGGGGGGGGGGGGGGGGGGGGGGGGGGGGGGGGGGGGGGGGGGGGGGGGGGGGGGGGGGGGGGGGGGGGGGACAGGGGGGGCCGGGGGGGGGACGAGGAGGAGGAGGACGAGGAGGACGAGGAGGACGAGGAGGAGGAGTGAATTACTGGAGCAAAGGAGCGGAGGGCAGGTCGGAGACAGAGGTGCGGGAGCCAGTTCTGTTGGCCCCAGCCGTAACCCGTCGGCGGAAGAAGCAGGACTGAGAAAGCAGGAAAGACAGACGGAGACATCTCCTTGACGGACGACAGTGGCATCTCCTCTGAAAGAGATATAAACCTGCCCACCCTCGCTCCTCATCCCCATTCATCAAGTTCGCTCATTTCCCCACCGCTACTTTCAACTACAATGCTCGCCGCAGCGCTCCTTTCCGCCGCGACTGCTTCGGCGGCGGCTGTTGCCGTCGCCCCCGCCACCGAGTTCCAGGCCCGCAACGTCGGCCTTGGTGGCCTCCTCGCCGCCCCCGACGGAAAGTCGGACACGGGCTACGTCACGATCGACAACCTCCGTCTGGGCCAGGACCTCGGTGTCGACGGCAAGTCGGTGTATGTCGGCAAGGACGAGCAGGGCATCCAGCTCTTCCAGTTCGCGGACGGCGCCGTGGCCCCGCTCACGTACACTCCGGGCGAGACCAAGGACATCCCCGTCAACAACAACCTCTGCGAGGGGTGCGAAGACTCGAGCGGCCACGCGAGGCGCGAGATCTCGCTCCGCGACCTGGCCGGCAGCATTGGCGGCAACGACGGGTCCGAGACCGGTGGTAACGCCGACTTTGGCGACATCAAGATCGGCGAGGATGTCGGCGCGTCCGTCGGCCTCGACGGTGCCAAGTACGTCGGCAAGGACGACGACGGCATCCAACTCTTCCAGTTCCCGGACGGCACCGTTGCGCCCATCGTCCTGAGCGCCGGCGACCCCGCCGAGGGATACACGTACAACGAGGGCACGGGGCTGTGCGAGGGATGCAAGGACAGCGAGGGGTGGTCGCAGAAGCGCAGTGTGGCCGAGGAGCTCGAGCTCGCGGAGCGCGAGGCCGAGGGCCGCTACGAAGTCGCACGCGGCGAGCAGCACGAGGAGCGCTTCTTCCTCAAGTTCCTTGGCTTGCTCGGCCTCAAGATCAGGATCGGCAAGGCCATCTTCTTCGGCCCAGGCCGCTGGCGATGCAACGTCGCCCACGGCGGCTACATCAACATCAAGGGCTGTCGCCGCGGCACCTATATTGGCATCCGCCACGGCCGCTACGCCGGCTGCAACCCCCGCGGTGTCCAGATGTTCTACTTCCCCGGCCGCGGTGTCTGCCCACTCCGTTGCATCAAGGGTCCCGTCCGCCACGGCTGGAAGGTCGACCGCGGCGGCTACTGCAACAACTGCCACCACTCTGGCTGGGGCTGGGGCCACAACGGCTGGTGGAGGCGTGACGAGATCGTCGAGGCGCGTGACGCCGACGCCAGCCCCGACGCCGACGCCGATGCTGCCGCCCTCGCTGTCCGCGAGGCCAACCCTGAGAAGCACGACGAGCGCTTCTTCCTCCTTGGCCTCGGTCTCCTTGGCCTCAAGCTCAAGGTTGGCACCGCCCTCCTCCTCGGCAAGGGCAAGGTCCTCTCCTACCTCGCCCACGGCGGGTATGTCAACATCCCCCGCTGCCGCCCTGGCACCCACATCGGCATCCACGACGGCGTCTACGTCGGCTGCAACCGCGATGGTGTGCAGATGTTCAAGTGGGGCCACGGCGGCGTCGGCCCCCTCAAGTGCACGCGTGGCCCTGTCCGTCGCGGCTGCCGCGTCCGCAACAATCTCTGCGACGTTTGCCACCACGATGGCCACTGGTGGGGTAACCGTTGGGGCCGTGACGCCGACATCGACCAGCTCGACTAAGCGCATAGCACGAGGCAGAGTAGTGCCGTGTGGAGCAAGCCTGCAGCGCCCTCCCCGGCTAATTTTCTTCTCGGCAGGGCTAGTTTGCTAGTGATCAAGGCTAGTTATGGACCATAGAATCAGTAGGACACTATGTTGGCATATTCTTTCCGTGCGCTCAGGTTGACCATGTGAACGGCGGGACGCTTCTTGCTTTGTCAGCGATCAGCGGCAGCGAACGCTGGACATCTGATCCCGTTCAGTGTCGGTGTCTGCACGTCGGTCACGACTGGAGGTGCAAGACTAACATTAGTCAATAATCCAACGGGAAATGAGACTATACATTTAGTTACCATTCTCGACGAACATGCGTGCAGCGCAGGTTGCCTGGATTGAAATATCCGTGTATGTGGCTCTTCTCTACATACTGAGAGGCGTCAAACTCCATCGGGTGATGCCCATAGCCCAGTCGCCAGATAAAGCAAAGAGTCCGGAGCCGAGGAGGGCGGCGTCGATTGGGGCGCAGATGTATGCGAGGAAGATGGGACGGATTGATGTCTCGGACGTAGTCTTGTTGAAGGTCACAGATGGTCGTCAGGTGAGTCAACTGTCACGACTCGTCAGGTATTGAGTCACAACGTCAGCAGCGCATACATCGTCTACGGATGCCTGCGCACCCGATCGGTAAGAATATCCTGGATGGAAGACAGAAGTATGCTGGGTTTTCGCTGTTGTGGCCCACGCTAGTACCACCCCGCGTACGTTTTCGCCATCGTCTCCAACCGCTCCTCCTGGTACACCTTCCACGCCGCCTCGATCTCAGAACGCACAATGGCGCACCGCACCGGGTCGATGCTCTTGACCTGGCACACCAGTCCAGCGCTTACCGGCCGGTGATCGCTCACGTTTACTTCGTACCGACGGTAGCTGATCGACGAGATGCGCGGCGACTTGGTGAACAGAACGCGGTCGCACCACGCCGGGATGCGCCGCTTCTCGCTCGAGTCGTACTCGTTCGTCCCCGGGTCGTACTTGTACGTCGGTGCGAACGTGATTGGTGCCTCGGCGAAGGTGCGCAAGCGGAAGGCATGATTGCCGCGCATCTCGGCGCGCAGCTGGTCGTACTCGAGCAAATAGTTGAGGTCGCCTGAGAGAATGCTGCTCTCAACTACCTGGCGGCGCTGGTCGATACGGTAGTTCAAGTCGCCGTTGAGCACGACCATCTCGTGATCGAGGATTGCTTCGCCGTTTCCGCCATGTACAAACCACTGCGGCGCGCTCTTTGGGAAAATGTCTTTGTTCTCCATGATCGCCGCGAGATCGGCATTGCGCGCCGCTTTGTGCCGCTGCCCGGCAGCCAGGTGCACATTAATGAAGCACAGCGACGTGTCGTCCAAAACCATGCGCGCGACGATTGCGCCCTTGTTTCCGTAGATACCGCCGATGCCGCGCTTCACAGTCGTGATTACGACGTCCTTGATGGTTTGTTGAAGCATCTCCTCGTTCTTGGTAAACACACACGTGAAGAGCCCGACAAGCTGCTCGGAATGCAGTTTCATGTACTCGGCCCCGGGAATGTTGAGTTGGATCGCAGAGGTGAGCTTGTCCGCCCACGCGCGGTAGGCTCCAGAGACGCGCTCATTGGTAGCACCGCCTCCGTCCTTGCCCTTGCTCCCAAACAAGAGTGTTTCTGCGTGTGAGCTCTGTCAATATCCAGGGAAAATACTCACTGGCAGTAAGCTTCTTGTCTGTGAGGGGTACGACCTCCTGGAATCCAAAGACGACGATGTCGGGTGATTCGACGGAACCGAGAACCTGCGAAAGAAAGTTGACATTGTCGATGCCTCCAGAAGACAAGTCAGACGGCTTGGCGCTGTCAATATTCCATGACACGACGAGGACCTTGACGTCGCGGAAGGTGCAGTAGTCGGGCTGGCGCTCAATCATGCGCTTCTCGATCCAATTGACCGCACGTAGACCGTCCCACGAGGACATCGTGTCGCGGGTTACGGACCAGAGGGGAAGCCGTTTCTGCAGAGGAATAGCGCGAGGGTCAACCAGTAGCGCGCGGATGGGATCATCCTTCGCAACCGTCCAAAGGTTGCTGGTCGTCCACGGCTGCTGATCAATGTTCCAGACGTGAATCTGCCCTCGACGATTCCCTGCCCATAGGTGGTCTCCTACTCCTTCCAGCGCAAGAATATCTGTCGTCGACACCTTGAGAACCTGCACGCAGTGCAACTCAGTGCCAGCGAGTTGCCAGAGTGACACAAACCCTCCCTCGTGTCCGATGTATACGAGATCAGACTTGAAAGGAACAACAGTCGCGGACGTTGCAGATCCCGTCCACTCTGGAGTGAGGTTGGTACGTGGTGGCGGTGCGTTTCCAAGCACAAATGGCTCGTACACGCGGACCGTCGGGCCGCGTACACCAGCAGTGGTCGTCGCAGAGCGCACAGTCGGTGCCGTTGCCGTCCAGAGCTTGCCCTTGATCATCTTCGCAAACGTCACGCGGTCAGAAACGCGCATGGTGCGGAATAAACGGAAGTTGCCCGCTTCGCCCTTGTCACATGGCTCGGGAACCTCCCACACATTCAGCTTTCCGGTGTCATCAAGCGTGAGGATGTAATACTCGTGGCGCATAATGTGGGAGACTGCCGAGGAGTGGGCACCGGGCTTTGTCGCTGTGACGCGCCCAAACTCGATGTCGATCTCCCAGAGATGGCCGTCCTTATTACCGCACCAGAGATACCGCCCTTCGCAAGTGGGATCACGCGAGGGACGGAATCCGAGGGCAGTAATTCGCGGCTCTTTGACGCGAAGCTCGAAACCGGTGTCTTCCTTCTGATCCATGTCTAGGATGGGGTCGTTGGATTTTGTGACGTCGTACACCAAGACGTGGCTGTGGCCTACTGCCACATATTGACTATACACCGCGAATGATGTGATACTGTGTGGAGGACGGACCGTCGTGCTCCTCTTGCCGTACACAGGGGCCGTTTTGTTCGCATAGGTCGAGTCGGGGTGCTCTTCCAATAGACGCTGCGCCGTAGAAGACAGCGCGGGGGCAGGACCTTCATCTTCGTCATAGTCGCTATCGGCGCCGGAAGTGGTGCGCCCCGGTGAAGCTGAACCCCCATTCATGCGCCGTACATCCAATCTTGACGCCGCCGAGACCGTGTTGGCGCGGCCAAGGCCTGCGGCAGACGAATGACCAGCTGTACGCAGCGGTGGGGGCGGTGGCGGGTCATAACCTGGCTCAACAGAAATAGACGCTCCCCGCTGGCGATGTGAGGGGGGTGGGGAGGAGTACGCTGAGGTAGGCACCGAGTGGACGGTTGCCTGGCGAGCAGGTCGACGAGGAGGCGGTGTTCCAGAAGTTGGAATCGTTACCCCGCTGACCGAGTCACCTCGAGGCCGCTGCGGAAGCGCTGGGCGCTGCTCAGCCATCGGCACCACAGTTGGTGCAGAGGGCTTGTTGCCCGGCAGTGGGGGCTTGAAGATGCTGGACTCTGAGGACGAAGACGACATCATGGTCGCTGAGCGTTGAGGTGGAGGGGGCTTGTTAGTCGGCAGCGGTGGCGGAGCGTCGATCAAACCAGCGGGTAGTGTCGCTTTCCTCACTGGCAATGGTGGCTTCGAGGGTGTCGACGATGAAGCGGTGGGCGCGACGGTCCCTTCGGTTGGTACCACGGGTTGCGGACTGACCGGCCGTGGGGGTGCAGGTCGGCGAGAGCCACTTGTCGAGATGAGCAATGGTCGCGGGCTGGCGCCTCTTGGATTTGAAGGGGGCGTCGAGCCATGGCTATCTGGCTCGAAGGAGTAAGCCTGAGGACTGGATGACATTGGAAGTGAAGGGGGAAGTCGAGACTGAGCCGGGATCGCAAGGGGGGCTGGGCTCATGGTTTGAGGCGGAGGCGGAGGTGGAGGGCGGCTGGAAAGCGAAGAGGAAGTCGACCGGACTGTAGATGTTGCGGGCGCGAGAGCAATCTCGGGGATAGGCGAGGCCGTGCGTGATGCCGGCCGCGATGTTCCTCGAGACTGGGGAGGTGGAGGCGCCGGTCCTTTGGCATGCGATGCGGGCGACTGTTGTGAAAGTGGAGCAGACTCTACTGCGACCTTGGGCGCCGGTTTGGCCGGGACCTCTGGCGGCGCCATTCTTGACCGCGCGGATGTCGCTTGAACGCTCTCGACTTCCACAGTGCCATTGCCAGTGGGAAGGGGAGAGCGTACGACTGGCTCTGGGGACGCTGACCTCTGCGTCCGAACGGTTGAGCTGCCAGTGGCTTGCCCGAACCTCTGCCGCAGCGCCGTCACGCTTACAGGCGCATCGCTCTCAACTTCTGCTGCGGGCTGCGTGTCCCCCTCAAGCGTCGCTTGTCTCACATTCGCCTGAGGAACGGGCTTCGGAAGCACGCGACGCGGATGTTCGGGCGAAGATGTCAAAGCCGCCCGCCCCGTCTCTGGAGGCTCAGCCGGGACCGATGGCCGCGTTGCTCGCAGGCCAGAAGGTGTGGTCGGGGCAGGTGGGACGGACGTAGTGAAAGATTGGGAAGGTGCAGTCTGGGCAGGGAAGGAGGCAGCAACTGGGGAAGTGGGGGAAGGACTGCGTCTCAAGCTTGATGGATCAAGCGGTCTCGACGGCCTGAGCTGCGGCTTGGGCGCCAAGCTCGGAGGTGGGCGGAACGAGGACGGCGGTGCTCGCTTCACAACATCAGGAAGGCTCTGGTAATCAGCTAACTGACGTAGTGCTCAATCTGTTGGCGCACTTACGCCTGTTGAGGACGAGGCCGATGTTGTCGGCCTACTAGGCGGGGCCGAGCTTGGGACTGGGGACGCTGCGGCCGAAGAGCCATTGCCTGGACTGTTTGGTCGCACAGACGGGCGTATGCTGTGATGACCTTGAGCGAGGCTCTCGAACTTGGAACGCAACGAGGCTATGGAGTGGTGGTGTTCGTGCTCGGTGTCCTCGTCATCGTGGTGGTGGTGGTGTAGGTGAACGCCCATGTTGGTGAAGTGTCAGCGCACCACTGCTGACGACGACGGGCTGAAGAAGAGGAGTGAGAGAGAGAGAGAGAGGGAGGAGATAGTTAGTTCAGAGCGATGAGGAGAGAGAGAGAGATGAATGCTGCGAGTTGGTGACAGAACGTGCGGCGTTGCTCGAGAGGACGTCGCATCCACCACCATTTACCCCGCAGTCAACCCCGCATTCTAGTGAGCTCAGTCTCCTTCAAGCACCGCCTCTCCTATGCCCAAAAGATCCTGCACTCAGTAGTAGTAACTTGTTCCGTCTTCAGTCTGCTCAGCTGCTCGATTGATTTCCGAGTCGTTTGCTCTTCTACATCTATCTTTACATGCATTGATGGGAGATTGCGAGATTGTCCACTAGTTGCGTGTCAGAGCGAGTCAGGATACCGAGTCACCCCAGATGACAATGCCCTCCCTGTGACTGCCCGCTCTGCCCGAGATAGCCTTCCTCCACTTTGTTTATTATCCACCCCCACTTTAAAAGACGGAACGACAGCCAACGTCCAGATCGCATCCAGCCGGGCAGTAGTAGTGACGAGCAATCCAACACCGCCCGCAAACACCTCTTGAACGCCAAGAGGCCAGCACGACAGCTACGACTCGAGCTATGTCGCATGGCCGTCACACCGTACCCAAGCACCGCGCTCTCCCCGAAAAGGAGTCGCGGCTTTTCAAGGAGGTCCTCGTGAGTAGTATCACAGTTCGCCCTGTCCATCGCCAGCATCCACTGACTCGACAGCAATTCTACGAAGCCAAGCAGTTCAAGAAGGGCATCAAGGCCGCAGACCAGATTCTCAAGAAGTTTCCCAACCATGGCGGTGAGCCTATGGCCCTGTAGTGCGCTGACTGTCCAGAAACCATTGCGCTGAAGGCGCTGACGATCCACTCGTCGCTGCCATTCCCTCCCACCCCCACGTCAGTGCCCAAGGCCGAGGAGGCCGAGGCGATGGCGCGCGTGGCGATCAAGAAGGACATGACGAGCCACATCACTTGGCACGTGCTCGGGATCCTGGCGAAAACGCGCAAGGACTGGGACGAGGCGACCAAGGCGTTTGCAATGGCTCGCAGGCAAGACCCAGACAATATCCCTGTTCTGCGTGATGCGTTTGCCCTCGCAACTCACACGCGCAACTACGAGTCCGCAGCCGAGGCCCGTCACCACTTCCTCTGCCTTCGACCGCAGATCCGCTCATCGTGGCTCGGCCTCATGGTTGCGCACGACTTGGCCGGCGACTTTGAGGAAGGTATCAAGGTGTTCGAGAGCTACGAGAGCATCTTGCAGGAGGATGGTGCAACTGCCCCGGAGCGCGCCCAGGTCCTCCTCTTCGTCATCAAGATGTACATCAAGGTCGGCCGGGCGCAGGACGCCCTTGACCGCCTGGAGCGTGGCCTCAAGGACGGCGTTCTCTCACCTCGCGGCGAGGCTACTCTCATCCACGGTAAGCAAGGCGGTCAAAGTGGTAGCTAATACATAGCGCAGCTGTTCGGCGAGCTGGGCCGCAACGAGGAGGCTGAGGACAAGTACCGCCAGCTGCTTGAGCAAAACCCCGACAACCTCGAATATTACCGCTTGTTCTTGAAGAGCCGCGGGCTTGACATGTCGGGCCCTCTCGACGACGATGCTACCGCCAAGGTCCTCAAGGCGCTTGACCAGTTTGCCGAGCAATTCCCTCGTTCGACCGCGCCGAAGCGCCTGCCCCTGGACGTTGCTAAGGGAGATGAGTTCCGCAAGCTCGCGAGGGCGTACCTTGTCCGTGGGCTCGAGCGTGGCGTGCCCTCGCTCTTCGTCGACGTCAAGGGCCTCTACACGGAAGCGGCCAAGATGCAGGCCGTCGGCGAGCTTATGGAGGAGATTGTGCGCGATCTCGAGGCCGAGCACTCGTTGCGCGGCGACGGTGAGTGGAAAGTCGGTGAGGGCGGCGCCGAAGGCAGGCGTTGCGAAGGACCCGGTGCGAGGCGCAGGGCAAGGAGTTTCAGGCGCTCGAAGCGCCCGGAGTATGAAGTCTATATGGGCTTCTCTGGCTGAAGACAGAACATTACTAACTGCAGACACCATTCCCCCGCCGACCGCGTTGCTCTGGGCCTACTACTTCCTCGCGTTGCATCTTGTGCACCCACTGCGCGCTCAGGCGGAGCACAAGCGTGCGCTGGAGCTGCTCGACGTTGCATTGAAGCACACGCCAACGCTGCCTGAGATCTACATGGCCAAGGCGATGGTGCTGAAGCGCGCAGGGGACCCGCTGGGCGCCGCGTACGCGATGGAGGAGGCGCGCCAGCTGGACTTGCAGGACCGCTTCCTAAATGGAAAGGCAGCCAAGTACTGGCTGCGCGCTGGGAATGTTGAGAAGGCCGAGGAGCTCCTTGCTCTGTTCACCAAGAAGGAGACGACCGCGGTGCAGGACCTCATCGACATGCAGTGCCTGTGGTTCCTCACGGAGGAGGGCGCGGCGCACACGCGCAACGGTGCCCTCGGCCTGGCGCTTAAGCGGTACCAGGCTCTTGTGACCGTTTTCCAGGAGTATGAGGACGACCAGTACGACTTCCACTCGTACTGTATGCGGCGCATGACGTTCTCTTATTACATCTCTTTGCTCGAGTACGAGGACAGGCTGCGCGCTCACCCTGCGTTCCTGCGCACGGCCCTCGCCGCGATCGACATCTACGTCCGCGTCGCCGACGACCCGTCCATCACCGAGGTGAAGCTCACGCCCGAGGAGGAGGCGGAGCGGAAAAAGGCCGCCAAGAAGGCCGCCAAGGCCGAGGCCAAGGCCCGCAAGGCGGCGCAGACCTCGGGCGAGAAGAAGGAAGAGGGGCCTGTGCCTGACGCCGACCCGCGCGGCGAGGCCCTCCTCAAGACTGAGACGCCTCTCGAAGACGCCCTCAAGCTTTGGAAGCCCCTCAGCATCCACCACGCCCGCAACCCCTCTACTTGGGTGGCAGGGTACGCGCTGCACGCGCGCACAGGCGCGTTCGCCAAGGCTCTTCGTGATCTGCGCCGCGCGGCGGCGCTCGACCCGCACGCACCCGGCCTCCTCCCGGCGCTGGTTGACTTCCGCCTCCGCCTCAAGGACGCGACCATCGCGCCTGAGGTGCGCGGCGCCATCGACGCCGTGCTCCCCTCGCTGATCCAGGGCGAGGTCGCGGAGCTTGCCGCTGCGCGCGCGCAGCAGGGGCCGCAGGGCGTGCTGGACGCCGCGAAGGCGCTGCTCCGTGCCGGCGACAACGAGGGCGCGCGCGACACGCTCCTCCGCCTCGCGGAGACGCCAGACGTCGCGCTCATGCGCGAGGCGCTCACCGTCCTGCCCGCTGAGGCGGCGGCGCTCAAGGCCGCGTACCACAAGGCTGCGCCGCTCGCGTTCGTCTTCGCCTCGCCCGAGCAGGAGAAGGCGCACGAGGAAGAGCTCAAGGCGCTCTACGCGCTTCCCACCCCCGACGCCCAGTAGATTGTTACAGTGGTCCGGTGGCCTGTCATACATACCCTATGCATGAGTGAGACATCGCGACATCTACTGTATTGATGATCTACATTAAGCCGAGTCGACCCACTCGATGCCATGCCCTGCGAGCGCGACGGTCGAGGGCAGGCGGCCGGGCGACGGCGACAGGATCGTGTACTTTCTACGCTGTGTGTCGATCGCCGTACTGCTGTCAGCTTCTGTGTCTTCTGCCTGACTGCTACTGCTACTCACATCACAACGAAGCCGAGCACCTCGCGCCACCCGATTTCCTCACGGAAGGGCACCTCGTCCTCTTCGAGGTCGACAGCACCAGCCACGGCGTCAGGCACGTCCTCTCCCTCCTGCGGCTCCTCCTTGACCTCCTCCTGCTTGACTTCTGTCGTATCGGTGCGGTCCTCGGGCGTAATAGCAACGATTGCGAGTACAGTGTTGAGGAGGCGGACGACATGCGCGGGACCACCGGGATCAACGCGCGTGAGGCGCGTAGGCGAGAGGATGTGGCTCGAGCCGAGGGGAAGGGCGCTGGTGGGTGCGGCGTTGCCCTCGCCCACGCGCAGGACGTGCAGCGTATCCCACCCAATCTGGAACGAGTGCGGGGAGAGCTGCAGCCCGAGGGGCGTGGTGCGTCCCACCAAGCCGGACAGCGCGGGCGGCAAGGTCGGCTCGCCGTAGAAGTAGTTGCGAACCTGTGCGGCGTGCACGAGTTCACGGTGGGCGTCGTCGACGTCGACGACGCCGCCGGATTTCGGGAGCTGCACAACCTTGACGGGCAGCAGGCGCTGCAGCTCGATAGTGAGTTTCTCGAGGCCGATGACGAGCACGAGGTCGACGTCGAACGATGCGATCGCCGCGCGCAGCAGCGGATATCGGGTGCGGTCTTCCTTCGTCTGGCCCGTGGCGGGGTTCGTGAAGGCCGAGGGCGCGTCGATGAACAAGCCGCTGTGCGCGACGTTGGCATCTTCGGCGCAGCGTGCGCGCCACGCCTCGCTCATCGACGCCACGAGCTTGTGCCAGATCGGCGCGCCGCGCGACGTCGGCTCCAGCGCACCGTACCAGTAGCCTAGGGTGGGGACGTCCGCAGACTGTGTGTTGGATGGGAGAGAGGCGGGCGGGCTCCCAAAGGGGTGCGCGAGGTGGTGCGAGGGCAGGGCGTGGGTGGGTGTCGAGAGGGATAGTGTGCCAGGAATGAGGTTGGCGGGCTGGGGTTAGAGATGCGCAAGCCGGGTAGAGTGGATTCCCAAGACAGACTTACACTGCTGGGATCGATGCCGGCGACTGTGACGTTCCATCCCAACCCCGTGCCCAGCGCCATGTTTACGAGACACTTGACGACTGTCGTCTTGCCGGAACTCGGTGGGCCGAGGACCATGACGCGCGGGCCACGATCCCCACTCCGCCGGGCGATAATGCGCAGCCGCTCGAGCGCGAGATGCAAGCTATGCAGGTGCGGCTGGATGGTTGATGTAGAAGTGTACTGCGACGCGGGGAGGGACGTGACTGATGGGTGAGCGCGAGAAGAGGAGTGCTGAGGTCATGTCGCACCGCGTTCTGCTCGAGCACCGGATCACCCTCCCAATGCGGACTCACCCTCAATCCTCGCAGCCGTTGGCGCATAGATCGCCCCCTTGGTATACCGATACAGCGGGTACCATGTCGTTGGGGGCAGCTCCTCGCCGTTGATGTATACTGGGTCGGGAGAATGTACCTGGAGTCAGTGGTCAGTCCCAAGGCAGACGCAGCGGCGCCGCGCAGCACACAAAAGGTAAGACGAGTTAAACCAGTCCAGCAGAAGCCTCAGCCTGAGCTGCAGATTGCGCGCACGTCGACTACAGAACAAGCTACAATGCTCATCACCCCTCCAGCTCGTTCTTCCCCTGTTGCCGCCCTCACAGCCGGCGCCAGCGCCGCACTCACCCTAACCGCGACGTTCTCGTCCGCCTCCAGCTCATACCGCCACTCGCTCCCGGGCTCGAGGTCGATGTGTGCTTCTTCCATCCTCGTGTACTCGTGGATGTTGATGTAGTTGAGAGTTGCTGTTGCTGTTGCTGTTGCTGTTGGTGTTGCAACTCGAATCTTGGGTGGCGGATGGGCGATAGCAAATTCCACGTCACCTTGGGGCCCCGTCACGTGAGGTCACCTGGGACTTGTCCCGCGAAGTTGCCACCCATCTCTAGTCTCGCGACATTGCAACTGCATTTCTCTCCGCGGAACAGCTCGAGGGATCGAGGGATCGACAACAAAGAGCATACGTTCAAAGAGCGAGCATTCAACCCGAGTAGAGCTGACAGCAGTGGCCTCGCTCAGCTCGCGCCGGCTCAGTACGTCCTCATTCACTCTCACATCCAGAGCGCAGACACAGCTTTACGGCTGCTAGCACCGCGCCGACCTTCCCCCACAAGCCGAAGATATGCAGTCCAACTCACCCCAGTGAAAGAGCTGTCTGACATCAAAACCAAGGGCACGCCGGCGGGCATCGCTCTCCTCACCGCCGACTCCATGCAGGAGTGGTTCTTCACCATTAGGGTGCTGGGCGACGAAACGGTGTACAAGGTATGTCACGGCAGGATTGGCTGTCTGGTTATCCGCACCAGTATAAAAATGCAGAGCAGGACTCTGACAGGAGACGGTACAAGCTAACTCCAGGACGAGGTATTTGCACTGCGAATGTACGGCACTTCGCTATGTCGCTGACGTGGAGGATATTTGGTGATCGATATCCGATCGAGTATCCTCAAGTATGTTGTGACTTGACTCGCTGCTGCACATTGGACGCGGACTGACCTTAGGTTACGTTTGTCGCAAACAAGGAATACCAGCCGCCCGTGCACCCGCACATCTACAGCAACGGGCATGTGTGCGCTTCGATCCTCGGTGCGTCCACCTCGAAGGGCCCGGATCATGAGCTCGCTGATATCAGGTCCCGAGTGGTCGCCCGTGCTCAATGCCGTGTCCATCTGCCTGACGATGCAGAGCATGCTCGCGAGCTGCAAAAAGAAGGAGTTGTGAGCCATGTCAGCCGTTTACGCTTACGAAAGGCCCCAGGGCAACGACCGGTATGTGGCCACTGCGCCTAGCAACCCGAAGCACACGCGGTGGGAATATCACGACGACGTGAGGTTTGTGTAGGGTGGGACTGACGACAGACCGTTTGAAGCAACTCTATCGCCAGTTCGCCCGTCGCCGGTCGAGGGTTAGCCATAGCACAACAACGCAGTGTAGTTGAAATCACCCATCATAATGTCATTACAAGTACAGTCTAAATGTTGCGAGCTAGCGAGCCCAAGCGTGCGAGCGAGTCTTCAGAGATCTCAGCTGCCATTAGCTAGATACATCGGTACAGGTAGAGCTTAGCTGACGTACCTTCCTCAATTGCGTCGGACTGCGCCACTGTCTTGAGCACGGCTTTCTTGCTCGACTCCTGCAGTTCGCCAGCGATGATGAGCTCGTCGAGGATTGCATACGCCTTCTGGAAGTTGAAAATGAGATCGAGCTCGCAGACCTGGGGTTAGTGGGAAGGCGGAAAAGTGTCGTAGGTGTGGTCCGGAGTGGGGAGGGAGGAAGCCGCGGAGCTCTCTCCTCAGTTGAACGAGCCAGTGACTCGACGGAAGATGGAGAGACATGGTCACTAGCAGCACTACTCCTCCTCGTCTCGCGACACCTCTGCGCTTACGGCGATACACTCACATTTCCAAAATACCGGTCGAGCACTTCGACGTAACGGTGGATGATCTCGAGGGTGATAAGTTCGTTGTCGCCAGGCGTGATAGATGTGATGAAGAATAGCGAAGCGTAGCGGCGGTAGATAACCTTGGTGTCTGGAATCAGCTTTCTCTCCTCTCAAAAAGACACTGTCGGCCAGCGGCAAAGCCTCGCAGCCTCAGCCATCGTCACCTCTTCTCGCAATGTCGTCGTGCCTTCCCCTTTCCACCTACTCCCCGTCGTACTTCACAGCGCCCTCCGTTCACCTCACACACGCAGCACTGCTCCACCATCTCCACCCGGACAGCACCGCTTCACGAGAACCACCGCCGCGCTCTTTAGCTCACCCTTGTACTCGAGGACATTGCACATTCGCGTTCGGCGGGCGAGAACAAGCTGCGTCACGTCCTTGACGATCTTGGCCTTTTGCTTGGACGGCAGCGTCTGGAACCACTTGGCAAGGCGGACTTTGCCTGTTGTCAGCGACATCAAAGCAAAGACGGCGGCGGTACGCGGAGCGAGTTAACGCCTTCGCCGGCCGGCATGGGGGACGAAGCGCGGGCCAGCAGGGTTGGCCGGTGTTCCGGCACGCGCAGAGCTCTCGCAACCCACGCGCACGCTCGTCGTCACTCCCCCCACGACGGAGGCGCACTCACCTTGCCGGGACACGAGCATGACATAGTTGAGCATGGCGGCGAGTGGGATGTGTCAACAAGAGTCGTGGCCATCGCGTCAAGTGGGTCGAGCATCAGGCAACGGGGTGTCGCGTGGCAACGTCACGTGATACCCCGCCTCCACCCCTTCCGCTTCATGCTTCATTGCGCCGGTTGCGATGCGTTTCCCACCTTCCCCATCACTCTCAGCACAACTCTTTCAAGACAGCTCTGAACATTTGAGGAGCAATGGCGCAAGACCCAGCGGTGGAGCTTCGCGAACTCATGGGCCGCGAGAGTGCCAAGACCCGGCTACGGCGTCTTGCTGTGAGTCATCACTGCTCGGGCGCTCCCTTCACAATGCTATCTCAGCAAGCTAACCCCAGTCTCACGCCCCATCAGCATTCAACCCCGTCTGCAGGCATACGACTGAGGCTGCATGCCGCGAAGCTGGGGAGGACTGCTCGCGCGTTCACTTCCAGCCCATCATTCGGCCATACACCGATGCGTCTCTGGGGCACTGCAGCTACCTCAATATGTGCTATGGCGAGCCGCTGTTCGCGGGGAATCCGAGTCTGGGTGACACAGGAGGAGGGACGAAGTTCGGGACAAAAGAGTGCCGGTGAGTACGTGGCGAGCTCCGTGAGACGGTCGGAGTAGGTGGGGCCGCCCCCTTCTCCGGAGACGCTGCAGTGGAGTGCGACTTGGAGACCGCAGCAGGGCGCAGCCCCGCGTGGCCTCCACAGCCACTGGTATCCAGATCTCCTAGAAGACGTTCTCACGCCAGATATCTTCATTTCCAGGTGACCCCCGCGCCAACTTATCACACGGAACCACCACCACTGGCTACACCAATACCTCTACCTGCACCTGCTCGAGCTCTCCGTGCTCCACCACGGCCGGGGACGGCACAGTGGGTCAATTGCGACATACGCAACTTTGACTTCAGCGTGTTGGGACAGTGAGTGCGCGTGCCATGTGCGCGAGCTGACGACAGGTTTCAGGTCATCGTGGCTGACCCGCCGTGGGATATCCACATGACTGTGAGTCCAGCTATAACTGGCCTGCGATCGCATTGAGCCTCTCTGTCTGGGCTGTATCTCACCCTTCCTCGCTAACGCTAGCTACCGTATGGCACAATGACGGACGACGAGATGCGTTCCCTGCCTCTTGCGTCCCTCCAGCCCGACTGGGGCATCCTGGCGCTGTGGGTAACAGGCCGCGCCATGGAACTCGCTCGCGAGCTCCTGAACGTGTGGGGCTACGTGCGCGTCGACGAACTCGTATGGCTTAAAACCAATCAGCTGCAGCGCCTTATTCGTACGGGTCGCACTGGACATTGGCTGAATCACACCTGCGAACATCTCCTGGTCGCACTCAAGCGACCAGTTGGATGGCCGCGTGAGCGCGGCGTGCCTTGGGAACGAGAGGAGCTGCGGGCACTCAGACGTGGCGTGGACACTGACGTAGTAGTGGCCGAGGTCCGGTGAGTTTCCGCCGAGAGTCATACGGCTGTTACATCTCATCTGACGCCAGTGAAACTTCGCGCAAGCCAGATGAGGTTTACGGAGTAATCGAACGCCTGGCACCGCATGGCAGAAAGCTCGAGCTGTTCGGGCGCAAGCACAATATTCGCTCCGGGTGGCTCACCCTGGGAAATCAGTGTAAGTCGCCTGCAGAGTTGCAATACGCCGTGTGTTGACCCAAGTGCGCGACTCGCAGATCACTGAGCCCGACCTCCATGCGCGCCTGACGGCGCGCTACCCAGATCAAACGTTCACCCTTGTACAGTAACGTTGTATGCATGTGGTATCAATGTGCAGGGTATGTGTGTGTGTTACAGAGTAGCCTACTCGGTGCTAATCTCGACGCGGGCGACTGCTCGCTCAACTCCCTCGACCGCGGAGTCAACCACGCGCAGCTTGCGCTCAAACTTGGGAATGACGCGCTGACCGTCGGGCACCTCGCCCGCCTTGACGTTGCGTCGCTGCTGTCAACTCCATTTCGCGTCTTCGGCTCACCATGGCGGCCTGAGTGCTCCCAGTCTCCAGCCCTTGGAGTAGGGCACATGCCTTGCACAACTCGTTACTGGAGATGTATCCGCAACGGGAGCACGTTTCTGGCGTTAGCCACGACGCGGGCAGAACTTACGCATTGCCTTCATACCCCGCTGTGTCTTTTGGTCCAACACAAATGTCTCTCCGGACCGGATGATGTCGAGAATCGCGCTGGGCCGGATCGCCTCGAGGTCCTTGAGAAAGATGCGTGCGTAGCCGCGGTACGCTTCGGGTGCGTAGATACACTCAGTGGAGAAGTAGGTGAGCTTCTTGAAATACGCGTACATGACGATCTCCTTCTCGTACGCATACTTGAACGGCTTGGAGCGCTTGATAGTGTCCTCGCTGTGTGTCGTGACGGCCGTGCAACGCTGGAGGCGGGCAACGTCGCCGCGCATAACTGCAAGTCAGTCAAGTTAGATCTCCCTTGTACGCACTGTTCATCAGGACCGTCTCCGCGATGTCGTCCGCATTGTGACCCGTCAGGATATGGTCGACGCCAAGCTGGGCGCTCCCCCGATCGAGCGCCTGGCGGCGGAACACGCCACAGAACGTGCAGTTGTTCTTCTTGCCGACCTGCTCGACGACGCGGTCCATCGTCCATCCATACAGCTCGCTGTAGCTCAAAATCTTGAGGGGCAGCCCGTACTCCTTCTGGTTCTGTTTGACTGTCTCGAGCGAGTCGTCGCGATACCCCTTAATCCCCTCGTCGATGGACAGGAGGTACAAGTCGAGGCCGTAGTCGTGTCGCGCATTGAGTGTCGTAATCACATGCGCGAGTACCGTCGAGTCTGTCGTCAGTTTCCGGGACGTACTCGCACGCACCTTTGCCGCCACTCGCACCAATGGCGACCTTTTCGCCGCGCGCGAAAATGGGCCCCCCGTCTTCGGCGCCATGCATGATCGTCTCGTGGACCTCGGCCTCGAAGACATCGAAGAAGCACTGCTTGCACACGGGCTGTGCGGTCTTGGGCCGCTTGAGCTGTGCGCGCGCGCTGTTGCATAGCGCGCAGAGGGAGGGCATGGTGTGTGGTGTGTGAGTGGGTTGAGTGGAGAAATTGAGATTCGGTGGGTGGCAAACTCGAAATGCATGGCCGGGGAATGCAGGATATAAGAGGTCGAAATGGCACATCCTTCGTTGGCACGATAGCCCAGCGGTTTGTATGCCAGCATGTAAACCGCCGGTAAGTGATGATGCGCGCGCCTTAGCACACACCGCTAGGTGTTCGGTTCAGAGCGGGAGAATGAGGGAGCAACTATCTGCACCGCCCAGAAGGACAGTAGACCGCCTGGACGGACTCTATACAGACAGACCTGTTGCCGCATTGTCTCGTGCGCCCATCCGACTACTCGTCGTCGGCCCTTATCTCTTATTTTGATAGGCAGGCTAATAATTCAAGTGAGTCAGACTGACAACGACATGCCCACGTGTTTTGGGCCAGGCTGAAATGAGCACCAGCCATTAGGGGACGCAATTAGATTGACGGAATGTAATCTAGTTAGGAGTCTTCGGGGTGGGACCTCACGGGGATATGCCGATCCCCGTCGGCCCCGCGGCAGTGGGTTGAGTGGGCATCCTGGGTGGCAGAGGCGCGGGATCAAAAGTGTTGGGCATCACAGCGTCATTCGGCTCGAGCGGCTCGCAGCTCGCCACACACAGAGATCCACTCACCACCTTCCCTCCCCCCCCCCACCCCCCCGCCCCTCCTCCCACAGAGCATCAGATACTCACCTCGACACATCTCTCCTCTCTTCTCCTCTCTCTTCTTCTTCACCTCTACATCATAGACTTCCCAGATCTAGACCCCCTCATACCCCCCATCGCAATGTCCGCCTCCCCGCCCTCAGGTAGCGGCGGCGGCAACGACCCACCGATCGATGATGCTCCACTCCCTTCCGCCTCGACTCCCCTCACCCTCTCCTGCGCATGTCTGAATGTCATCGTCGAGGGGCGCGTGCCCGACATCCTCGCCCAGCGCGCGGCGCGCGGACCAGGTGTGTTCATCAAGGGCAAGCGCGACCAGCTGTATCTCCCACCTGGCGCCGAGACCATTGTACGTCCCCTCACCTCCATCACGTTATGCTGCACCTCCCCACCTTTGTCCCAAGACCACAATCCTTGTGTTGGACTTTTGCTGACGTCAGAAACACCCCCAGATGTCCACATTTGAGCGCACAACCCCGTTCGACAGGCGACTAAGAGAGGCGACCGAGGAGGCCCTCGAAGCCAAAGTCGACGCACCCGCTCCCGAGGCATGGCGCAAGTGTTGGGTCTGCGGCGTGCGCGTGTACCTCGCGCGGAACCGCGCACCATCAGATCTCGCGCCCAAGGATGTCTGGGTCGATGTCGACTTCGCAGACGGCGTGCTTGTGCGTATTTTTGAGCCCCCTATGTCTCACCATGTCTCGCTGACATTCAGTACGGCGAAGCTCTCGAGAAGAAGCAGGCAGAGCCGCCACTCCCCTTCTCTGGTCTCGTGCTCGACATTCCAAAATCCAGTACCTTCGGCCGTCAGCCCTCCTCGTCCGACGGGCCTGTCCCTTACCCCGCCGCGGGAATCAAGGAGCAGACTCCAGTTCTTCCCCCCGTCCCCGACCCGTTCTTCCTTCCCCCTCCGTTCATTCCAAGCCATGCCGTCCTGCGGGAGATGTGTAAGCTGGCTGTCGAGCGGCTGCACGAGAAGCACGACGAGATTGACCGCGATATCCGCGAATACATCTCCAAGCGTGCCAACGACATGCGCCGCATCGAAGACCAGGTTCGCGCAGAGGTCGAAGCGCTGTGGGACCGATATAGTGAGGGTCCAGGAGCGGGAGATGAGACGACACGGCGGCGTGGGAGCGGGAGCGTGCCGACGCGCGACCGGTCCGCGTCGCCTGCCGTGCAGCGGCAGAGCTTCGATGGCGGCGAGCGACGCCCATCTATGACTGCGCGGCGGTCTACGAGTCGGACGCGTGACCGCAGCGTCCCGAGAATTCCCATCGCGGACTTGGATGGCCCGTCTGGTGTCGTTCCCGATCCGCCGGCACCGTTTACTGGGCAGCATAACGCGCACACGGCTCAGGCCGCTGCGTCTCTGCTCAGCGCGTCGCTGAGTGCCAACGCGTTCCACGCCCCTCCGCAGCGCATGAAGAAAGAGGCCGACATTGACGAGCTTGTGAAAGAGTCTGCGCTCGCCGATCCGGGACTCAGCAAGGAGGTGGCTATGAGCTACGCTTTCAGCGCAATGGACGAGCATGCAGCCGCTCGGGGACGCGGGAGGCGGGAACGCGCGAAGACACTCGAGCGCGCTGCCGAGGCGGCCGAAGAGCAGCAGGAAGAAGAGGAAAAGAAGATTGACAGCTGGATCAATTTGGAGCGGGCAGATGCTGCGCGTCGTGTCAAGCGTGAGACTTCGGGCATGACTGCACCCACAACGGTCGCCGAGGCCGAAGCTGAGGTGCGCGAGCGCGAGCACGAAGACGACGAGGAGAAGAAGGAGACCATTAATGGCGCGACCAAGGAGCGCAAGTCGCGCGTGCAGTTTGCCGAACCGGAGAAGGGGGACAAGCGGGGTGAAGAGGACGGCCGCGAGCAGAACGGGGATGATGATGAGGATATTGGCGGTGAGTCATTCTGCGGTCGGGACGGCATTCTCTGACATGCCATGGCTGAGGACTAATGCTAACAATCGCAGTGTTTGACTTTGATACCGACGCACCACCTTCGGAACCCGCCGTTCTCCCGCCGCAGGACGCGACCCAGCGGCGCATGCGTAACTGGGTTGAGGAGAACCTATCGCGGACCTTTGCGGCGAACGCTCCCTCCCACCGCGCGGCTTGGCGGCGGCTGGAGTCCCGTGAGTCGATGGCGGATGTCATCCGTCGCCATCACGACCAGGCGAGCGATGACGAGGACGAGGAGTCGGCGCCCGTGGACAGCATGGCGAGAAGTATGCCGGTGAATATTGTCCTGCCGCAGCGCGACGCGCCGGTACAGTTCAAGACGTCGTTGACGGACCGGGGCGGCGTCGTCGTCCCGCACCTGCTGCACGCCATGCGGCGGGGGTCAGCACAGCTGAGCTCGAGCGAGGGCGAGGAAGCGACGCCGCCGACGGGCATCCGCGCCCCGCGCAACTCGATCGCGATTGTGGGCAGCCTGCGTGGCGGCACGGCGTACGGTGGCGGCCGGCGGGGAAGCCGGAGCGGCGACCGCGAGCGCGAAGCCGCGAAGGCGTACGGCGCGGATCCGGGCGCTGTGTTCGAGGCGCTCGCCGAGGTGGCCGTCGACAGCGAAGAGGAGGACAGCGACCAGTTCGTTCCGCCCCACGTCCTTGCAGCGCGCCGAGACGAGCGGCCCGAGCCGGGGTGGCGCAGCCTCGCAACGTCTTGAGGCCTTGAGGTAGCAAGTAAGTAAATCATTGTATTGCATGAAGGTTGTGATATAAGCTGTAGCGCGCACTGTGCTCTGTGTGAATGGATTTCATCGCAGCCTCGATGCGAGGGATGACCTTAAGCTTGACACAATAAGTCCCACCTAATAACACACGTCTCTCGAAGGCACTGAACGACGCCGTTACAACCGGACGGCCGGACGGTGATGGAGGGCTATGGAGGGTCACACAACTGGACGCGGACCTTACACTCACCAATTGAGCACTCACAGCCCACTGCCCCACGACAGTTGCTTGATGGCGTCAGAAAATCGAAGCTCATCAAGCTCACCGCCGTGCAGAGCGCGTGCGAGGCACTCTTACGAGTGACGCGACCAAGGACAGTGCATGGGGGAGACCCAGAGCCGACCTACTACTGTACTGCCTTGGACACGCAGATCTCGCCATACCGTCGCCGAATCCACCAACTCCCCACACCCCTCTCCGCTCCATACTGCGGTGCACTACTCACCCCCGCTATGAAACGGCGTTCATTCGTATATACAAAGACTGCGCCTACAGCGCCTACAAGAGACGCTAGCACTGCGTGACAGTGCCTCCCACTCTAAGACGCCGCTGAAGCTGCGATGTCACCTCCTCCGATAAGGTAGAACACCGCAAGCCGTGCGGCAGATACCGTGACATGTCCTCTCCTCTTAGCAGCATCCGCCGTTCGTCTTCTGCTCGACGTTCTGGCCAACATTGATCTTCTGCTTCGGCCCGCCTCCCATCGAGTTGGAGCCCATGCTGGCGTTAGCCCGGTCGCAGTAGAAAACACTCACCGGTCCTTGATCTGCTTCGACATGGTCAGGAATGCCTGCTCGACATTGGTGGCGTTCTTCGCAGAAGTCTCGAGGAAGGGGATGCCGAGCTCGTCGGCGAACGCCTTCGCAGCGGCGTAGTCGACAACCTTCTTGGTCGCCAGATCCGACTTGTTGCCAACAAGCAGCTTGTTGACACCCTCGACAGCATAGCGGTCAATTTCCTGCAGCCACTGCTTCACATTGGCAAACGTGTCACTGTCGGTCACATCGTAGACGACGATGATGCCGTGAGCCCCTAGACGTGTCAGATGCGCTTAGAAAAGGAACAACTCACCACGGTAGTAAGACGACGTGATGGTGCGGAAGCGCTCCTGCCCAGCTGTGTCCCACTGTTTGTGAAACGTATAGTACGAGGAATGGTTGCGGGGCGGTTGGCGAAAAGGAATAGTGAAGGGGAGATAGTGGATAGTGGAGCCCAGTTATAAGTGGGCGGAGGGGAGGGGCAAGGTGCGTACGGATTATACCATAATACACGCCAGGATTCATAGGCGGACCAGTTGAGGGTTGAACACAGCGTCGACGGCGGAGCCGATCGCGCGGAGCAGCGAATGCAACATCGGAGATTGAAATGTGACCGAGATGGATGGGGAACCGTTGACCAAGAGAATCGGACGAGGACCAAGATATCGGACGAAGGTTGACAACAACCGAGGAGTTTCGACAACACCAGGCGATCAAAACGACGACGACGACAGAGAACAGTGTGTTGACACCAATTGGACCGGGTAATAATAACAAGACAACAGGCGAAGCGGGAGGCGATCCAACAACACAGGCGATGTTTTAGAATGAAAACCAACACCGTTTTGGGAAGTTGCACAAACAGGGTGACGACGAGGGGACGACGACAACACCAAGAGGTCGATGATTCGGACGAAAAAGCCGGAGATACACCGTTGACGATTCGACACAGGTTGACAACACGATTCGAGAGCGGATCGAAGAGTCGGGCAGCGCACACAAACGACACAACAACAGCCAGCAGCAACAACCAACAGAGGGTCAGCAAGCGCCAGATGCCGGAAGTGGGACGAAGTGAGTGCGGGTAGTCGGAACCGAGAGTTGAGCCAATTTGACGTGGGGAAAGATGGAAACCCAGATTGATGAATGAGAACCCAGATTGAAGTTTGACGAGGAGACACCCATATTGACGGGATGAGTGAAAACGCAGATTGGGAATTGATGAGGAAGCAAACGGTCACGATGGGCCATGTGAGAGGCGACAGCCAAGTGTGATAGTGCAGCGAAACCAAGAGCGCGAGTTGAGTTTGACGAGCCGCAACGGCAGTTGACAGTCCAATGTGAGCGACAGTTGACAAGCCGGAATGCGACAGGAAACGCAATAACGCGCAAGCCGGGCCCACAGGGCGAGGTTTGGCGGAGCGACACGACCAGACACGAGCCATAGACGAGCCCACAAGCGATGGTTCACCGGCGACAAAACGGACACAAAAGCAGCACCAAGAGAGCGCGCGCCAGGTCAGTTCAAGTCGGGGGGGTGATTCGTGATGTTGAGAAGGGAGAGGGAGACAAGATGAGTCGGGGAAGTTTGAGTGTGAGGTGAGAAAGTCGAGAGTCGGGAGTGAGCGGGGGTCAGCTTAAAACTCGCTGAGTGCGTGGGAGGGGGGCCACGCACGATCTGAAGCTTGACGGTCTTGCCCTCGAGATCAATGGTACGGATCTTGAAGTCGACCTGAAGCTGTAAGCACCGGACACATGGGCGCAACTTACGCCAATCGTCGAGATGTAGCTCTCAGTGTAGGTGTCGTCGGCAAAGCGGAGAAGCAAGCACGACTTGCCAACACCAGAGTCGCCGATGAGGAGAAGCTGTGCAATGTGTCAGCGAGCCGAGATTCTCGGAGCGATTCAGCAGGGGCGCGTCCGAGCGCGCGAGTTCGCATCGAAACAATTGCTTGCAGAATAGCGACCCCTCATCTCGAGGGAGGCTTACCTTGAAGAGATAGTCGTACTCGGCTGTGGCAGACATGATGGTTTGCTAGTCTGTTGGAGGTCCAAACGATGAAGGGCATGACGATGGGGTTGGTTTATTAGGATGGGATAAAGTGGAGGGCATTGTTGGGTGCGAGTTGAGCGGTGGCGAGGTGGGTGTGGAGTGAATGATGGTGATTGAATTGTAGTGATGGGAGGGAGAAGGGGTTGGTGATGGTGATGAAGGGCGCCGTCGGGGTGTTAAATGACGCGTTGGGTGGCGAGAATGACATGCGTGGAGCAGCAACGCGTGGGTGGGTGGGTGGCAATAAGAATTCGTGGATGACGAGTGATGGGGGAATAGGGAGGGCGGTGCATACGTGAGCGTGGATGAATGCGCGGTGTTGAAGAGAAGGAGTGTGCGCGAGGACAAGCGGATGGAAGGTGGGCGATTGTGTCAGCACGGGCATAAGACGATGGTGATGAGAGGTAGATGGGAGGAGAGGTGGTTGAGAAGGGTGTGAGGCGAGACGCACGTATCAAGCTATGTGGGTTGAGAAGGCGATATGTGGGGGATCTAGGTCGGTCGTGGTAGAGAGGTGGAGTTGACCGAGGGAGGAGTGGGGGATGAGAGTGGAAGTAAGAGGTGGGATTCGAGGTGAATGAAGGGATGAGCAAGAGATGAATGATGGTGAGGACGTGAGGAAGGGTGAGTTGGCGCAGGCAGGCGGTCATCACGCTCCTTCGAGGTGGAGTCCCAGCTACGACTGGCGTGGCAAGCAAGGGGCGGGGGCAAGGGCAGGGTCTCTCTCACCCATGCGCAGCCTTGTGACGCGCAAAGAGACCTGCATTTGCTCCCGGTGAGCGGCATGAGCCTTGCCCTTAGCGAAGGCATAAGGTGTCAGGCAGACATACCGGTGTTTTGACCAGCCTCCGTCTGTGGCGGTCGTTGGTCACGTGTAATTATGTAATAGCCACGTGTGGGATGTTGCTGACGGATGAAGAGCGGCCAGAGACGGCGGGCCTGTTGGCCTGTTGGCCTGTTGGGCCTGCGGATTATCAAAGTTATCGATGGATCGATTAAATCGAGGATTGTGGATCTCTCGGCGCTCTGCAGCCAAGCCCGAGGTCCCGAGATCCACACACCACATGACCAAGGTAATCGCTATCGCGCCCCCGTGTCTCGCGCGTCTCTTCTTTCTCATCGTCACAAGCTCACAAATTCATACACTCGACCGTGCAAAAAACATCATAACAAGACACGATCCCAGTCAGTCATTCAACGCCCACGCCATCCTTCTTGGCAGTGGCTGGCCAGTCGATCAGCTGTGGAACACTGCTGCCTGCTATTGAATTCTCCCTCGCACGAGGTCCATCTTGGTCTGTGAAACACGGCCATCAGGTACCTACTGAATGCAGTTGCGGAGGCCTGGTGGATTAGAATGGAGAGGCGTCGATGGCTTGGCAACAGGTGATCAGGCGACAAGAGGAGTGAGAGAACAATAGTAGTCGTAGTGCTGCGCGTTGCTAGTGCTGTCTCATCATGGCATTCTATCAACTGGACGCTAGCACCGCGGGCGGCATCAGGGAGTGGGGAGATGACGAGGAATCCACAGGCCACACAGGGAATAGGGGGGACAAGATTTCGCGAGACAACCTCCACTCTCCGACTCAAATCATCACCATCAACCCCCTATTCCCCATCGTCTTAGCCCTCGGCCCCTCCTCCTCCCTCGTCCTCGTCGCCCACACGGTACACGGTGACTGTGTGTCTGTGCACTAGTGACCGCCGACAACGCCACCCTCCATTCGATCCATTCATCCGCTACTCTTCCCTTCTTCGCACCCCCATCACCCACCGTTAGTCGCTGTCACCCTCCCTCCCCCTCCCTCCCCCTCCCCCGGCCCCCGCCTCCCACGGTCCATGCTACCCCGCGAGGGCGACAACAACAACCCCACCACTCACCCCCACACCCAAAATACCAATCGCCTACAAATACCTTGCACCCACCTCCCAGATGACAGAATAAAGGACACATCAACGAACAAGTTGGTCTTCCCACCCCCCCTCCTCCCCTCCCTACTCCCGCTCCTTCTGTACTCTCTGCCCTATCCACTCTCCACTCCGTCTACTCTCCTGCCCACCTCCTATCCCCTTTATCCACCTCTGCAATGAACGCGTCTTTCGTCAACGCCACCCTCGCTACACGGCGGGGCGTCTCCCGCCTTTGGCAGGGCTACCTCAACCAGCTCGCGACTCGCCCTCTCCGCACCAAGATGGTCACCTCGGGCACCATGTTCTTCATTGGTGATGCCATTGCTCAGTTCGGCATCGAGGGGCGCAGTCTTGGCCCCGACGCTGTTCCGCAGCCCAAGGGTTACGAGCCCGTTGCCGACGATGTCGTGCTTCAATACAACGTGAGTACATCCAACCTTCCTCGCCGCTGAACCCAATAGCCTACTCGTGCTGCCCGCCAGGCAGTGTGTGAGTTCATTACTCCCAGGCTCCATTGACCCCCAGACGGCGCACTTGTACTCGCGCCGCTCGCTCACAACTGGCTCGCCCGCCTTGACAAGGTCCAGTTCACCAACAAGTGGGCCAGTGAGTCGTTGGATGCTCGGGCCCTACCTAGATAGGCGTCACCCTTCCTCCACCTACTTCGTGCACGGTTGTACCGTACTCACACTAGCTCTCGGCGCCAAGGTCAGTCTCGACCAGCTCGTTTGGGGGCCTTTCATCGTCACCAGTAAGTTGAAACGCGCGGCAAGACGCCATACATTCCGCATCGGAGTATTTTCGTTTCCAACGCTCCTCCGCGCCGCTCCGCCTCCGATAGAGTTCCGCCCCCCGAATTTCCATTTGCCACCAACAACCTCCACCGCCACCACCCTTGCCACCCAACTGTGCCACTTTGCTGACGCCAGCCTTCTGGAGTTGGACAGGCATGATGGAGGGCAAGACCGGTGACCAGGTCGCCGAGCTTGTCCACTTCGCCTTCCCTGGCGCATATTCGAAGTGTGTGGCCGTGTTCGCACCCACCCAGATCGTCAATTTCCTTTGGGTTCCCCTCCACCACCGCCTACTGGTGCACCAGACCGTCGGACTCGGTGAGTTGCTTGTGCTCTAAGTGTTTGTTGCGTGGCTGTGGCGGTTTCAAAGTTCGGGTGCGAGAGCTTGTCGTACCATGGCAATTCTGCCAATTCCGACTAGGGGCGGAACGGCAGCCGGCTGCGGACAGGCAGACGGGAGTGACGCGAGGAAAGTGTGAGGTGTGAAGCAAGTGACTCTGAGGCTTGCAGCGGTGCGAGACAACGATCGAAACAATGTGGCGTGGCGTCCGGCAGATGTGTACCTGCCACGCGCCCCAAGCTTCTCAGTGCTCTCCTGCGCCGCTCCGCCCTCGGACCGTCTGGCCACGCCGCAAACCCTCGGACCCGCCGCTCAATGAGGCAGGTGGCGTACCGCCGTTTGCTTCGCCCCCTCCCCCCTTCCATCCCCCCCTGTTCTTTGTTCGCCGCCTCGCCGACGGCCTCGTTATCATCCTTTCCCCATCACCTATGGCCCCATGGATCCCCACGATCCGATCCATCATCCTGCGGCATTTCCTTTGTACACCCCAATCGGCCCTAGGATCATTCCTGGTCGTCGCCAGATCTGTTGTCATTCATCCACTGCTGTGGCGGGGACGCCGCGATCGCCGCATCCTTCACAGGTTCGGCCGCCGCATCAGATGCTCCATCTGTCGTCGGCGATCGTCGGCGGACTTGGGGGGCCTGTGTTTCTCCGTTGTCACCCCGGTTGTTGTCGCAGCCGCCAGTCACTCTTGAGATGAGACGGTTGCCGGCTCCGCTCGCCCGCCCTGTGATTCCGCTCAACACACCTCCACCCAACAAGTTTCTTCCCCTCCCTCCACCCTTCTCCTGCCTGCTATTGTCCCTCCCACATCTCCGGGATCGTTATTCCCTCACCTACGCTACGCAAGACTGACACCAGGCTGGAACATCTTCCTCTCGTACATGACGAACAAGAACAACACGCTCCTCGCAGCGGCCAAGGCCGACCTTGACCGGGCGCAGAAGGCCGAGGCGGCCGTTGAGCCCATCCACGACAAGGCGCACGACGACGAGCGTGCCCTCGCCCACGCCAAGGTCGAGGACGCCGCCAAGGTTCTCGCCGCTGTCCAGGAGGAGCGCAAGCGTCTCCGCGACCTCGAGGGCGGTGGTGCCACTGGTGCCGGTACCCGTATGTAGCTTTTCAACAGTCTTCAGAGACACCACCTGTAGTTTGTAGGGCAGTAGGGCGGAGCGTGGACATCACAAAAGCTCTCGGTTGTACATAAATGCATTCGTACACACAATAGAGTGCTATGCGAAGCGACGCTGGCGCTCGTACGCCTTCATCTCCTCGTCGAGCTCGGTCTGGGTCTTAGGCTTGGGCTTCTCCTGCGGCTTGGGCTTTGGCGCCTTGTCCACATCCATAGCCGCGGGTTTGGCGGCTGCTTTTTTTGCGCGCGACACCTTGTCAGCGCCCTTCGCACCAGCCTTCTTGCTCTGGACATGCGCCGCCGCCTTCTTCGCCGCCGGGCTGCCCTTTGCCGGCTTAGCGAGACGCAAAAGCAATACCTCGCCCGGATTGGACTTTGCGACGGCCTTGCGCTGTTTCTCCAAGAGCCTGGCGTGAGCGTGTTCTTGGTCGCTATGCCCGAATCATCCAACCGCACTCACTGCTTCTGGCGCTCCTTCTCGCCGGCCTTGCCCCCCTTCCCGAGCCGCGAGAGGAGCTTGAGCCCCGGCGCGCGCTCCTCTTGGCTCTGGCTCTGGCTCTGGCTCTGGCCCTTCGGCGCCGGCTTGGCCCGGGGCTTGGCCGCGACGGGCGCGGGCATTGCGGGCGTGATTCGGCCCTTGACGCTGGGCTTTGGCGCGGGCTGCGCGCCAAACGGCGGAATCAGGGCGCGCGGCGGCGCAGCGGAGGGGTGTTCGGCCGTCGAGGGGAGGACGTGGTGAACCGCGAGGGTGTGTGCTGGCGTCAGCGGGGAGTGGGAAGCGGGAGTGGGGGGAGGGAGGAGGACGGGCAGGCGAAGGGGGAGGGTAGCGGTATAGCGGTGTAGCGGTGTAGCGAGCGGGTGTAGCGGGCAAGTGCAGCGCGCGGAGCGGGTGGGTGTGCAGGGAGACGGGGACGAGACGGGGGCGATAACGAGGGGAGTGGTGCGAGAGAACGGGGGAGGTGAAGGAGATAGAGAGAGAGATGAAAGAGGACCAGAGTCGAGCGCCTCCCCGGAAACGGATGTGAGAGCGCGCAGAGAGAACAACGCCCACAACTCACATCCATCAATGACCTGCCCCGAGAACTGGCGGCGCACGCGCTCCGCCTCGCCGTCAGACCCGACCTCGACGAGAAACGTGCCGAGGAACGTCCCGTGCTGGTTGTACAGCGCGGTGACGGCGACGCTGGATGCCGGGAGGCGGGTGGGCTCGGCGGTGAGCAGTTCCTGCTGTCAGTGCGGGCAGGGAGGAGACGTACCGCCAAATCGGCTTCGCGCACGTCGAGCGGCAGGCCGGAGAAGAGGAGGACGGAGGGCATGGTGCGGGGTGGATAGCTGGGGCCTGTGGGCGTGGCGTGTGTGATGGGCAGGCAGGGCAGGGCAGGAGGGGGAGGGGGACCGAGGGCAGTGCTGGGACGTGTTGAGATGAGGAGGATGGATGGGATGGAGGGATGGAGAGATGGAGGGATGATGGAGACGACGAGTCGAGATGAGTTTATTGACGAGGGAACAAAAGTCGCGTTGGTGGCGGAAGACACAATTAGTGCCTCTTGCATTTGGCCACATACCCCATTCAATGCAATACGTGTATGCATCCTCTATGTAAATGGTACAACAGTTGCCGTGGCCGGCACAGTGGTGCAAGGCATGAGTCGTCGTCGTCGTGTCCAGATTTGCTCGTGCTCGGCTCTTGTCCGCACGCTGCCTCACTCCGCTCTCATTCGCCCTGCTCGCCGTGCTCGCCCTCGCTGCACCTCGCTCTCTCCCCTCGCCAGCTCCTTTCTCGCTAGCTCGCACTACATGTCGAGCACCGTCACATACGTCTTCGGCACCACGCCCTTGACGCGCGCGCCATCCGGCCCAGGCACAAGGAGCTGGCACCAGAGCTCGTCGAATGCCATACCCACGCGCGTGAGCTCGTATATCGCGCCCTTGGAAATCGCAATCTCGCCCACGCCCAGGGTATGCTCTGGGGGCGGGAACGTGAAGTCCGCGCTTACGAAGATGCCGCAGCCTCCGTCCGCGGGCGCGGTGGACGAGCCAACCAGCGCGAGCGCATACAGCGGCACGAGGCCCTCCTGGTCCGTGCTGCCTGCGTCGAACGCGCGGCGAACCTTTGCCCAGCCGCTGCCGTCCAAGTCCGGCTCAAGGACGCGCACCACCTCACCGGCACGCACGCTCAGCTCGAGAATCCCGCCGGCGGGGAAGGATGCGCGCACGCGCGCTAGCTGGACGCCGCGGTCGGGGGCCAGTGCCTCGGCGATCGCGGCGCGATCCGCCTCCGTGTCCGCTTCGAAGAATGGCGAGATTATCGCTTCGTCGTCACGTAGCGGCTCGCGGTGCCGGTGGGCTGGCGTCGCCGTGCGTACCTCGACAGGCCCGCCGTGCGGGGCTTCGTAGATTGTCGTACGGCGCAACTTCATCGCACCAGAGGTGAGCGAGCGCCGGAGACGACCGCCCGAAGTGAGCCGTCGCCGCGATTTCAAGCCTGTGCATTCCGGCTCGACGTGCAGCCCGCACGCCTTGTGCAGTGCGATGGCGCAGTGGCGGCACGAGAGCTCAGACTTGATCGGGCTCCATACCTTCTCGTGACAGGCATCGCACTGCGACGGCGTGGCGAACGCGCGTTCCTTGAAGTCGTGCGTCATTTCTGGACGCGGATTGGGGCCGAGGACGGCCTCGAGACACGCCATCTCAGCTTTGGTCACGACCACGCGGCGCTCAATAACGCCCAGCTCGCGCAGGACATTCATGCGCCGCTCCCACATCTCGTCGGGGTCCCCGATGCCGCGGTTCGCCGCGAAATCAAGGCATTTCTGGCGTGCTCGTGCCAGCTCGTCGCCTGCGGTCAGCTGAATACCACATGCAGGGCTTACGCTTCACAACCGCTGGGCCTTTGCTGAACCCATCGGTCAAGGTGTTGAGCTCGTTAGACGATATAAGCCAACGGTTAATGAGCCAATTGCGATCGTCTTTCTTGGACGCGTCAAGCACTGCCTCTTCGTACTGGGCGCTTGGAGGCGCCACGAAAGAGAAGCAGCGGAGCGATGGATGCGACGAGTCGGCAGACTGCGGCTCCGCAGAGCTCGACGAGTCAGACAAGTCGGGCGTCGGTATCCGTGGGCTGGCGTGCTCGTCCTCGCTACTACTGCTCGTGTTCCACTCGAGGAAAGTGTCCTGGTCCCGCACCAAGTCGACGGCGGCGTATGTCGCCTCGAGACGGGAAATGACGTTGCCGAGGAGCGCGTAGTGCGCGCGATCTTCCTCGACGTGGTGACGGAGAAGCTCGAGCATCGTATTCTGCACGTGGCCGTACAGTTGGCGTGCCTCTTCACCCCAGCCGCATGCGCCGCCGCCCTCTTCGACGTCACGGCCACCGCCGCCATTGGCGCCCTCGCCCGCCAGGGCGACAATGTACGCCTTTTTCCTGTCAGAGCGGACGCGCTCGAGCTCCGCAACGAGTTTTTCATGCTTGATCCACTCGGACCCGACCTGCGGTGTGCTGCTGAGCTCGGGCGGCGTGCACTGGCGCAGCTTGACTTCGGCGGCGCTGTGCTCGCGCACCGCCGCCTCATACTTGGCGCGCGCAGTGTCCACGCGCTGCCGCCCCTCTTCCCAGCGCCCGCGGATTTCCTTGTTCCACACCGCGAGGCGGCGCGTGCTCTCGCCGATGCGCCGGTCAAGATTGTGCAGCGGGTGGCCGAGCTGGCTCGCAAGTGTGTCCTGCCGCTTCGTGAAGAGGGAAGCGACCGTGTTCATCTCTTGAAGATGGCCTCGCATCCCCGTTGTCAGAGTCGTCGTGGGCGGCTTTACTCCTCCTGGCGCCGGAGTGTTCACTGCATCCAACCGCCCCTCAAACTTCTTGACCGCCGCCTGCAGGGCGCGACCATACTCGTGTTCGAGGCGGCCGACCGTGTCAACAAATTCGCGATAGTCGCGTGCTATGTCGAGCGTGTCGTGTAGGAGCATGAGCGGTGAGGGCTGCGAGGTGCAAGCGGGTGGGAGGAAGTTGGGCCGACTGGGATCGTGGACCCATGGCTTGCCAACTGGTGGCGGGAGTGCGGTAGGCAATGGCTTCTGTACACGCGGTGGATCTACATACTGAGGAATTGCTGCGTCGTGACTCTGCGCCTGCGGTCTCTGCGGTCTCACGACGTAGTCAGTCGGGGCCGACGGCGGGGGCATGCTGTTCATTCTAACGCGAGGCCTGGGCGTGTCGGTGAGTCCAGCGGTGGGTGTGGGCGAAGACGGGGCGGAGATGCCTGGCGACATGGTGGCGGTGGGTGCGAAGACGGGAAGCGGCGCAGTGCTGGGGGGGAGGGCGAAGTGGGCGTGCTGTGAGGGAGGGTGCGGGCTGGTGGGAGACACTGGGGCTGTATTTGAGCGGACGGCGGTACGAGGGGGGGCGCTATGCGAGTGTGCATGGCGGCTGGGGGGAGTGGCATGGGGGGGCGGGAGGGAGGAGGGTGTGTAGGAATGCGAGTTGAGAGATGGGTGAGATGAGCTCGAGAGGTGGCTGTGGCCGTGGCTGTGAGAATGGGAAGAGGCCGAGTTGGAAGCGCTCGGCGTGTTGGCCGCGGGGTGGCTCGGGGAGCTTATGAGTATGCCTGGAGGATAGCCAGCGTCGCGGTTGAGCTGAGTGTGACTGTGGCTCCTGCTCATGCGCCTGGTGATGGGATATGAGCTCCGCTTGCCATAGTTTGGTGGTGGGGGGATGTGAAGGGCGAGGTTTGAGCCGGAGCGTGTGTGAAGGAATGCGGGGTAGCCGCCGTCAATGCCGCTGAAGACGGGAGGCGCGAATGGGTCATCGGCGCTTGGGGCCCAGGCGGCGTCGACCATGTGTGGTGCGTGTGGAGAAAGAGGTGATGGAAGTTGTATAGTGGTAGTGGACGATGAGGAGTGATGAGGAGGGATCAAGATGTGTTTGATGGTGACTGCCGTTGCGTGGTGTTTGTTGTTGCGAGATCGCGAGATGATTGTCAGAGGTCCGTGTGCCCTCTGTGATTGTGATGAGAAACGAGTGGAACAACGTCCAACAAGCAATGCAATGACAAAGCTCAAAGACGACCAAGACGAAGCGATGCGATGCAATGCAATGTTCTCGATGCAGCCTCGCTTTCTCTCAAGGTCTCCAGCAGTCGATGATGTCAAACGTTTCTTCGCTGGCTGGGAGCTGGGTGGCGATGCACCAAGAATGCCGGCACGGATAATCTCCGCTCTCGGGCCACCCCACATGTCCTTGGCGCACCCCAATCTCGTCTGACGTCGCACTCTTCATCCATCCACTACAGCCCCATGTCCTCATGTCCGTGGCGTGGCATCTAACCGCACCGCAACGTGCCGAAGCGCCGAGGCCATGAGGCTAGCCTCTAGCCTGCCTATGACGCCGAGCCGCCTGCGAGATCTCATGTTCCCATGTTCCCATGTGTCCGACCTGCTGGCCCCATCTGCTGCAGGGCCACCAACACTGACGCCAGCGTCCGCCGGCCGCCAGACCGAGGGCGGATCCTGACGCGCGGCTTGGCGGACTGAGCGCAGGCAGCACCGCTTGATCAGATACGACCGAGGGACCGAGGGACCGAGGAGATAGAAGTGAGGCGGTGCATTGGTCAAGGCGCGACGTGCGGACGAAGGCACGGGGCTGCGGCCCACTTGCATGAGCGCGGTACGCGGTGACATGCGATAAGGAACAACGTGATCGATGAGCCGAGATCAGCTGACCAGCTGCTGGTCTGGCTATGAGCAATGAGGAGAGCGTGACGCTGATCGAGGGAAAAGTGTGGCCAAGGTGTGGCTCGTGGCTCCAATGCGCGCTGCTTGACGCTGCTTGCATGTCGCCATTGCAGTGGTAGCTTTGTACTCTTTGTGGACAGAGGCATTGGCTGTGACGCCCACTCGTGCTTGGCATCTGAATGCATGCACATATGCACGGTAGGTGTCTGATTCACTTGATGCAAGCTCGCAGCACTCGCTTCCGCACCGCTCGTCGTTGGGCGCGTTGGGACGCGAATGCCACCCGATCCTAATCCGATGCAGTATGCACTGCTGCGCGCGCCATGTCTAATCGACCCCCGAAATGTGTCTGCGTGCAGCACAGCCGCATATGCTCATCGCGCAAACGACAATCAACCGAGCCACATGCTTTTCCACTTCACTCGCAGCGTCTTAGCATATGGAGCAGCTAGAGCAGGTGTCAAGCGACCGATGGCCGCGGTCGAGGGTAGTGAACTGCGCCTCTCTTACTTCACACGGCGTGACTGAGCCTGCCAGCGTGCCAGAAGGCAAGGCGCACACACCCCGAGCACCCCGAGTTGGACATACAACTGTGTACATGCCTTGCTTAGTCTAGACAACGGCCTCTCCGCTTCCTGCGCCCCTCTTCCACTGCGCTTTCCTAACGGAACGGGAACCCTCCCGCGTCCGTGAGCGTAAAGTCCTCCCAGAAGCCGTCAAGGTTAAACCCCACCCCCATGTCGTCAAACAGCGCCGCTTGATCGAGCCCAAACAGCGCAGGATCAGGCATCTCGGGGGGCTTCTCCACGACAGGTTCAGGCGACGGGTAGCGGGACGGCACCGCACTGTCGCCGAGCTCGCCCAGCCGCCGCGACAGGAGGCTCAGCATGCGCCCGTACCGCGACGCAGGATGGTCCTTGTCCGGCGACGCGTGCAGGAGTGCCGCGCATACGCGCTCGACGAGATCCGTCGTCCGCGCCACCTCCTCCTTGCCGGTTGCGCCCGAGTAGGCTGCTTTCAGTGCAAACGTGCCGCTGTACGCAAAGTTGATGAGGTAGCGGCTCGGGAGGTACTGGATCACGCCGCGCTCGCCTAGTCGAATGCAGATGTTGAGGATCTCGGCCGCCGCATCAATCGAGTCGTAGATGAACAGCGCGTCGGGCGAAGTTGCGCTCCCACGCGGGAAGATCGAACCGACACCGTTCTGCCGGGGACTACCTCTCTCTGCCTCACCGCGCTCCTGCGCACGCTGCACGTGCGCCTGGAACGCAAATGCCGCCACATAGAGTCGCACAAAGTGGTACGTGCACCATGTGAGCTCGCGCGTGCTCTCCAGCCGCCACACCTTGTTCCTCCACGCGAGAGTGAACGAGTCGAGCGCGCGGCGGAAGTGGTCCAAAAACTTGAAGTACTCGCCTTTGCGCACGAGGTTCTTGGTGCGCGACGGCGTTGAAAACAGAATGTCGTGTGCATTCGTCATGATTTGTGTGAGCTCGAGCGTCGCCTGCATCATTGACGCGCTGTCGTTGGCGTCCACCACTTCTCCCTGCATCATGTAGGGGAAATTGACGCGCGCGGCTGCCTCGCCGGTCTGCGCAATGTCCGAGTAGCCCTGGAAGCAAATCGTCGGCCCGCGAGACCAGAAAGCCAGGCCTGTGCGCAGGCCTAATGTGCGGTCATACAGGTAGCACCAGGTCCAGACGCCGCGGGCGCGTTCAAGATCCGCGTTCCGCTCGCCGTCCTCGAGGGCGAGTTGGTCTAGCCCCAACCCGTAGGCTGCACGAATCGCTGTGCCAGTCAACGCCCACGCGCGTCGGTTCTCCAGTCCGTGCAGGCCCTGCGGACCTGCCATCGCGGGTCCCGAGAAGTCGGCGGAAGTCGCACTTTGTCGCTCGCGAGGCAGGTTCTCAGCCAGGATGAGGACACCCTCCACGAAACCGATGGAGGGTTGCCAGCCCGCGCACGCATAGTCGGCCAGCACGTCGCGCACCAGCGCATACGTCTGCTCGTGCACCTCCTTCATTCCAGGCGCGGGATGATGTCGGCTTGCGACGCACACAATCGCCGAAAGGAGGAAGGGATCGTCCTGGGCGAGCGCAGCTAGCTGCGTCTTGTTGTGCGGGATGCGAACCGTCTGGAAGATAGGCTAACGTCAGCTATGAAGGTCGGGTGAGAGTGATACGCACAAGCACAGGGTGGTGGTGCTGAAAGAACACCTTCACGAGCAATTCAAGGCGCTGCTCGTCCAGAATCCCGCGTCGGACGAGCACGAACTCGTTGATGTTCTGTCGCCCCGCATCGTCGGCCCAAGATACGCGCTTGCGCTCGAGCGCGCTTTCCTTCTCCTCGGCAGATCCGTCGCCATCGGCATCTGTAGCAGCCTTGGCGAGAATCTCAAGCGCGTCTGTTTCGTTGTTAAAGCTCGCTACGACAATCCGCCTCGTGGCATCGGGCTCGCGTCGCCTTCTCGATCCTGTTGGGTTGTTGGGACTCGTTGTAGAAGTTGACCCGAGACTGCTGCTTGTGGTGTGCGTGGGTGGGTCGACATATGGCGAAGCCCTCTCGAACCCGCCGAGCCCCATGGTATCATGCCACGGCCGCAGATCGTCGCCCGGCATCGGAGGGCGCCGGAGTGTATTAGGCTGAGCGGGGTAATTGTTTGCTACGGGATGAGAGGGAGTACTTGTTTCTGCACCTCCTGGAGTAGCAAATGCGCCCATGCTTCCACCGGCACTTCCATGCGCGGGATAGATCTCAGGCTTGAGCTCCTCGTCGCCAGTCTTTCTGCGGCGTTTCTGATGTCAGATAGTCCGACACGGCGCACCTACACTAGGAAGGAAGACACAGTTTCGCTGCTCGCGACGGCAGCGTGTGCATGGGGGCTCGGAGGGGGCGTTGACGTCCCCGAGGTCGCACTTGGCTTTCCGGAGGCGACAGTGGACCTGGAGTCAGCGTTGGAGCATAGTGCAGCCCAGCGAGGCTTGGGCCGAGCAAGTTGAAGGGTGGAGGGACACCACTATGGCGACACCCTCCACCCCGATGCTGTCCACAGTCAAGGAAGATCATCCAACACCAAAGATCACTCACACAGGCGCGATACCCGCGCTTCGGAACGCGTTCCTCGTCCTTGCGCTTCGGAGGGGCAGCCGGGACGGCCTCACGCGCGCCCGCTATAAGCTCCTGCATGGATGCGCCTGGGGGAGGGGACAGGCGCGACGGCGGATGGGAGAGGCGCATGCGAGGAGCTGAGGCGGCGGGGCAGAGACGCGGCAGCGGATATGCGGTGTAAGAAATGAGCGGGGCGCTGATGGGGCGGGGGCGTGGGCGAAGCGGTGCGGGCTGGCTACAGTCGAATGAATAAGGGGCCTAGTGTTTCCGTATCGTCGTGAGATGCGAGCGGAAAGGATGGATGAGTGGGAGGACAAGAGATGAGATGTCGAGCGAGACGGCGGCAATCGACGCTGCCCGACCACCAAGCCGAACCTTACGTAAAGTCTGTGCCACCGTCGTCCGCCACCCACCTCTTGATCCGTCAGCTCTCCCCTTGCCCCGCCTGCACCTCCACAACAGATCGCATATGATAGCAGCATGGTCTCTCTGCAGATCTGCAGATGGACCCGCGTTGATGCCGGTGCTGGCGTGTACACTGTCCATGGTATGAGTTCCGTGGCATCCCCAGGTTTGTGTGGGTCGGAAAGACGCGGCTCCGGCAATTGGCGGAGAATCACTCCGGGTGGCGGCAGAGGGGCGGAGTCGGCCCGGCGATCTGGTGTGGAGGACAATGCCGTTACGGTCGGGTTTGATTTTCCTCCTGCGCGTCCAAGTCATAAGTCAGAACAGCGGCTGCTGCTTCAGTAGGGACTCCACCCGTGTGGCTTGATCATAGGTATATGCTTTAGCGATCAGCGACAGATGTGAGTATGGGCTGAGGCCGATGCTTTGAGTCTAACAAATGCAGTGGAGATCACACGGAATCGCGGAATGATAGATGTATGATATTATCGAGCTGGGCGGCCTGGCAACGAGTTTCAAAGCACCATTCCGCTCCACCCAGGTGCATACGCCATTGGCACTCGTCGCCTCGAGTAATCTACTAGCGTCGCCGATCGCCGACGCGTCTGCCGAAAGCAGCAGCCCGTTTGACGCGCGCCGTGTCCCGCCCCTTCTCCTGTCCCGATCCCGGACGTACCTCGACGACGGGGGTTGGGCGGGTGAGAGGACCCGATCCGGGAAAACACCCCTCTTGACACACACACTTACGAGCGGCCAGCGGCCAGCGGCCAGCGGACATTCAGGCGATTCAATGCCATGTCGGTCTGGCCTAGCCCCCCCCGCCCTGTTCGTGGTTCGGGCCAGGCCCGGCACACAGCGCTCGCCAACACAAAGCGTTTGCCCCGTCTCGTCTCAGCTTACATCCTGCTACATTTACAACGTGCCCCGCGGAGCTAGGCACTCAGCGCCGAGGGATGAATGAATGGGATCTTGCTTAATGAATGAGGCGGCTATGTGCGCGGCCTTGCAATGTTCGGGCTGGGGTCAGCGGCGCGAGGGGAGTGCGACACCATTGTTGACAACAGTTAGCAACAGTTGGCAACTTGGGCAGCACAGAGTTGTATCGGGGATCGGGCAAGACCACGCAAGCGGAAGATGCGGGGGCACTCACCTTATTACTGGGCTGTCCCACCAACAGCCTGTGCACCGGTAGCCCGAGCGAGGCGCTCCTCGGCGGCCTTGATCTGGGCCTCAAGTTCGGCGAGCTCGTTCTCGAGGTGCGGAATGAGCGACCGCCTTGGGTTAGCGTGTATGTTTCAATTGTTTCAATATCAGAGGAACATAAGGATCATAGGATCGACAGTTCGCAGGGGAAAAGGAATGCTTTTGATGGGAACAGAGGGGGGCAGGTGGTGATCGGGTCATGGGTGTGGGAACGCACGCCACGTCTCAAGCCTCAGGATGGCAAACATTCCTATGAGAACGTGGAAGAGGCAAGCAACGAGCTCATCCTTGCCGACAGTCACTCGCGCACCCAGATGGCTTCGCGCTCGTGTACAATGTACCAGAGGGTGGCAAAGAGGTCGATTGCTTGCCACAGCATCGCGCGCGGGGCGTGGGAATAGATGAAGCTGAAATGGAATGTCGGCGTGATTGCCCCATTCATTCACAGTCGTGGCGAGCGAGTAGCTTGCCCTACTGGAAAAGTGGTCGCTCCGACAGCTCGCACCCACGACCCGCGCATGACCTTCCCTCGTCTCGTTGACACAACACTGGCAAGCTGAGAGCTGACGGGGCCAGAACTGAACAGCGCTGTTGTTGAAGCGACTCACCGCTTCTGAAGAGTACGCTCAAGCTCCTGAACCTGAACGTCGTCCTTTCCGGCGGCAGCGGCACCGGGGTTGCGGCGTGCGACGCCCTCTGAGAGAGTGGGCATGGTGTTGGCCGAGGCGGTGGGGCGCTGCTGGCCGCCTACAACGGCGTCCATGAGGGAGGAAGAGGACGAGTTGTCGAGGCTAGGGAGGGCGAAGCCGTTCTGAGTGCGCTGGCGGCTGGGGTTAGCACGAGGTCGGTTGATGAGTGCGTAGGGAGGGGGGGGGGGGTGGTGGGAAGGAAGCCGGGGGCAGTGTGGGAAGGGGTGGCGAAAGGAGAGGTGTGATGTGGAAGAGGAGATGGAGACTGACTTGTTGAGCATGTCGTTGCGGTTCATGTTGTGGGAAGAGAGAGAGAAGAGGAGAGATGAGATTGATGAGAGATTGAGAGATGGAGATGGTCGATGGAGAGGGGGCTATAGATCTATAGAGGGTATAGAGGGTATAGAGGGGGGCAGCGCAGAGCTACAGAGGTACAGAGATCCAGAGATTAGCGTTTCGTGTTCCCCTCCTCGTCCTCCTCCTCCTCGAGTTCACATTCTCAATTCTCAATTATACTGTACATACAATTGATTGACACGCGTCATTCTCACGCTTGCGTCCAGCAGCTGCGTAGGCAGTGTACGCCAGCCAATCCACCAGTCCACCATGCCTGCCACCAGCTGGCCAGCTGCACCAAGAAGCCTTGGGTGTAGAGGGCATGATGTAACTCGTGTCTTGGAGTCGTCGGGTGACGGGGAGGGAGCCATGAAAGGAAAGTGAACAAGCCAAGCATCCACCCTGTTTCACATTCCACGTGCCATCCCTCCTCAAACCCGTTACAAAACACGCGACGCGCGACGCGTCTCACCCCTGGCCCCAACTAGTCCACTTATCCACTCTCAACCTTTTTCTCATCTCTCCAACATCTCTCAATTCTGAACAGACTCATTTGCGGTCCACAGCTCTTCTCATTCTACCCGTTCTACCTGCATACCTTTTATTCGCAACTTGCTCGCCTCCCTGCATCCCACCATCTGCACCCGACGCTTGGGCCTGCCTCTTTGACGTCATCTTGGTCGCGGCAGAATTTTCTATTTCCCTCTACTCGTACTGATTCACGGCTGCTGATACACTCACGACCTCACCATTGATCGGACAGTTGAAGCCGAGTATATCGAGCAGCCCAAGCAGCGCGAACAGGCAATCATGATCAAGAAGACACATGACTGGGCTCGCAATCAAGGACCACAGACAGCCGGATGCAGATTGTCAATAGGCAGGCGCGCAGGCGCGTACTCACGCGTCGAGCAACTGCGACCGCATCCCGAGGGACAAAGCCTTCAAGACAAAAACCCAAGCTTTACATTTCGGCCTTTCCAGCATTTCACCACGATCGCCACAGCCACCATAAGCCTTTCAATCAGCTAAGCCAGCTATCTCGTGACCCTGCGAACACATTCAGAAGCTTTGACCTCCAATACGTATACAACTCACATGGCTCATGATCTCGACCGAGCAGCTCGCACCTCGTAATTGCGCCCGCGATCCCGCAACCACACCTTGTTGCGTACGCGTGACCTCGGCCTCGGGCAATCGCCAGCGACGCCTGCACGGACCACTCTTTGCATCCCGTGCTCACAGTTGTGTTACACCATGGGTGTTGCCATTGTAGCGCAGCGCAACGCGCATCTGTTTGCTGCTCCAGGACATTGAACCCGACATTGCAGGTTTATCTGAGGCCAGAGCGAGGTACTGACGCTCACTGATCACTGATTGCTGGCCGCAACGTACACCTGGCACGAGGCCTGCCGCCACCAGCCTCGAGGCTCGAGCGTGGCTCGAGTTCGCATGAGGATACGAGGATCCACCACCTACACGATGAGCGGCGCCCGATTGCGGCGACTGCGCACTAGGTAGGCTACAGGCTACCATGCTGCGTGCATGTTGAGGAGGGGATGGCGGAGTGGGCGCTGTCATCTGTTCATGTCAGTGGACACTCGATGCCGAGGAGCGAGTCACTCATCTGCTGCTCGTTCACTTATCAACTAGTCTTCACTCTAGCTTCACTCCTTCAAAACATCAGTAAACCCCTTCACCAACTCCTGCGCGTTTCAGAACTCGCTTCGCGCCCACTCATCGGCGCACGCCACACCCTTCCGCAGCCAACCCCACACACTCCGCATCTCATCATGGATGACCATGACGTCAAACAGTGGGTCTACACGCAGTGGCAGAATGGCAGCGGCGTGAGTATCATGTCTACTCTTAATGGCCACTGACTCGCTCAGAATATTGATCCTCTGGGTGCAATTGCAGATGCGGGCATGCTTGAAAATTATGTTAGTCCGGACTGAAGCGGCCCCCTGTTGTCGGATCGGTGTAATGCTCGATGATTGCTGACCGCAGTGCGTCGCGCCCCCTGCCGTTGCTGAAGGCGCCGAGGTGTCGTCCGCCTCAACCGCCTCCTATCCCTTCGGTCTCCCCACGCCTCTCTCTTCACCCACCACCCGCCTCACCTTTGGGGGGACAATCGATCCGCGGCTGCTCGGTGGAGGTGCGCCCTACGCAGGACCGCCTTCGATACACACCTGCGCACACAGCGACGACGACGGGAGCTTCTGGTAGGTAGTAGTGGCGATCCCTCGCTTGCACAGCGCAGAATGCTCGAGTCAGCAGCTGATCTTCTTTTCCCAAACACTCCAACTTTTATCACAACATCGTTCGCCTCATCATCCTCAATTGTCCTTTCCTTGCCGCCCTCATGTCCAGCTCCGACACCTCATATCCTCCATGCACCCCCCCGGGTGAGGCCGGAGACCTAACCCCACTGGACCAGCATCCGAACGCGATCCGCGACCCTCCCTCACCTAGTGATTTTCTGCTACACCCCAAGCGGGCCCGGTTCGGCGCCGGGGGAAACCTCGTGAGTACTGCCAGCACTGTCTGAGGTGATCAGTGGACTAGCTGACATCAGTCGCTGCTCGAGAAGTGCAAGAGCCCGCCCCTCCACACTGTGGGAACCCCTGTGCGCCCCATCCCTCGGCAGCGCAACCCACCGTACGACTATAAGTCCAAGCGCCCAACCACTGCGTCGTCTTCTACTCGTTCCACCATCCAGCAGCGCCACCATGTTGTCCTCGCTCCGATGCGCCGTCTCGACGTGAGCGATGGCGAGGACCAAAGTGACGATGACGATGACACCAAGATTGGCGTGGAAAAGGACGAGGATGACGTGGGCAAGAAGACTCAAGACTTAGCGGCGGCCGAGCCTGGGAACGACGATCACAACGATGACGATACCCCCCTCCGTGAGGCCACACCTAGCGAGGCAACAGTGGAACTGGACGACGACTACGTTCCAATCAACAGCGTTCGCACTCGCGGCTCCAATCGCCACAAGACCACACGCAAGGTCAACAAGGAACCTGCTCAAAAGACCACCAAAGCCAAGGCTACTGAGGCAACCAAGGCTGCCGCCACCAAAACCAAATCAGCAACGACTAAGAAGGCCAAGCTTTCGAAAGGCGCTGCGGGTGAGCGCCGCATGTCTCAAAACCGGTGGTAAGCTTTCGATAATTATCTTCGTACTTACTTCAGTGCTCAGAAGAAATACCGGGACAAGAACAAGCGCCTCGCTGATCTGGTAAGTTTGACGTGTGGGCGGGCTGACCAAAGCGTATCAACTTTAACCTTGCCGCCATCCGTGTGAGCCGTGAATACGAGGCTGGCGATATCACGTCTGAAGACGCTATGGAGCAGCTGATTACTGCGTCCGACCACTTTCGTGCGGACATGGCCGGTGAGTCCCACCCGAACCAAGCTGATGGAAGCGACGTGCCCTGCGACCGGGCAGCAACTTGAGGAGGACATCCTCAAAATGGATAAGGCGTGACGGGTTGAGCATTAGCGCGCGTACACAGTACATGAATTTCCACAACTCTCCACAGATCTTAGCGCACGTTGTATACTGTAGAGTAGATGGTCGTGGGTGATGCCACTGTGCCAATGCCACTCACAAGTGGGGAAGGAGGAGCGGAAGCAAATTGGTGAATCCAAGTCGGCCTCCTTCGTCCCGACTTGCCATTGACGTTCGTCGCTTTGTTGTTGTTCCATCCGAGTTATCCACCATGGTCGACGTCCAAACACCCGCCGCGGCTACGTCAGAGCAGGCCGAGAGCTCTCGCGAGGGTCTCCGTCGCATGCAGCGTTTAAGCGAGGCTACACGCGTCAAGGCAAACCAGTACGTCTCTCCTCCCCTCCCCCCCCCCCCTCCACGGCTTCTCACTTGTCCTCATACTTTTGGGCCTCGACTCTGCCAAATCTCCCGGTCATCTCTATTGAGATGTGAGCGCTAATATTAGTCACGTTGGCGCTTTCCACCCTACCACCTCGGCGCTTGTGTATCCCCCTACTACTTCGCGGCGGCACCATGTCGTCACATCCGTCTTCGGCAGCGCGGCGCCGCGCGCTGTTCCCATGAGTCGATTCTTCCAGCCGGCCGAGGCGATTGAAATCTCGCCCGACGGCGCATGGATGGCAGCCGTGCACGCAAGTGGGCCGACCATGCGCCCGGAGATTAGTGACGGCGGACGCGTTGTCATCTACTCCTCTTCCGTTCTCGACCCGTCGACCACCCTGGGCAGCTTCATGCCGATGTGCAACTTCTCCCTCTCCGCGCCTGTGCTCGCCATGACACACGTTTATCCTCCGCGTACGCGACTAGGGCCAAGTGGCGCCGAAGCAGCGCCAGCCCTCGGACCTGTGCCGCCGCCAGGCCACAGCGCTGCCAAGACACGCGGACCCACTCTCGTCGTGTTGACGAGCGAGCTGGTGTACCTCTTCCACCCCCATCCTCTTCCCGGGACCGTTGTCCTTGACACACAGTCTTCGCACTCTGTTCCGACCGGAAGCGTAAGCGCCACCGGCAGCGGCGCAGCCGCGCCCCTTAACTGGACCATCAACGCCCTCAGGTGTCCTCTCGGTGCGAGGAGTTATGCCGACATCGCCAACGGTGGGCCCATGACGAGCAGCTACCGTGTACAGCGCGGATGGCTCGGAATGGTAGGCGGCAGTGACGGGGTGTGGGCCGCTGTTGAGCGTAACGGCGAGCTGAGCGTGATTCGGATTGACATTGGCCTGGACGCGAACAATATCCCATGTACGTCCAAGAGAGCTGTTGTGTGCAGGTGAGCTGATGGCAGTCCTCGCCACGACGCCGTTGCCCGCCCTTCCGCGCCCGCGCCCGCCTCCCTTTCCCGACACGACGGTCGTGCCGGACGCCTTCCTCGAGCACGTCGTCTTCGTGCCCCTCAAGGAGGGCACTGCGAATGGGAGTGTTGACTCAGGGCCGTCTGACCCAGGCGTGGCCATGGTTCGAGTGTTCCGCGACGCAGACAGCTCGGGGGCACCGAATACACCTCCGCGCTTGCGCACTCGCTTCGAGCTGTGCGAGCTGCGTCACCGTGCAGTAACACTAGTGGAGGGGTTCAAGGACCTTGGGCCTGCCACAGACGCGCCGACGCCCTTGGACTGGGTGCCTTCGCATGCGCGTACAACCTCCATATCGCCTGAGGGCACAACATTGCTCGCGCTTGCACCGCTCCCCGACGTGCCACCTCACACGCTCGCTCTCGCCCTGGTCAACTCGGGCTCTGGGCTCGTCTTGACGCACGTCAATCTCGTGCCTCCTTCTGAGGGGGATACGGATGGCACTGGTCCGGCGCGATGGCACGCGCTGACGGGCGAGGAGCGGGCAGTGGACCCGGCCGCAGCACTAGGTCCCACAGGCGTGGTCAGCCTCGCGCCGAGCCAGGGCACGCGGCGCGGCGAGATGGGTATCGTTGGCGTTTTTTCTCCTTCCACACCTCGCCTGATCCCCAGTCCACGTCTGGGAGCACCAGCCACCCCGAGCGAGAGCTTGAAGGCGACCGCTAAACGTGCAGCGCGATCTGTTGAACTTGCCGTTGTCCAAGGCGTTGACTGGAGCGACGCAGTGCGAGCCGCCTTCGCGACCGTCCCGCCTGCCGAGGGTCCCGAGCTGGCAGGTGCCATTCTCGAGCAGGCGCTCAGCTTGTTCATTCAGCACTCGCGCTCGTATGTCCCTCACATCCTGCGACTGCAAGTGGCGGTGTGGGCGCTGGTCGACGACCCGCGGCGCTCGCTCGCTGCCGAGCTGTTGCGAATTGCGGAGGGAAGCCAGGCCTTCTACCTCTGCGGCGAAGAGAAGGAGGGAGGGGTGACATTCGACCTCGACAGTGTCTGGAACCTCGTGGACATCTACGAGTGGGGCCTGAGCGTGCTCGGGCAGACGATGCGGGACGCAGTAGCCGAGCGCGCGCAGAGCGAATGGGCTCCGACCGAGCCCAGGACGGACGGCTCGTCCAGACTGCTGTACGTGGCCCACCCTCTGCTCCGGCGCATCCTCGCGCACTTCATCGCGCTTCTCGACGCGTTCGCCAAGTTCGTCATGTCTTTGGACAGGCCGATCCGGGCCCCCGACTCCTCTCTGCTACTGGGGCGGAGTGCGCAAGCCACCTCGGTCGCCTCCACCCGCATCCTGGACGCGACGGGGCGCGAGGGCGTCGACCTCAAAGCATGGGGTGACTTCCTTGCGTCTGTCGGCAAGGGCTCCCGGCCCAGCGACGCCGACACGTGTGCATCCCTCCTCCGCCTAGACTTGGGCCCCATCGCCTCCTTGCTCCCCTCCATTCTCTCCGCCATGCCGACTAGCTCGGCACTTTTCGCCCCTGCGGCAGCAGCCGAGCCGATTGCCCGCGACGGCGTGACTTGCGCGCCGCTGGGCGAACGCCCCACCGCCATTTGCGACCGTTGCAATGCGCGCACTGTGCTGACGGCTAACAACGTTATGCGGGGGGCGGTGCCGTCGCCCTGGGCGGCTTGGAGGAGGACGTGGACTGCAGGGTGCTTATGTGGAGGGACATGGATGCGGCAGCATTTAGAGGCGCCGGCGGGACTGCGGCCTCGATAGGAGCTTGATTATGCAACCATGCAGTGCTACTGTGTAGTCTCGTCGTGACTGCAGCTTTTGATGGCCGTGGCCGTTCTCGCAATCAGGACACAGATGCATCTGTACATGATCCAGAGAGGATGTACCTGCACAAGTTGCGGATATTCCACAACCCACGCGACTCTGCTCCCGCCCTTGCCACCCGTGCCTTAGGCATTCTCCGCTCGAAATCTTCGCTCACCAGCGGCTCGACTGAACTCATGACTCCATCACAAACAACCATGGCCACCACTGCGACCGTGACGCGCGACCCCGACCTCGTGTCCGCGCTCAATGCGCGCAACGCGACGTTTGCGACGCTCCTCTCCTTCATCCCGCAGCAGTACTACATTGGGCCGAGCGAGGAGCAGCTCGACAGCCGCTGGATGAAGAACAAGAAGCGCAAGACGGGCGAAGAGATCAAGGAGCACAAGCGGCGGGCGAAGCAGGAGAAGGTGCGTTAGGAACTGCAGGCCAGCTTCAACTGTGCCATGGCGCGGCGAGCTCAGCTTTGCGTGACTGACCACAGCTCGACCCCTCGAACCTCACGGCGGCGGTGGACGACGTGCCCGAGGTCTCGGAAGCGGGTGATGCGGCGCTCCCGCCCGCCATTCCCGCGCCCCTTCCCCCTGCTGCGTCGATCAGCGACCTGCGCGAGCGCATGCGGGCCAAGCTCGACCGGTTTAAGCGGAGCCGCGGGTTCGACGACGATCCGCAGTCGCGCGACGCGCTCGAGGCGGCCGCGAGGCAGCGGCGCGGAGACATGCGGGACAAGCGGAGGAAGGAGCGCAAGGAGGCGATCAAGCGGCAGCGCGAGGATGTGCATGCCAAGCCGGCCAAGGTATGTGTCGGTCCTGTCGAGGGGCCGATGGCGATGGCGAAGGCGAAGGCGAGGTCGATGTCTTGACCAGTGTGGTGCCACTTGGTCACTTGAGGAAGCAAAAGCTAACACTTAGACGCAACTTATCGTGCCCGAGATCCGCAAGCAGGTGGACGACGTGATTCTTCCGTCCGTCGCTCTGCCGTCTGCCAAGTCGACAAAGGTGCCGCTGAAGAAGCTGGCGAACCCGTCCCAGGCGCTGGCGCACCTCGAAAAGCACAACAGCAAGTTGGCGCAGCTGCCGGAGGAGAAGCGCAAGGCGGCGCTGGAACGCGACCTCTGGGCCAAGGCTGAGGCGCGTGCGGCGGGCACAAAGATTGCAGACGAGGAGAAGGTGCTCAAGAAGGCGGTCAAGCGCGAGGAGAAGCGCAAGGCTAAGAGCGGCAAGGCATGGAACGAGCGCAAGGAGCAGCTCGCCAAGGCGGCAGCAGCCAAGGCAGCCAAGCGCAACGACAACCTTGCGAGCCGGGCCGAGGGGAAGCGTAACAAGCGTCTGGGGATCAAGGACAAGAGCAAGGACAAGAAGGTGGGAGGTAGCAAGGGCAAGGGCACGCCTGGGTTCGGGGGCAAGAAGGGGGGCAAGGGCAAGGGCGACAAGAGCGGCAAGGATAAGAAGGCGCGCGCGGGGGCCAAGGCATAGAGAGCGAGCGAGAGAGTATGGTTGCTTGCATGTATTATCCTTAGACTATGGACGTTGCAGGTGCGCGGCATGCGCGGCTTGCGCGGCTTGCGCGGGAGTGGGATGATGAGTATATATGTGAAGAGCCAAGTGAACAATGTGTGACTGAGGGCTAAAAGGCAAAGTGCACGGCTCAGATTGCCCAGATCTCATCTTCTTGGCGCAAGGGAATGGCCGGCATGGCCGGGCGACGTCATCCGGTGGCCGGTGGATGAGTCGCGTGTTTTGAGCGCCGATCGAGCTGAGAGCGTGTCTCGGTCTCGGCATCCCCGGGCTCATCTCTTGGCCTTTTGCTCCTACTCCATCCACTTCATCCTCCTCATCATCAGCATTCACTCTCTCACTCACACCCTCACTCACACGTTCAGCTCACTCTCCCTGTCTCTTCACCTCTCTCTGGCCCCGTCGCAGGCTTGGGCGACGATCGCCCCCTCGCTCCTGCATCCACTCCCGTCCACTCCTTCACCTGCGCCTGCCCTCGCACCTCCCTCACTTTCCGCCCTCCAGCACATCCCCACCAACCACGCATGGCAACACTTCTGGCCGTGCCCGGCGACCTCGTGCCGCGCGCACACACCGCCCTCAGTGCAACGGCCTTTGCCCTCGCTCTGTCCGCAGGATATATCAGCGGTCTCTGGGAGGCGCTGTGTGAAAACTCAGTCGCCAAGTGGCCTGAAGAGTGGTTCCCTTCCGTGTCTGCGACGTAAGTGACTCGCACTCCTCTCCACAACACGGATGGTGGACGCGCAACTCATCCACCCGAGTCGCGCCCCCCCCTCCCCTCACCTGCAACATGCTAATGTCCCAGGATCGGAGATCATGCCGCGTCGCGAGCGCCCTTCCAGATTGCTATTGCGCTCACCGCTTTCCCTCGCTTCGCGCTGCTTGCATTGCAGTGGGTAGCCCACCGCTATCCCCCTCGCAGACGGGGTGCGTCGCACTCCCTCTCTCGCGTTTCCTCTCCAAGCGCGCCAGTCGCATCAACCCCAGACGGCCTGCGCAGCAGGAAACACGAGCACGAGCACGAGCAAGATCACGCCTCCCTTCACGACAATGGTGCCACTCCCAAAGATGTGGAGCCTGCAGCTCCCGCTGGCTGGGCCGACGTCGAAGCCATGTGCGGCCTCGGACGCACGTTCTGCTGCGGTGGGTGGATGTATATCACCTCGCGCGACCAGCACGACCTTCACGATCTATTCATGATCGTCTATCTCGTACTCAATGTGCCATGGATGGTGCTTTCAACGCTGCACTCTACGACGCAGAAGGCGCGTCAATGGCGGTGAGTCGGCCCATTCCCACACGGTCGCATGCCTTTGACTTCGGCTGACGGCAGCACCATCACAGCAGCTGGCTTCATCCTTTCCATCCCGCCCCTCATTCACTTCTTCATTAAGCATTCGGTACGCCGCGTCCCTGGCGCGTACACCCAGTACGCATTCTTCGAATGGGGACTTGTTCTCTGGGACGTTGCCTTTGATGCTGGCTGCTTGTTCGAGCTCGGCCACCTCCAGGTGCGCATCGTTGACATGACGCGCGGCGACGAGCCGATCAAAGGGTGGGTTCAAGCATAACATGGCATGTATTGATTGCAAGTGCGAACGGGCACGGCCTCTACATTGCCCCGGTCCCTGGGTCACGCGCGCGCGTCGAGGAGGACTGGACGGCCCAGCCTTCGCCTCCCAGCCGTCTCCCCAACCCTGCCCTCTTCGCTTATCTATCTGACGTGTGGTTCGCGACAGTCTTCTGGACGCTCTTTACCGGTGTGAGCGTCCAGCTGTTCTACTGGAGCGTATGGAGTCTCTCCCTCACCGGCTCGGAACTGGCTGTGCTCATCAATCTTACCCCGCATGTCATGAGCAGGCGCAATTACCGTGCCTACGCCATGTCCCGCGAAGGCCAGTTCACCCACCGCGCCCTCATGTGCGGCCTAGGCTTGGGCTGTTATGCCTTGCCTTCGGTGGCGGCACGTTTCCTCTGCGTCGTTGGTGCGGTGTGGTGCGCCTGGTGCGCATTCATGGCCGACAACATGCGGGTGCGGGGCTCTCCTGAGATGACCGCGCATGCCAAGAGTGAGTCCAACGCGGTTGAGTGTGCGCAAGGGGCTGACCTCAGTTTTCCTCACCGGTCTCCTGGCTTGCATGTTGGGCAAGTACTTGTGCCATTCAAATAATCCCTTCTGGGCCATCGTGAACGAGGACAGCGGCGGTTGGAACAAAACGGGTCTCCTCCTCTCCGCCCTCGCACTCACGGAATACTACTACCGCCCCAACAATCTCTTCCCGGCTCCCCCCGTTTCCGTAACGCTGAAGGACAAGCCTGCCGAGGTGCAGACCACGCGGGCCCAGCGCGTGGCGATCATCCTTGGCCTCGGCGCTCTCATTCACCTGCTGCAAACATTTGTCTGCGACCCAGGTACGATCATCGCTTGGTCCTGGACTGGGTACCCCGCCACCGGTCCTCTGCTTCACCCTTGGGGCGGTGTGACGCTCGCCGTCGCGGCGGCCGGCGCCATGGTCAACTTTGATGCTTTGAGTCCAGCCACATGGCTTATCCCGTTCCCCGCCGCCGTCGCTCTCTTCCGCCAGGACTGGGTCGGCTATGCCGGCGGCCTCGTGCTTGTCTTTTACCTCGTGGCGACAGTTCCCGCCCTCTTCCGTGCAGCCTCCGCCCTTCCACCATCCACCTGGGGATACGCGGGCGCGTGGCTCGCGTTCCTTGACGTCGCGTCGGTCTTCACGGTTGCGTACGCCTTCGTGCCCTTCGGCTGGCTTCTGCGAGAGAGAAGCGATCTTATCATGACAATCCTTCTGGTCCCCCTTCCTTTCGCTCTGCGCGCCGCCCGCGCTCTGCAGCCCTCTCTCCCTGGCCGCACTGCGCTCCAGGCACGTTCGGCGACACGCGTGCGCAATGTTGGCCGGTGGAGCGTGATTGCAGCCGCGATCATTGCCATCGCTGGCGTCCTCACTGGGTTTGAGCGCGCAGCCGTCTCGGCCTCAGACAAAAACCCACCGACGCCTTACTTCCCCGATCACAACATATTCACTGGCGGCATCTACACCGTTCACTTCGGAATTGACGAGCCGGGGCGTGACAGCCAGCGCCGCATTGCCTCCCTCGTAGAGGAGATGCAGGTCGACGTGCTCGGCATGCTTGAGACCGACCTCCACCGCTTTGTGTATGGCAACCGCGACCTTACGCGCTACATCGCTGAGGAGTTGGGGTACTACGTCGACATTGGCCCCGGGCCCAACAAACACACATGGGGCGCGGCGCTGCTGTCCAAGTTCCCGATCTTGAATAGCACGCACCACCTCCTCCCCTCGCCGCACGGAGAGCTGGCGCCTGCGATCCACGCGACGCTGGATGTGCACGGGCAACGTGTCGACGTCATCGTCTCCCACAATGGCCAGGAGGAAGATCCGCTCGACCGTGAGCTCCAGACGCGCGCTCTGGCCGATATGCTGCATTTGACGGGCGACACGCCCACCGTCTTCCTCGGCTACCTCGTGACGCGTCTCGGCGCGGATCCGCCCAACCCCTACGGCCTGCTCTTCAACGAGTACTCGGGTCTAATCGATGTGGAAACACTCGACCGCTGGCGGTGGTGCGAATACATCGGCTTCCGCGGGCTGTGGCGTATCGCCTTCGCCCGCCTCGAACACGGCACAGTCACCGACACCGAGCTGCAGGTCGCAAAGTTCATCCTCCCTTTGCCCGGCCAGAAGGCAAAGTACGCCAAGGAGGGGCAGCTGTACTGGCACATCGGCGAGAGCGACATTCCGGAACCGTGGCGCCTGCCAACGCAATTCAGGGGCAAGGGCGTGCGCGGTCACTCGTATCGCATTTGGGACGGGCCTCTGTATTATCTCCCGCCTTTGCACTCGGGCGTGCGCGCGTACGGCTTGGACGGGCGCACCGATTGGCCGCCCGCCGAAGCCGAGGAGGACATGCGAATTGCGCGCGAGCAGGGCACCACTGTCGAGTAGTGGGCTGGAGACGCTGGAGTGGTATCTTCCGTAGAGTTTGCAGATGTAGTGTCGAATCCACGAGCTTTCTGGTGATAGTCCAGCATACACTCCTCCTTGATCACTGATATCTCCACGTGACCGGATTTGCCGGCGACTTGTCCGAATATCCGAGGCTTGCCGCCCGCACAAGCAACCGCCGTCAACAAAGCAGCCGCCAGCGGCCAGCGGCTACGTGAGGCACGCCACCCACCCGCAGCGGCAACATGTCTCGGCACTTGGCCGCGTCTGCACACCTGTGACAGCGATGCCGTGACGTCTGCTCTTCGCTTACGCACATCTCCGCTTGACCGGCTCCTCCTCGCCCAGTAACACCCGCCTTTTGCTTTTTTGTGTAATGCATATACAGATGTTACAACCCAAATGGGACATGCTAATGAAACCGAAAAGCATCTACTGAATACCATGCACTGCTGCCAATCCACCCCCGCGGCACCGCTGCAGCTCCGGCTGCGCACTTCCCTATGCCTTGGTGACAGGTGCACCCGACCAGCGGCGCCAGAGCTCGTCCATGACGCGCTTGCGCTCCATGGCGGCACCGCCCTCGCCGGCCATGACGCTCTTGTTCTCGATGGCGCGACGCGCAAGGTACGGCAGTACCTCCTCAAGCTTGCCGTACGCGATGTACTTGAGAGCCACGGGGAGGCCGTCCGAGTCGAGCGTCTCGGCGACCTTGTCGGTCAGGTCGTCGCGCATGCCGTACAGCTGCGCTACGAACACCTTGCCGCGCACATCGTCGCGCAAGACGAGGGGCGCGACAGCGCCCGTCATGTGCCCCTCGGCCCCCTTCGGCACCTGGCGCTTCACCAACCCAGTACGCTCGAGCTCGTTCAGAACGTGCTCGACAGACTCGGGGTTGTGCGTCGCGTACACCGCCGACAGCGCAAGCTCGGGGTTCGGCCCATCCAGCTGGCGCGCCATCGTTTCGACAACCTTGGACACGGACGTGTTGTACGCCCGGTCCGTCGCGGGCTTGTTTGGCCAGATGGGGTTGGTGCCGCTGCGGCCCTCCTTGATCCAGCGCGCCGAGTCGGCGACATTGTACGCGCCGCGCACAAGCTTGACGCCCAAAGCGTACCCGTTCGCCTCAGCGTCCGCGATCATCATGTCGAGGAGGTACGGGGCGCGCGCGAGGTAGCTCTGGAACGTGCCGAAGACGATGGGGCCAGCGAACGGCTTGCCCGGCTGCGGACGGTTGAACTCCTGGGCCAGGAGCAGCGTGAGAGCATCCATAGCCGGCTGCGTCTCGGCGTGCTCGGCGTCGATGAGGAGCTTGACGTTCTTGTCACGCGAGAGAGCGCTCATCGCGCGCATCTTGCGCCAGAGCGCATTGAGCTCGTCCATGTCCGCGTCGGTTACGTTCAGGTCGGTGGCGAGAATGCCCTGAGGTTCGAAAGATCCGATCGTCGGAACGACGGCGTTGGCCATAGCGGGCGGTGCAACAATCGCCGCATCGCTACGCTGGGGAACACCAGGGAAGGGGATCTCGGTGATGCTTGCCGATTGGGGTTGGTCGTTGGCCACAGGACGAAGGCGGCAAAGCGTAGTCGAGGCACGCTCCAGGACGGCGGGGTCGATGAGACCGGACTGGCGATTAGCGATGCACTCATCGTCGCCTCATTCCGAAATCACAATGACTCACAATCTTTACGGCAAACTGCGAAGAGCCGGTCTTGCCACCAGCCTCAGCCAAGCGGCGCTCGTACTCGCCAAGGGCCTCAATGGCCATCATGTCCTGACGATAGTTGTGTTCGTGGAGAGCGTGCTTGGCGTCCGCAAGACCGTCACCAAGCTCGGCCTCGGCGCCATAGTTCAAGAGAGCGCCGATACCGCGCGTGTTCATGAGTGCAATTGTCTCCATGGTCTCGGGGAGATCTTCCCCGGCAACGAACTGGGAGAAGAACGTGCGGCGGATCACAGCGTTCGTGACGGCGGCGACCCCTGGGATACGCGACTTGGAGAACGCGTCGAGAAGGGCAGGCGCGGCGTCGACCACAGCCGGCATCCCGCAAACGGTGTAGACGAGGTAGGCACGAATGAGATCGGCCGTGGGGACGCTGGCGATGTTGGAGCGGGTGGTGGTGGGTTCCTCCTCGGTGGTGCGGCCGTAGGTGGTGAGTGCGGCACCCGTGGCGAACACCACCGGCATGGTGGCCCACATCAAGCGGCGCGACCCATGCCACCCCGACCCCGAGCCGGCAGCGGGCCCAACCGCGGGCCCCGAGTGCGTCGACGCCGAAGCCACAGAGGCAACACCACGGCGCGCCGCGCGGAATGCAGATGGCAAGTTGCGGAGGGATCCCCGGAAGAACATTGGTGTTGATGGGATGGGATAGGTAACGAGGAGTGTTCGTCCAGACCTACCCAGATATATACACAGTCCCACCCGCGCGTAGGACGAGCGAACACTCGTCGCTCCATGCATGTGACGTCCGTATCGTCTACCTGCTCGTCGCCACCATGACCGAGCGCTTAGCTAGAGGCGAGCAGCTTCTAGCCGCCGATAAGGGAATTCCTTATTCCTTCCTAATGGAGATTATGCCGTGCCTTGGTCCCGATCCGAAGGTCTCCATTGTACCTGCGTCTAACCGCCGGAGGTCGCCGTGGTATGTACGCGCGGTATGTGTTCCGGGAGGTGTGGAGAGGCCGAGCGCCGGCCGAGATACACATAGGCGTTTGTTCGTGGGCGTCAAGCTCCATTCCAGTGCACCGAACATACATATATTGATGCTTCACGACGTCTTTTGAGGCGCTCAATAGCTCACGAAGGATTCGCAAGGTGCTCCAAAGTCGAAACGCATCGTTTCGGTCGGCGTTCTCCTTGCCACCCTTCTCCGAAATGCCACCCGGCTCGAAGTTACTGCCGAGGGATGCCGATCTTGACCCCTGCCACGTTGTGGTTGATAGAGTCGTGAGCCAACCGACAGATAAAGCCGAGTGGGCAGATAGTGGGGTGCGCGGTGGAGGCGGCGAGGACAATGGTCCGCATCACGGACCAACGGATCTGAGCGTCGTCTTACTAGGCGCCGTGGTGCCCAAGCTTGGTTCTACTGATCGGCTGGTTCAGACAACGACGACAACAACTGTGTCGCCGTCGCCCACCCAATGCCCGATCTCTTGACCTTCTTCCATTTCTTCCACCGGTTCCCAGGCTCCAATGGCCTCCGGTGCCTCAGGGTGAGGCCTTGCAGTCCAGACTCGCACTGCTGGAACCTTCATTTGGCGTGCCACGCGCTTTTGAAGCGAGGCAGCCGTAGCGGAAGGTAAAAGGCGAAGAGTCATTGTCATGCCATTGGGAGGAATGACGTTCAGGTCTTCGATCAGTGACGATCTGGGGCAGACTTACTGATCATCTTGGATTTGAGGTTGGATGATACTTTGAGTGGGGGGGCCTTGGGTCCAACATCGTGCTTTTGTATGAGCTCCGTGTACCGACCCCAGGCATCACGCTCAGCTGCTGGTAGGCGATCGACGTAGTGAATGTAGAATAGCTCCGAGTCCCAGCGTTCGGCTGAGGTGACATTGGACCCGTTTAATGACTTCAGCGCAGCCAGCTTTGCGATGAGAAGTGGCCTATCCGATCGCACGTCTCCACTCATACGCAATGGATCGGTGTTTTGCTTGGGCACTCCGTCTTCGCAACCGGCGCAGGAAATACGAAGTTTCTGTAACCGCCCGCTAGTCCAATCGTCGAGGCGGTCAATGTCTGCCCACATGGAGATGTGAGTGTCAACGAGCGTGAGGCCCGTGAGATACGGGAAGGCGGGTGCGGATCCGCGAGGTGAGATACTGCGGATACCGAGTTCAGAGAGCTGAGCCGTTGTGAGTCTCGCGTGAGCTAGAACCATACGAGGGAGTCTCACGATGGAAGGGCGGAGAGACCACAAGCGACATTCGACCACGAGTCAACACCGCACCCATCAATGCTAAGGACCTTCAGGCGGGCCATCGCAGCCTTGACATTTTGATCATGACGAGGGGAAAGGGTTACGATGTCAGAGTTGTGGTTAAGAAACAGCGTTTCAAGGGAGGGGAAGAGTGAAGCTACGTCCACCGCCTCGGCCCAGCTGAGTGCCGATTTGCCGAGATGCAGCTCTGAGACTGTTGAAAAGCAATCGCGAAGCCTCTTCTGCTCTTCGGAGGCGATAGAGCTGACATCTTGAATTCGTGAGTGGCTGGAGTCAGCCACTGCCTCGTCCTTCATCTCACTTCAGGATGAGCACTCTGAGCCCCGTAAGATGCGAGGCGATGTCTCCAACATCACTCCAGGTTGCAATGAGGTTCCTCGACAAGTCCAGAGCGCGAACGCCTGCGGTGAGTGGATGCTACACATATACCCCTAGATACCTTTCAACCGCTGTTTGAGAACGATACGCTGACGTTCGCTCCCTCCAAGTCGGGACACCCACTCATTCTCGAAGCCTACCTCGCGCAGCCGCTCGAGCCGCCCAATTCGCCTCACGACATCTCGCATCCCCGGCGCCTCAACGACAATCCGCGAGTCGCCAAGAAGCACGACGTCGGCGCCTTCCCTTCCGTTGGCCCCTTCTCCTTCCAATCCTCCATAGCGATCCTCGAGCGCCGCCACGAGGTCAGCGCCCTCGACCAGCGGTAGCGACGCGGAAGAGTACTTGATAAAGGCGCCGGCACCGGGATGACAGCGAAAGAATTGCACACTGTTGTACTCGCCAGAATGCTTGCCACGGGTTGGGTCGTCATATTCGACGCCGAGCCACGTCGAGTCAAGGCCGGGTAGCGCGCCAATATAGCGCAACGTCAGGGGAGCACGCGTTCGTGCGTTGAGGTACCGCCTGCCGACTGCGTACTCGCACATGACGAAAAGTTGAGTAGCAGGAGAGGGAGAGATCGATGATGTGCGGACGTGATGCAAAACCAAGATGCAAGAAGCAACTGGGTGAGCTCGGTCAACATGTCAGCATTCGCGAGCTTGGTTCACCTCCACCAGTTATCAGGTACCACCACGTGGTCTCGACGTGGCATGAGTGGAAGCGCCACACCGCAAGCCCGACTATTTCCGCGGGCACCACCGTACGCGGCTCTCACCCCAATGGCCCGGAGAGCAGAGGTAGGCCGAGGAAGGTGGTGCAGGCCACTCAGAGCTCGGCTATAACCTACTACACTAGTCTGATCACCTCCGTCTTCTCACCACTCCAGTCCGCCATGTCCATGCTTGTCCGTGCCGCCCCCCTCCGCGCCGCTCGCGTCGCCGCCGCTCGCCAGCAGGTCCGCTTCGCTCACTTCGAGAACGTTGTTGACAAGTGCGTCGCTGCCGTGTGCTCCATGTGTGCGTGTGCTAACGCACGCCCGTCTCTCTCGCGACTCTCTCCCATTATGCTCATCATGTCCTGCGCGCACATATCCCCTCGTTCTTACATCGCATGGCCCTCCGCTGTCGCAATACTCCCCACATGCACTATCACGTCATCCACACATCTTTGCGGCTCCCACCAACAGGACCATCCCCACCAGCGTCAACAACAAGTTTGGCCTCGCTGCCAAGATGGGTATCTACATCACCTGCGGCTTCGGTCTGCCCTTCGTACGTATCCTCCTCTTCTTGCCCACCATCACCTGCATTCATGGCTACTTTCGTCCTTGCTGACCGTAGTTCGCCTCGTGGTACCAGATCCAGAAGGCCAAGGGCGCTTAAACAATCATACAATATGCATCGATAGGACCTGGCTGCAAGATACGCAGAGCGTCTGGCGTCAGTGTGAAGTTGAATGAGATGGCCGTGACTACCCCAGCTGTCACCGCCAGAAGGAATGGACAAGGTAGAGGGAGGCGTCTCAGGCGGTCCCGGCGCGCCCCATTGTCCTTTTGTTCATTCATGGGCGTCGTCCTCCCTGTCCGGGCTTCAACCTTGGGTCTCAGCCTCGTCATACAAGTTGTGCTTTGGCCCCTCTTCGCCTGGACATGTGAGCAGGACATGTACGCATCCTTCTGGCCAGTTCATGCCGCAGGCCTCGGCGTTGTCCATGGATCCCAACCTGCACGGACTGGTGTAGTTTCATGACGCCCCGAGCCACTCCGATCATTACATGAGGGGGACAAATACAGTGCCACGAGGTTTGCATGCGTCATATGAGAGAGTGTGCGAGTGTGACTGCATGCAGCATGGTTGGGTGGCCATTCTCAACGCGTCTCATATTCTTTACTCCTGCGTCAGCTCTCTCAGCAAGCATGGACGGCCTTCGCGTCGCAAAGGTCGAGAACGTCGTCCTGGAGGGCACGGCACGCTCGCCGCCGCATGCTCGCCTCCGCGTCGAGGGCACGCTTCACCTCACTCCCCACCACCTCTTCTTCTCGCCAGCGTCGCAGGACGGGGTCAACATCGAGAAGCCGCGTGCGACGGCCACCGACGGGGAGATCTGGATTCCGTACCCCACCATCAACGTGCTGCAGCGTCTACCACAGAGCGCCGCAGGCAAATATCCTCTGCTCGTGGGCACCAAGACGTTTGACACGTACACGCTATTGTTCGAGAAGTGGGGCGAGGGCGGCGCTGAGGATGTGTGGGCCAGCGTACGCGACTGCGCCGTCACCCGTATGTTCTTGTGTGACTCTCAGCTGACCCAAGAATCCGTTGAACAGCTGTACGCTTTCTTCTACACTCTTCCACGCTCGCCGCTGGCCAGTACAAGTTCGCTTCCCGCTTCGAGTCCATCCCCAGCCTCCCTCGCCCCAGTCCCTTCCCCCCTTTCCCCCAACCCGCTACTGCCACCGTCATTATCTGCCGATGCACCGTCGCCGGGTGCTGTCTCTGGCACATCCAAGACCGCCGCAACCGGGTGGGGCGTGTACAACCCGCGCACGGAGTTTGCTCGGCAGGGCGTAGGCTCGCGCACGCGCGCGTGGCGCTTCACGGACATCAATCGCGACTACAGCTTTTCGCCGACGTACCCCGCTAAGCTCGTTGTTCCGACACGCATCAGTGACTCGGTACTAGCGTACGCGGCAAAGTACAGGAGCAAAGCGCGCATTCCCGCTCTCTCATACTTGCACTGGGCGAACCAAGCGAGCATCACCCGCTCGTCCCAGCCGATGGTGGGGCTCAAGGGTAACCGGTCCGCACAAGACGAGCGCCTGGTCGAGTGTATTTTTACCAGCCACCAGTCGCCCGAGAGCGCCGGCTCGTCACAGATCACACCATCCGCAAGCAGCTCAAACCTCGCTGCCCTCCCCGCGGCGCAGGTGTATGGTGCGACGTGCACGAACCTTATCATTGACGCACGCCCCACGACTAACGCCATGGCCAACGTAGCCAAAGGTGCCGGCTCCGAGAACATGGACCACTACAGGTGGGCCGAGAAGGCATATCTCGGCATCGACAACATCCACGTCATGCGAAACAGTCTCAAGACGGTGGTTGAGACGCTCGCTGAGGCGAGCGCCGGTGGCATGCCTGTTGATCGCGAGCGACTGCGCAAGTCAGGTTGGCTTAAGCATCTGACTGCCATCCTTGATGGGAGCGTTATGATTGTCAAGAACATCCACATCAACTCGTCGCATGTGCTCATTCACTGCTCAGACGGCTGGGATCGCACCTCGCAGTTGAGCGCGGTTGCGCAGCTCTGCCTCGACCCCTACTATCGCACTCTGGACGGCTTCCGGGTGTTGGTGGAGAAGGATTGGCTGTCCTTCGGTCACATGTTCATGCACCGCTCGGGGCATCTGTCCTCTTCAAAGCTCTTCACAGCGACGCCAGACAACATCGACGCAATGGACGATGAGAGCGACGATGACTTCGGGATCGCCGTTAAAGGGGCGCAGGCCTTTTTCGCGTCCATGTCCAAGCAGTTCACCTCGTCATCTCATCTGAAGGAGATCTCGCCCGTCTTCCATCAATTCCTGGACTGCGTCCGTCAGATCCAGCGTCAGTTCCCCGAACGGTTTGAGTTCAACGAGGACTACCTCCTTGACCTGCATTATAACCTGTACGCCTGCCAATTTGGCACATTCCTTTTCGACAATGAGCGGCAGCGCCGCGTTGCCGTCTCCGGCAAACCGTACGTGGAGCGTACGGTGTCGGCATGGGAGTGGTTCGACCTGCCAGCCCAGCGCGCTTCCTACCTCAACGCGGATTACAAGCCGGAGCTGGACGACCGCTCTGCTCGGGGTCCAGATGCCGACATGGGTGTACTGCACCCCGACCCGCGCGATGTGCGCTTCTGGCATCGTCTTTTCAAACGTGCCGATGAGGAGATGAACATGTCCGAGGCCTTTCGCGAGCCGCAACCGCCCGAAGCACTTCTCGTGGCGCCGTCTAGCGCGGCCGACCCGCGTCCGAACGTTAGGGTAGCTCCGCGAGACGCGGCCGCAGCGCATGTGCCGCCTCCAATTCTGCCGTACGCGCCGCGCGTGGTTTCCACGCCAAAGCGACCGGAGCCGATCCGCGCGTCCTCTAGCACCGGCTCCCAGACCACGATGCCGCGCGGAAAATGGAGCTGGAACTCGGTGGGCTCAGGTGCCCTCAGTGCGTTCAACACCATCCGTTCAAGCGCAACGGACGCCTACACCCATCTTCGCGAGCGCACGGACGAGGAATCGCCTCAAAGAGAGCTGGGTAGTTTTGAGCCAGGCACGGGCATCGGCGAGGCGCGCACGGTGCGCGGGCCGCTCGAAGCCAACCCCTGGGACGACGATGTTGCGGTGCGAACGACAGCGACATCGGCGCTAGTCCCAGAAGTAGCGCCGATCAGCGGCGGCCTCGTTGGCGAGGGTGTGGGTGTGGCTCGTGTGCGGACGAGGGAAGAGGTGAGGAATGGCCTACCGGCCAGTCAGTCAAAGCCGGCGCGAAGCACGACTGCTGAGCTCGCCGTCAACCCCTGGAGCGACATACCACGGCAGAGTCTTGCGGACCTGACTCTCGCCGAGGCCGCCTCCGCGTTGCGTGGGGAGAAGGAGGTGAAAGGTACAGTGGTTAATGAGGCGCCGAAGCCGGATGTCGCATCGGCGCCTCGTGGGAGTCACGCGTGGGATCCGCTGGGCGCGACATAGATAGCATTGCATATGTGTACAATATCTTAGCCGAAATTGGGCGCAGACTAGTTGGGACCACCATTTACGGCAATGCTGGTGAAGCAGTAGGTCTCAAACGGCGGCGGAGTAAAGTGCTGAGCATTGGAGGCATGTTCGGGAAGCGCGATGGTTATCAAGTACCTCGTGAGCAGACTGTCATTGGGGGTTGCAGCCGTGTTCACAGAGTTGCGCCCCCCTTGCCCCTTGCTCTCGACACTCCAAGAAGCCCAAAAAGCGACGCGAGCCAACAAGGTGCTGCATGGACATCGAAGAATGCAGGAGAGATATCGGGGTGCCATGAAGGCAGGAGGTGGGGTCGCAGTGGCGACGAACGACATGGTTGCGGTGGTGGCGAGCTTCGCTTGTGGCCCCGAGACCGGCTTGTTCGCCGCCACTGATGGTCTCAGAGGCGGCGAACAAGAACATAAAAGCGGTAAACAAGACAGCGTCGGGACCAAGTATAACGTATGGATCGTGTATGCGCTCGTTCTTGAGGATGCGGGACGCACGCTGGACGAGATCAACGAGGTGTCGCCGCATTGGAGCGATCTATCTGAATTTCAGTGAGTGTATGACAATAGCGCATTGCTAACTCCAGCCCCGAGATGGCGCGTGCTGATGCCCAGCTGCACGCAGCAGGCGTCGTGCACAGGATCCGCGACCCGTGGAATATTGCGACGCGCTGCCCCCGAACCGATGACGACAACGAGCCATTTCCCCACGACCGCCCTCCCCTTACGCTCCTCAACTTTGAGGACGCCACTTGTCGCGGCGATGCGTCGTACGAGCTCGCCCTCTCGAGCGAGCAGATGTATTTACAAATGGTGTTTGGTTCTGCGTGGGAGCAGGCCGCAGCGGGCGCGTGACGAGACGTTCTCCTGATTGTACATGTCCTTGTGTGAAGATGCGAAGATGATGTGCGCCACCTCCAGAAAAAAAACACGGGTGCAGCGAAACGCAGAATCGCTTTGTTCGGAGAGCGAAGCACAGGGCCGCCACGCATCTCGCTTGCCTGCATCACACATCTGCTCAACCCGCTTCTGCATCTCATTCCTCAAACCTTCCACCCTTTCCATAACAGTGGAGGACAACTTTCATCAAATTACACCTGGCCTCTCCCTCTGCTGCTAGCTGACTGTTGGGTCTAAATTACACCCATCTACACACACACGAGGAACAACTCTCAGCTCCCGGGCCGAAGCCCCCCAATGGATAAGTGGTTGCCACTCACGAGCTCCTTTGGGTGCCCTTCGTTTACACTTTCCAACTGCCTGAAGACCGGCGGCAGGACACCCCGCACTACCATAGAGAGGAGACATCTTTGTGATCCTGCTGGCGCGAGCTGGGGTTCACAGGCCTCTTTCTCCACATATTTCGCATCAATTGCTGTGTAGACACATTTGTTTCTGCTAGTTGTCCGTGTGGAGGTGGCCACACCTTTGTTGTGTGTAGGTTGTTGTTTTGCCACACTGGACTGCATAGACTGATGACTGCTTGCGATAGCGACGCGTGAGAAGGCCGCGACACTGTGTGTCACTAAGTCATATCGCTTGTCCTACAACACAGGATGCAAATGAAACTCTGCCATACTGCGCTTGGTCTTTCGTGCCTACGTCGTTTCCTGTCACGCTCCTCACCATCGGCTTCCTCTGCATCTTGACTACATGCACCGCCATCAGCTGCGCACTGGCGAGACCAACCGCCTGTGAGCGAGAGTAGCAACAAAGGGCGGTACAAAAGGTGGAACCGCTTGGGCGATGCAAAATATATGCGTACGCGAGGATGCCTAGAAAAATGACAGAAAAACTGTACAGAGAGTGTACAAACAGTACAAAGCAGTTTAATAGATCTTTACAGAGCCGGAGAGGCGATCCCTCTCTATGTACATCTCGTACATGTCCTCTGCCATTCTCTCACGGATCATCACCGTACTCCCTCATACGGCTCGTCAATACTCGTCCGTGTACGCTCGAGCAGTTCGACCTCATACCGACCTTTGTCGGTACCCTGGCTCACAGGACCGAGGTCAGAGGTCCGAGGCGGTTGACTGAATGTCGGGTGTGGAGGTTGACTGACGACATGTCGGGAGGTTGACAAGTCGACTGAAGCGGCTGACCTGCATGACCTGGCTGGTCGTCCTTATGAGTGGACCACGTGTCAGCTAGAGTCAACAAAGGTCAAGCGATGGCCCGGCACGAGGGCGAGAGGAAGCACCGATTCGAGGGCGAGTGTGGTGGTGGTGGACATAGGGGAGAACTACATGTGTCGGTTGATGACATACGAGGTTCGCCGTGAAAGGTCAAGCTCGAGAGAACCCGGCCATGACAGTCGCTCAAGAGCGATCCGGATGCGTGGGTTCATTTGAGTATGATTGCCATGAGGTGATGCCGGTATTTCGAGTGATGTGTCAAGGTGTCGCGGATGCCAGTCAGTGGCACCGGACCAGTACGTCGAGTGTCGATATGGGATATAGCACTGACGATAATGTTTGAGGAGGGATCTGATGTTGGCCGCCAGCCGAATCCTCTTCCGCGTGGACAGTCTCCACTTGCTACACGGGCGCCTCTCAAGATGGTCGCACAGAGTCAGGCGCCGTGCACGATTCGAACACGGCGCCAGTGGGGACGAGTAGGGCTCGCTACGTCTTTAGTAACGTGAACCTCCTGCCGCTGAAAGAGGCTCATGGCTGCTGAAATTGCCATTGCCATCCCTCAACACTCCTCGGGGGACAACTATGATCCCCGCCGCTGGGAAAGGCGTCGGCTCAGAACTTGCCAGCTCAGAGTACTTGCTGAGCGGTTTGTACTCCCTGCATCTTTGGTCGTACACCCCCTCCTGCCTGCGGCGTGAGATGTATGCCGCTGAGACAATGTCCACAACTACTACACAACGAGTACCTATTGTCTCTTCCTACAGATGCAAGCGAGAGTGACAGTCTGTCCAAACCTCACACGCTCAGTGGTGGTGGAATCGCTTGTTGCTTAACTTTCACCAAGAGTCTTTACGTCACATCGCTTATCGCCGAGCCTTATCTTGTGCCTTTCAAAGCAACCGAAAACCCGAATCCATCATCTGCTTGTCTCTCATCTCTCTCAACCACAATGGCATCCCCCACCCTCTCCCCCCCTCCGGCCTCCGTAGACACCGCAGCCCACGCCCTCTACGTCCTCCTCGACAGCAACCTGCCGACAGGCGGCTTCGTCGCCTCGTCCGGCCTCGAATCGTACGCGAAACACGGCTTCCTCTCGCCCTCGCGCGCCTACGGAGTCGCCGACGCCCCCGATATCCGCGGCGCGCGCGCCGCCCCCGGCCGCGAATGGGGCGCCGGCCGCGCGCCGCAAAGCGCCGCGCCCCTCGGCCCGTCCAAAGCCGGCCCGGCGCTCGCGCAGTTCGCCGCCGCCGAAGTCGACAACTTCGCAGCCAGCACGGCATGGTACCTCCGCGAAGCGTGGGCGTGCGTGCGCGCCGCCCTCGCCGCCACGGAAGACGGACCCGAGGGGTCAGAGGAGCCAGAGGAGCCGGAAGGTACACAGATGGCGGTCGCCCGCCTCGTGCGCCTCGACGAGATGCATGAGGCCACGCTGCTGTCGCATGTCGCGCGGCGCGCGTCGCGCGCACAAGGCGTCGCGCTGCTCACGCTGTATGCGCGCGGATTGAGTGCGCCCCCGGGCGTGTATGAGGCGGACGGGGAGGCCGGGTGTGCCGACGGCACGGTGGACGAGGGCGGCGAGGGCGGCGACGCGCGCGCAGCGGCCCTCGTGGCAGCGTACAAGCGCGCTGTGCGGCGGGGCGCGCCCGGCCACTTGGCCGTGTGTTTTGGCGCCGTGTGTGCCGCGCTCGGCATTGACTATGGTGCGTTTCCGTGGCGGATGATGCTGACGCAGACACCGCGCACCACCTGTACCTCTTCACACACGCGCGGTCGCTTCTGTCCGCCGCCGTGCGGCTCAATGTCGTCGGGCCGTATCTCTCGACGCAGCTCCTTGCGCATCCCTTGCGGAGGACCATCGCAGGGGCTATGAAGAGCGAGGCAGCAGGCCCCGAAACAGACGGGTTTGAGGGAGAGGGGGGAGACGAGTGGGCATGGGCCGAGGAGGCGGAGCGCGGACCCGCGACGACTTGGCCCCTCGGCGAGATCCTTGCGGCTAGGCATGACTTGCAGCATTCGCGCATCTTCAACTCGTGATGCAGAGGAAAGGCGACGGGAGGGAAAGGGGGAGACGGGCCCGTGTAACAAAGCACCGCATAGCATAGCATGGCATAGCACCACATAGCATAATTGACCAATGTACATTCTTAGACGCTGCCGTTGGGCTTCCTCTTATCAGATCGACAGAGCGTCTGCCAGCGGCTGAATCACACCATTAAGGCGCCCTCTCGACGCCCGCCAAGCTCCCGCTCCCACTCATCACCTCGCTCCTGCGTGTCCAGTACATGCATTGAATGCTTGAATGCGGATCTAGCCGCGACTATGAAGATGAGAGTACAGTGTCTAAGCCCCAAGGACCATGGTGAGCAGTGCCATGCGGATGAACAGGCCATACCGCATCTGGCGGAAGTAGGCAGCGCGGCGGCTGTCAAAGTCGACCTCGGGGTCGATCTCGTTGAGGCGCGGGAGGGGGTGCATAACGATCGCACTCTCCTTCGCGCGCGCCAGGACATCGTGGTTGATCACGTACATGTCCTTGACGGCCTCGTACTCGGCCAGGCTGTCGAAGCGCTCCTTCTGCACGCGCGTCGCGTACAGCACGTCGCTGTAGCCGATGACCGCGTCCAAGTTGGTGTGCTCGTACCACTTGATGCCGGCGCGCGTCGCCTCGGCCTTGACGTAGTCAGGCATCTGGAGAGACGGGGGCGAGACGAAGTTGAGCGTCACGTCGTAGAGTGACAGCAGCTTGACGAGCGAGTGCACGGTGCGCCCGTTCTTCAGGTCTCCGATGAGGGTAACGGTCACGCCGTTGACAGAGCCAAGCTCCTCACGGATGCAGAAGACGTCGAGGAGCGACTGCGAAGGGTGCTCGCCGATGCCGTCGCCAGCGTTGATGATCGGAACGGGGGACGACTTGGCGGCCTCCTTCGACGAGCCGACCGAGGGGTGGCGGAGCACAATGGCGTCCGAGTAGCACCCAAGGGTGCGGATGGTGTCCGACAGCGACTCTCCCTTCTGAACCGACGAGGTCTCGGCAGTAACCTGCACGACCTCACCACCGCAGCGCTTCATGGCCGCCTCAAATGAGGTCGAGGTGCGAGTGCTGGGCTCGTAGAAGAGAGTGGAGAGGACGCGGCCGCGGAGCGTGTCGACCGATCCCTGGCGCTCGACCTGCGTGCGCATCTCCGAAGCGAGGTTGAAGAGCGCGTGCAGGTCATCCCTGGTGAACTGGCCGACCGAGAGGATGTGGCGGCGTGCGAACGCGGGGTGCGGCTGCAGCGAGGGGAAGACAGGGAGAGGCGAAGTCTGGGCGACCGGCTGGGCAGCCAGCGACATGAGCGAGGGCTGCTCGCGCGCCGGCGTGCCAAGCGGCATAGTGCCCATGGCAGGCGAGGCCAGCTGGCTGAAGCTCGGGCGGGAGGTGCGAGTGAACGACGCGCGCGAAACCATAGCCGGGCGGGCGCCGACGCCGAATGAAATGTCGCGGCCGAGGGGCATCGAGAACGCGGTGCCGTCGAGGACAACCGAATGGTTGTTGATCACGACACGGTGCACGCCACCAGCCACCGACTTGCCAGTGAGCGGCGACCAGTCACCACCCTCCTCGAGCTCGAAGACCGACGAGCGGTTGACCTCGACCTCCACGTAGGTCTGCGCCTGCTCGGGGATGTCAAAGATCGCGCGAGGGTTGTCCGCCAGGCGGAGGGTGATGTCCTCCAGGGTGAGGCGACCATCACCGACAGCAGTGAGGAGAAGAGGGAGGGTCTCCTCGATACCGCTGCGGGCCGAAACCTTCTTGCCGAGGGCCTGGCCAAGCTCGTAGGGAAGCACGCCGACCGAGAAGATGTCGATCGTCTCGAGGTTCTCCCAGAGAGCGGCCTGGTCGTCCTGCGAAGGGAGCACCTTGGCGGCCTCAGGGAAGTCGGCCTGCGAGAAGAAGAGGGCGTAAACGGACACATCACAGGTGACCTTGAGCCCCTTCTCCTTGGCGAGGGCAATGAGAGCCATGTCATCACGCGTCGACACCGAAGCGATGTGGATGCTGCGGTTGTTGAGCGACGCAAGGAGGAGGATCGAGGCGAGGTCGGTCGCGCGCGCGTCCGTGACAATAGGCTTGTCCTGAGGCCAAGCGGCGAAGTGCTGTGCCACGCTGGCAACCTTGTTGCTGGGGCCGAAGAAGTTGTTGAAGGGGATGAAAAGGGCCTTGGCGCCGGCCTCAAGAGCCGAAGCAAGGCGCGATGCGTTGTCGGGTGTGGCGGCGACAGAGAACATGTAGTCGCAGTGGGCCGCGCCAGTGGCGTTCTGCTGGGCGCGCTGGAGCGAGATCTCGTCTTCAACTGCCGAGCGAACACCCTGCGGCACCATCTGGACGGTGGTGAAGCCGCCACGGATAGCAGCCTGGGTGGCGACGCCAAAGTCGGGCGAGCCAGCCTCGGCGGCACCGGGGACGAACGACTGGACCGAAACGAGACCAGGGAAGGTGAAAGTCTTGTGGCTCGTCTTGTAGTCGACCGAGGTGATGTCGAAGGTAGGCTTGCGGATGATCGCCTCAATGAATAGCTTAGCGCACTTGACGTTGGTAATCAGGGGTACGGCGTAGTCGACAGCCATACGACGCGAGCGGTAGCCCTTGGAGATGTACGACGCAGGACGGCGGTAGCGGTTCTTCGAGGGCAAGTTGATGTACAAGTCGATGAGGTTGTTGGCAAGGTGCTGCTGGAGCGAGTACTCGGACTTCTGGGGGTCGTTGTCCTCGCCCTCCGGAAGCGCCTCGAGATACTTGACTGGGATGCCGTGCTCCTGGATGAAATCGGCGGTACCAGCCGTGGCGAAGAGGTTGTAACCCAGCTTGTGAAGCTTGTGCACCGAGGGGAGCATCTCGAGCTTCTCCTTGAACGAGCCGAACGAGAGCAGGACGTTCTTCTTCGGGGGGCGGATGCCCGTGGAGATAAGGGCCTTGAGGTAGGCATCGTAACGGTCCTTGCCGAAGCAGGCCACCTCACCAGTGGAGGCCATCTCGACACCGAGAACGGGGTCGGCGCCACCAAGACGAGAGAACGAGAACTGGGGCACCTTGACACCAACGTAGTTGGGAGGCATCTTAACGTCGGGGTAAGGAGTGACGGGGAGGCCAAGCATGACCTTGGTTGCCATCTCGATGGCGTCGATGCCGGTGACCTTGGAGACGAAGGGGAACGAGCGGGCGGCACGGAGGTTGCACTCAATGACCTTGATTTCGTTGTTCTTGGCAATGAACTGGATGTTGTACGGGCCAGTGACATTGAGGGCAGCACCGATCTTGGCGGTGGCAACCTCAATCTTGCGAATAGTTTCGGGGTCGAGGTCCTGGGGCGGAAGGACAAGGGTGGCGTCACCCGAGTGCACACCGGCGTTCTCGACGTGCTCCGAGATGTAGTGCATGACCATCTTGCCGTCCTTGGCAACGGCGTCCATCTCGATCTCCTTGGCGTCCTCAATGTACTTGGAGATGACGACGGGGTGGTCGCGCGAGACCTGAGTCGCGGCACCAAGGTAGGTCTGAAGGTCGTCCTCGGTGAAGACGACGTTCATTGCCGCACCCGAAAGGACGTACGAGGGGCGCACAAGGACGGGGTAGCTGACCTTGTCGCAGAACGCCTTGGCCTCGGCGAACGAGGTAAGCTCCCTCCAGAGCGGCTGGTCAACCTCGATCTTGTCCAGCATACGCGAGAACTTGTAGCGGTTTTCGGCGGTGTCGATCATCTCGGGCGAAGTGCCGTAGATCTTAACGTTCTGGCGGTGAAGCGCAAGCGCGATGTTGTTAGGGGTTTGGCCACCCATCGAGAGGACAAGACCAGACGAGGACTCAATGTCGTAGATGTCGAGGACGGTCTCAAGCGAGATGTTCTCAAAGTAGAGACGGTCGGCCTCGTCGTAGTCGGTCGAGACGGTCTCGGGATTGTAGTTGATCATGACAGTCTTCATGCCGTTCTCGCGAAGCGTGCGGATGGCGCGGACGGCGCACCAGTCAAACTCGACCGACGAACCGATGCGGTACACACCCGAGCCCAGAACCATGACACCGTTGTCGGTGAAGGTAACATCGTGCTCAGACGCGTTGTAGGTCGTGTAGAGGTAGTTGGTGAATGCCGGGAACTCGGCGGCGACCGTGTCAATCTGCTTGACAAACGGCGAGATGCGGGCGTCCGAACGGAGGCGGCGGACGGCGAGCTCGTTCGAGTTGATCGTCTTGGCGATCTGACGGTCGGAGAAACCGAGCTGCTTGGCGTTGCGGAGGAGCTCGGCGGGGATGGTCGCGGCCGAGTACTTGGCCATGACATCCTCGGTCTTGGAGATTCTCTCGAGGCGGCGGAGGAACCAGGGGTCAATGCTCGACATTTCGTTGATCTTCTCGACCGAGTAGCCGAGCTTGAGGGCCTTGGCAATGGCAAAGAGACGCTGGTCCGTTGGGTTGCGGATCTCGTGGTCAATGTCCTCGACGTCAATGTTGACGCCAAAGCCACCCCAGCTGTCGTCGATGCAGCGGATGGCCTTCTGGATGGTCTCCTCGAAGGTACGGCCGATAGCCATGACCTCACCGACAGACTTCATCGAGGACGAGAGCGCGGTCGAGACACGGTTGAACTTCTTAAGGTCCCAGCGGGGAATCTTGACGACGCAGTAGTCGAGCGAGGGCTCGAAGCAGGCAGTCGTCTTCTTGGTCACCGAGTTGCGGATCTCATTGAGGGGAATGTTGAGACCGAGTTTGGCGGCAATGAAAGCCAAGGGGTAGCCGGTGGCCTTGGAGGCAAGAGCCGACGAACGGGAGAGACGCGCGTTGACCTCGATAATGCAGTACTCCTTGGAGTACGGGTTGAGGGCGTACTGAATGTTGCACTCGCCGACGACGCCGAGGTGGCGGATGACGTTAACCGCAGTCGTGCGGAGCATGTTGTAGTCGGCGTCCGAGAGCGTCTGCGAGGGGGCGACGACGATGGAGTCACCAGTGTGGATACCGAGGGGGTCGAAGTTCTGTCATTAGTAACTGTCACTAAACACAGATCAACTCTACTCACCTCCATGTTGCACACAGTGATGCAGTTGTCCATGCAGTCACGAACGACCTCGTACTCGACCTCCTTCCAGCCCTTCATCGACTTCTCGACGAGGACCTGGGGCGAAGTAGCAAAGGCCTTGTTGCAGAGCTCCTCGAGCTCATTGACGTTGGTAGCGAAGCCCGAGCCGAGACCGCCGAGCGCGTACGCGGCACGGACGATGACGGGGTAGCCAATGCGGGTAGCGGCGGCCTTGGCTTCCTCGAAGTTGTTGGCGGAGGACGAGTCGGCGCACTTCTCGCCGATCTCCTCCATGGCCTGGGCGAAGAGGTCACGGTCCTCGGTGGTGATGATGGTGTCAATGGGAGTACCAAGGACCTTGACGCCGAGGCCCTCGAACTCGTCCTTGAGCTGGACACCGACGTTGAGGGCGGTCTGGCCACCGAACGTGCAGTAGATGCCGTCGGGCTTCTCGTGCTTGATGATGCGGCGCACAAAGTCGGGGGTGACCGGAAGGAAGTAGACCTTGTCGGCGAGACCCTGGGAAGTCTGGATAGTGGCGATGTTGGGGTTGACGAGGATGGTGTAGATGCCCTCCTCCTTGAGCGCCTTAATGGCCTGCGAGCCCGAGTAGTCGAACTCGCCGGCCTGACCAATGGAGAGACCACCGGAGCCAAGGACAAGAACCTTCTTGACCTGGACGCGAGGGAGACGCTCGCGGTGCGCGGCGAGCTCGCCGCCGGGCATGTCGATCGAAACGAGACGACCCTCGGCGGCAGTGTTGACGACGCTCTCAAGGAAGACGTCGAAGAGGAACTCGGTGTCGCGAGGACCCGGGGCCGACTCGGGGTGGAACTGGACCGAGAAGAAGGGCTTACCGTTCTTGCCCATCCAGATACCCTCGTTCGAGTTGTCGTTGGCGTTGGTAAAGAGCGGCTCCCAGCCGTTGTTCAGGGTGGTGACATCCACCTCGTAACCGTGGTTCTGCGAAGTAATGTAGCAGCGTCCCGAGGTGGCGCACGTGCACGGCAGGTTCATGCCACGGTTGCCGTACTTCATCTTGCGGGTCTTGGCGCCGGAAGCGAGGGCGATGAGCTGGTGTCCGAGACAGATACCGAAGATGGGCACCTTGGAGGTCTCAAGGGCGACCTTGAGGTTCTCAATCGTGGCCGTGGCCATGGATGGGTCGCCGGGGCCGTTAGAGACGAACAGGCCGTCAAACTTGCCGGCCTCCTTGTTGAAGTCGTAGTCCCAGGGGACAACCTTGACCTCAACACCGCGGTTGCGGAAGCAGCGGATCTGGTTCCACTTCATGCCGACGTCGATGGCAAGAATGCGAATGGTCTTGCCCGTGCGGGCGTTGAGCTTGGGCTCCACGCCGGTCTGAGCGGTGTAGACGACGGGCTCCTTGATGGAAACCTTGGCGACAAGGTTGACCTGGTTGGGGTCGGCGAAGGGGACGGTGTCGTAAGCGCTCTGCCAGGCGCCAGGGGCGTCGGAGATGGAGGCGGGGGAGCCAAGGCCGCCGAGGATACGCTGGGCAACGCCGGTGAGCGAGCCACTGGTGGGGTCCTCCTTCTTCTGAGCGAGCACGCGGCCAAGCAGAACACCGCCCTCACGGAGACGCTTGGTGAGCATGCGGGTGTCGACACCCCACATGGCGGGGACGCCCTGCTCCTTGAGCCACTGGCCGAGGCTGCTCGACGCGAGGTGGTGCGAGTAGCTGGGGTGATAGTTGGCAATGACAAGTGCGGCGACGTGAATGCGACGGCTCTCAAACTCGATGGGGATGCTGTCGAGGATGGCCTCGGAGGCCTTGTTGAGAGCCTCGGCGTTCATCTCCTCCGGACGCTCGGGCACACCATAGTTACCGACCAAAGGGTAAGTGAGAATGAGAATCTGGCTCTCATACGAGGGGTCGGTGAGCGACTCGGGGTAGCCAACCATGCCTATGCGTCAGGCCGGCAGTCACCAGCTGGCTCGAGCAACTCACCGGTCTGGAAGACACACTCGCCGGAAATGCTCTTGTCGGCACCAAACGAGTGGCCAGAGAGGGCGAGGCCATCAGCGAGCTCAAGGACCATGTCACCGCGGCCCATGGCGTCATCCCACTCGGTCTCGCCGGCCATAAAGTCGATACCCTTGCTAGACGCGGGGGGGTAGAGAGAGCCAACGGGAAGGGGAGTGGAGACGGCGGTGCTCGCGCTGGCACCACGGGCAACCGTGACCTTGGGGGTCGGGGCTGGGGAGCCGGGGGAGACGGGAGTAGTGCCCGCGGGCACCTCGTCGTGAGCGGGAGCGACCATATTGTCTGCTCTACACGACTGGAGGGGAAGTTGTGAGAAGGGAGGAGAGGAAAAGTTTTCCAAGGCTAATGACGCGGGCTGCGCTTGGTGTAGGCTAAAAGCGGAGGCAGTGGTGGTGACGGTGGTGGTGGCTGCCTTGTGCTAACCGAGGAGGGATGCTAGCGCGAAGGGGAGGCCTTTTGGGAGGAGGAGGTCAGCAAGAAGAACGAGAGGTTGCTGGCACTGGGTGCATGAAGAAGAGAGAAGAGGAGAAGAGGAGAAGGAGAAGAGAGAGAAAGAGAAAGAGAGAGACGAGGATTGCGCGAGAGTGGGCGTGTAGGGAGGGACGGAAGCAAATTGTAATCAACCATCACCTCATCACCCAACCCAGGGTGACTGCCCTCTGCGCAATTTTTCTGCATTCGGACGTCCGACGCCTCCTCGGAACGCGACGCCATGCACATGTTATTACAGTATGCGCGTAATAGTATACGCATTATTAGATCATCTAGAGTATTCCCAGGGTAATAACGAGCGCTTGGCTTTGAATGCAAAAGTGGAGGTGGATCGAAAATTTCGATGAGCGCGCGTTCCAGGTCCCTTGCCTCGGATGCCCTTATCCGCTCAGGCCGCTCAACGTCGCTCTCGGCCCAGACCAACCATGTCTCCTAGGCAACTCCGTCGCCCCTCGCCGCCTCGCCGCCTCGCCGCCACCCCGCCGCTCCTCTCACCCGGCGACTGGCGATAGGCATGGCTGAACGCGTAATTTTGGGCTATTGGGGTCCACTTTATTCGATTGGTACGGGGGCCTAAACGGGCCCCTCATTTACGCCAGGCGCGCCAGGACACGCGGTATGACAAGCACGTGGCCCCGGACAATGACGTGTGGGTGTTGGATGATGATTGCGGAGGAGCAGAACGTGGCACTGTGGCGGATGGCCATGGTTCATGGATTCACCGATTCACCAGCTCATCTGTGCAGGCCAGCTGAATGCCTCTCGAGATGACACTGAGCTTCAAAGCGAGTAAGCGATCGCAGCATCGTACTCTGGATTCGAGCAGAGCTGAGTTTCCAGACTTGCGCTTCTGCGATAGTACGGCATACGACGATGTGACTAGGACAGTCCTCCTTGCGATGAATATGCATTAGACTAAACTACGTATGTACAAGCTCTTCAGCTGAGCGTAGCCATTGCATCCTCTATACTTTGCTCTTCGTCCGTCACTCCTGGGTTTATGAACTACATGGGCTGGCTGGCTGCTGGCTGCTGGTTGCTTGAGCAGAAGATGAAATGCCCCGTTCCAGTGATAGAAACTTATTTCCCCCTCCCCCCAACCCCTCGCCACCCAGCATGAACAATTCAGGGCCATAGAGCGGACAGCCATCTCGCTCGCTGCCTCCGACAGCGCCGAATCACTCTCGTCCCATTCATTCCCACCACCAACTCGTTCATCCACCACCATCCCACCTCTGTCTCCATCCACCCTGATCTCCCTTCACGCGCGGGCATGACTGTCCTAGTCCGTCTCCCGCGCGCCGGCACCAGCGCCGCCGCCGGGTCCGGGTGGGACGCCGACCCACTCCCTCCCATCCGCTTCGCCGAGCCCTCGACTGACCCGGACGACCCCGACCTGTGTACGGTCGTGCGGCGCATCCGCGGCGCCAAGCGCGTCGTGGTCGTATGCGGTGCGTCTCTCAATTAACGAACCTAATCCCAGGCGCTGGCGTCAGTACGGCCGCGCAGATCCCCGACTTCCGCTCGGCGCACGGCCTCTTCGCGCGCGGCGCGCGCAACGTCAAAGACCTGTTCCACGTCAAGAGCCTCACCTCCCCCGCCCTACTTCCAGACCACCACGCGCTTCTCTCCACTCTGAGCCGGCTCGCAGGCGAGGCGCAGCCGACAGCCTTCCACGCATTCATGCGCGACATAGACCGCGAAGGGCGGCTGTTGCGCGTCTACACCCAAAACATAGACGGGCTGGAAGAACGCGCGGGCTTGAAGACGGGGATCCCGCCGCCGCCCCGGTCTCGGCGGCGGACGGCCGACGCCTCGCGCTCCTCGTCGCAGCCGCATTCCCAACGACCCTCCCGCTCCCACTCGCAGTCACTACAACCCTCGCAGCCCGCGTCGGCCGCGCAGTCGCCGAGCGCGAGCGCGAGCGGCGCGTCGTCGCCCGCGACGCGCGAAAGCTCCCCCGTGCGCTGTATTCCGCTGCACGGCCTCCTCTCCAGCCTGCACTGCACGCAGTGCGCTGCGTCGGTCCCGTCGGCCGCGCACGCGCTGCACGGCGCCCCGATCCCGTGTCCGCGCTGCGACGAAATGGCGACGATCCGGAGCGCGCTCTCGGAGCGCCAGCGGCGCGTGGGCACGCTGCGCGCCTCGGTCGTGCTGTACGGCGAAGAGCACCCGCAGGGCGAGGCGATCGGGAGCGTGATGGAGCGCGATCTCCGAGGCACCGGCCCGCGCGGGGAGCGCGAAGGACGCGCCGACCTCCTCGTGGTCGCGGGCACGTCGTTGTCCATCCCCGGCGTGAAGCGCATCGTGAAGGAGATGGCGAAGAGCCTGGCCTCGCGCCCCGAGGCGAGTGTGCGCGACGGCCGCGAACCCCCCGTGAGAGTCGTGTACGTCAACGCCGAGCCGCCGGCCAAGCCCGCCGAGTGGGACGGCGTCTTCGACGTCTGGGTGCATGGCGATGTGCAGGACTTTGCCGCGCTGGTCGCGGACGCGTCGTTCGCGCCGCCCCTCCCGAAGACGCCGCGGCGGAAGAAGGCTTCCGGCCTCTCCACCCCCAATACGGCTAGCACGACGCGTAAGAGGAAAGCAGACGACAGCGACGTCACGCCGACGAAGAAACGCCCCACCTTCCCCCCCACGCCGGCCAGCACGCCGCGCATCGAGAGCTCGAGCTCGAGCCTGCCGCCCGCCAGCCCGTCTCTGCCCCCGTCGCCGCCGCCGAAGCCCGAGTTTCTGCGCGTCGCGAAGCGCAAGTGCGCGCAGGGCGATCCGAAGAAGCGCGCGAAGCCAAACATGTCGGCGGGCACCAAGCCCGCGGCGCCGTCCCCATCGCCGTCCCCATCCCCATCGCCACCGCCACCGCTCTCGCTCTACGACAAGTGCCGCGCCGTGGCGCGCTTCTCCCCCCCGCCGCCGTACGACGACATGGCGGGCTTGTACGGCAGACGGGGTGGAGCCGAGTCTTGTGCCGTGCCTAGATGATCGGCGACAATGTGCCTCTGCCCTCGCCGTGCGTAGCTTTATAGTCTCGAGACTGCTGTATGTATCGTGCACATGCATGTGTAACAAAAGGACCAGGCGAAGGAGCGATTGCAGCGGGTAGCAGAGCGCAGCATGGGCGTGCGATAGCATGTACTCCTCGCGTCGTCGCTATCGTGGTTTAGCCAGGTGGGCTAGTGGGTCATGCGCCATGTCGGCATGCCGTCTGCCAAGCCTCTGCTCCGATGCCTCTCATCCCCTCCCACCTCACTCCATCGCATGCTCACAGATCAGTCAGTCACAGAATGCACAACACTAGATTGGGTTACACTACAGCTTGTTTCGTCGGCGAGTCGTTTGTCGTCCGTCTAGATCTCTCCCTATGTGGGGACGTTGTTTACACCATCGAGAGGTGGTCGTTCCATGCGATCATGGGCGCCGGGAGCTGGCGTGGGCGGCGCAGGCGGCCGAAGAAGCCGCGGGGTGCGTGCGTTTCGACGTGCTGTGTGTTAACGATGTCGCGAACGAGGATGGAGATGTCTGGGATCTAGTCGGGTGTCGGGCGCAGACGGAGGTGGGCGGTGGAGGCGGGAGGCGTGTGCGGCGCGCCGTGCTGTGTGATCGCGGGACGAGTCGGATTGGCGCGTACTCGTCGCGACACAGCAGCACAGCGGCACAGCGGCACAGGGCACAGTAGGCGGCACGCGGCGCATAGTGGCAAGGAGACAAGCAAAGATGGAGGGAGGGTAGGAGAGGTGGTGGACGAAAATGGTATGACGTGATGGACACTTACCTGAACAGCGACGACGGCGGCTGGGGGAATGAGGCGGGCAGGCTGGCGGCGGGCGGCGCGGCTGATGAGCGCGGAGAGGCGGGGCACGAGCGTCTGCGAGGGATGCATGATGGAGGCGATGACGGCGGTGCGTCGGCGCGAGACGAGACGGTACGGTGGGCGAGTGGCGGCTGAGGCTTTTGTTGTTGTTGGATGCGCCGGATTACGCGGCGCAGAGTGGTGTCGCGCGGAGGGCGATGATTATGCGTGGAGAAGTGAGGAGTGTCGAGAGAGACGACAGACTGAGATGGACAGAGAAATTAAGAGAAGAATGGAAAGATGGAAAGTTGGAAAGATGACAAGATGGAAGATGTGAAAGTGGTGCGAAGAAATGTGACTCGGCTCGAGCTGGGAGTTTGTGGCGCCTGGGTGATGATTTTGGTGGGCGCGGAGAGTGGAGATCGAGATGAGATGGAGAGATGGAGATGGAGATGGAGATGGAGATGGAGATGGAGATGGAGATGGACGTGTTGATGTGAGTGATGCGCTGCTGTAGGTCAAGAGAACTGGGAGAGGACTGAAGGCGAGGGCGGCGAGCAACAACAAGTGGCGGGGAGCGAGGGGAGCTCGAGAGGAGCAACTGACGATCAATTTCACAATCGGAACTCGGCGTCTAACTGCTCCTCCCTCTCTCTCTTTCTCTCTCTTTCTCGTTTCCGACGCTGCATCATCATGCCGCACACCCACGCACACCCACCTCGTCTCGTGCATGCCCCGTGTCACCTCGCTCATTGGCCTCGCTCATTGGCCTCGCTCACGCTCCGAGAGACAAGTGCCGCAGCAGCATGCGGCAACGGCGCGGGCCCCGCCGTATGATTTTGTGGGGATGTCCCTGTGGCCCCTGGTGCAGCCCTGATCGATTTGGCATGGATCCCTGCCTCGTGGCCTCGTTTGGTATAACCGTTGCCAACATCGGTCATCAAACGGCGCTCAACCGCATCAACGAGTCTCGCTTAGCTCTTTTTAGCTAACCTCGATTGTGCTCGCGCTTGTGCTTGTGCTTGTGCTTGTGCTGGTTTGTTGCGCCAGCACGCTCAAGCGAGACGCGCTTGAAAAGCGGTGGCGACTTGGATGACGCGCAGGTTAACGAGGCCCCGCTCCCCCCACCCGCTCCACCCCGTGTGCGATGCGTGGTACATGTACAACACAACACAATGCTATGCTTCTACTCTAGGCCGAGACCTACTCCAAGTGCAGAGGGTGATTGCGATGCACAGGCACCACACATCCGCCTCCATTCCACTTGCTCACCGTCGGGCCTCGCGGAGTGCTGGTAACGCCAAGCCCAACAAGTCACCAATCACCAATTCGCCACTCAACGCCCCGCTCAGAACGGCTGCTTGCCGAGGCCCCACGCGCGCAGTGTCCCGCGCACGTCGCCGAGTGCCTCGACTTGGCCCTGTGCCACGATCGTCGGCTCCCCGCTGCCCAGCCCATAGTTGAGGGGCGCGGTGCGAGAGCTGGGTCGCAGCACACGCGTCGCCGTTCGGTGCAGGTCCTATACGTCAGCGCTTGTCGTGGCAATCAAAGTGCTGGAATCATCGAGATGGGAGTCAGAGGTGGGTGGCACCCGACACCCCTCTTCAAAGACTATCGAGACCTGTAAACACAGCGGAGAGTTCTGAGGTACTAGGCCAGTGCACGTCGCGGAGCATGACCCCCAGGCTCTGCACTGTCGGCCCGCTCCACTTGTCTCCACCGCCGCCGTCTCCGCTGTCGGTGATTACCTCACGGCGACGCCCTAGGCCCAACAGCCGTCCACCTTCCGCCGAGTCCATCTCGAATCTCCCCCCACCCCTAGCCTTCGTCGGAGCTTGATACTCACGTCAATTGTCAGCGCGTCAATCTTTGCACACATCTCCTCGACAGGCACCTTGTGCCCGTGGATCTGCGTTTGCCGTCCCAGGTCCTCGACCGCCGTCAACCGGCTCTCGAGCGCCATAACGAGCTGCGACTTGAGCATGTTCTTGGCGCGAGACAGCTCAATCTGCGCGATGCCACCCTTCTGCGGGCGCGTGAGCGTGTCGAGCTGGTGCGCAATGATGTTGGCCGCACTCCCAGCGAACTGAGGGTATACGCTCATCGCGATGCCAAAGAGACCGCTGTCCGCGTAGCAGTGGTGGAAGCCTGCACAGTAGTCGACCGCATGGTAACGGTTCAGCACGTTGGTGTAGAGGCGCGTGTACATGCCCTTTCCGGGTCCACCAGCCGAGAACGAGCCACCGCCGCCAAGGAGGGTCTGGAGCGTCGCGAGCGCGTAGATGTCGGGGTCGTGCACGCCGAGGCCCTCAAAGCCAATGTAGAGGTGCACGAACTCCTCTTCGGGCTTGAGGATGTACTCCTCGCCACCCGTGTACACCGCCTTGGCGGAAGCGAGGTGCGCGTCGCTGTTCAAGGGCGGGTTGACAACCGTTGCGAAGCCCTTGGTCCCGACGGGTTGGGCCGACGCGCCAGGCCGGAGCGAGCTCTGCACGTGCGCGTCAGATGAAGCGGGGACACCACCAAAGTGCTTCTCCGCAAGCTCAACCATCTGCTCGTGCGGCATGCCGACGCCAGCAACGACAATTCGTTCGGGGCGGTACCAGTCACGCATGAAGCCGCGGATCTCGGCCTCTCCCAACACCTCGAGCTGGCTCTCGGGGCACAAGAGTGGCATGCCGAGTGTGTTGTCCTTAAACGCGACCGTGTGCAGGATCTCGGGAAGGATCAGTTCGGGCTTGGCCCAAATCTCTCTGATCTCGTACGCGGCGGCTGCCTTCTGGGCCTCCAACTCCTCGGGAAGCAAAAGAGGGTGCAGGATCGTCGAGGAGAGCAGCGACATGGCGAGATCAAGCGACTGGGGGAACACCGTCGACTGGTACATGATCGCCTCGCGCGACGAGCTGCATGTGATTTGCGAGCCGAGCTGGTCGATGAGGGTGACCATCTCCTCGTCGGTGTGCTTGTCAGTGGACTGGGCGTCAGCAGGGGTGAGAGAAGGTGAGCCCGCGGGTCGATAAAGGCTGTCATGCGGCTCAAACCGAGTTTCAAACCACTCACCTTGAACGCAAGTCGGTCTAACAAGTGGGATGCGCCGCTCGTGCGGTGGCTCTCGAAGCGGCTGCCGGCATGGACGTAGACGCCGACCGCGTGAAAATGTCCCGGGCTCGCCTCAGTGGTGACGCGCACACGGTTGGGCAGCGTTGTAACGCGAGTGAGGGGACCAGCGGGCTGGTGTTAGTGACCGCAACGACAGTACTGATCAGTGATGAGATCTAGCGAGGCAAAGCCGAAGCGAGGTCCGGGGTGGGCGGACTTGCCAGCTATCGCGAGCAAAACCGCAGATCGCCAAGCTAGTGGACGACGGAAAGATGGAGACGAAGCCAGGCGCAGTGGAATGGAGGTGGCAAAATCCGTCGCAGAACCACCTTCCTCTGCCAGCTAGAAATCGCGAGTGGGAAGATGATGAGGATGCCGAGCTCTCGCCTGTGGCCTCCAAGCTAGTGGACTCACCGCCGAAGAGGCGCGACGGATCGCCGAGGCCGCCGCCGTGGAGGTGGGACGCAGCAATGCGCGGGCGGACAATGGGGGCAGCATGATGAGGGTGTGGGTGGTTAGTCGTCGGAAATGGGAGAGAGAGTCGTGGTTGGGAGATGGATGGCTCGGGCCGGCGGAGGCGGAGGACGGAGGTAAAAATCCGGATGTGGGCGCGATTAAGATGGCCGAGGCTGATTAAAAAGGAGATTGTGTAACCGCTAATTGACAATCAGGAAGACGCGTGTGCGATGCAGCGGCGCGTGTGCCGCCGGCTACATGCACGTAAACATCGTGAACGTAGAGAGGATGCAGACAGCTGCTCGGGACTCTCGCTTTCACAACCGACAGAGAGCGATTGCGGCACAGCAACTGCAGAGCTCGGGCACTCGGCAGTCACCGACAGTCACTCGCTGAAACCCCGCTCTCACACGCCCGCTCTACTGAACCATACATATGCAAACTTCTACCTGTCTACACAGCACTAGCACGGGCGCGCACGCTAGTCCTTCTCTCCCACGCGGATGAGCCACTCGTCGCGCTCAGCCTCGTTCATCTGGCGGAAGCGCCCCGTGCCGCCGAGCTTGCCGCCCTCTCCTGGCTCATCTGGAGACGTCGAGCTGATGCCAATCTCGATCTCGCTCGCCTTGAAGTCGGTCGCGCACACATTCGAGAGAGTCTCAATCGCCAGCTCGAGGACACCGGCGCGGTCGAGACTCAGAGACCCGTTCTCCACAGACTTCCACTTCTTCTCCAACTGTCGTCAGCGAATTCCCGCTCAGTCTGGCCACAGGAGGAGCCTTCCACTGCCACATAGGGTTGCATATAGCTCTCCCTGCTCGCACTCACGAAGTTGGTCGCCTCAGTCTGCTTCTGACCGCTCGCGACAGCCTTGTAGCCCACGTAGAATCCGGCGGGGTCGATCATGAAAACCTGCGGTCCGCGCTCGTCATCTGGCCCGATGAGGATCATCGAGATGCCAAGAGGACGCATACCCGCGCGCTGCGTGTACACCTGGTTGATGTTGGCCATGCGCTTGGCGACTGCGAGTCGGAAGGTGAGTGCGGCGGCATGTGCAGTGACGCATGAGAGATTGGGTCAGCATGAAGAGATTGAGGGAGACATATTACTCACGCGCATCAGGCGTAATCTCATAGCCGTACTTGTAGCGGAACTCTGCTGCCTCTGACCGTGTGCGCTGGACCTGGGCACGCGCGTCGGCTTCGGTCAGCTTGGATGTCAATCACCACGCACCAATCATGCCGGTGACGACGCAACCTATCGTTGGTGTGATCTGAAACACATGGGTCACCGTCTCGGGGTCGAGGAGCTTGTCCTGCGGTCAGCGCGCGCCGTACACCCAAAGGCAACGGCGCTGGTGGGTGCCGGTCATGCTACTCACAGGCACCTTGCGCTGCGTGATCACGACGGCCGTGTCCTTGCCACGGATGGCGATGGAAGTTATACCCGCGCCGCTAATGGCCTTGAACGCGTACTCTATCATTAGCTGGTTCACCACGTCTTCTCAGCGACGCACCGACTTGATACAGCTGGGCGTTAGCGTCAACAACAAGGAAGGAGGAGACGTACCCGGCCCTCGGGCGAGAAGACGGTAAGGTAACTGCGGTCAGCTGTACGTCGCAACGGTCAACGCACCGGTCGTAAGATGAGCGGGACATGGTGCGTCGAGCTCGATGGAGTGGATAGCGAGATCAACAGCCTCGACGTCAATCAACGAGGACGTCAGTGTCCGGGTCAGCCAACGCGTAAGTCCTCGCGTGGCACCCGCGTGGATTAGTTTTGGGTATTTTTTGGATTGATCCGGGAAATTCATTGCCACCCAGGACCTCCAAGCCCAAGGATGTTTGCCCCATACCAGCGCAAGCTATCACCCATCCCACCACCATGGCCAAGTCGCTCCGCTCCAAGACCAAGCTCGCCGCGCGCCGGCGAAAGGCCCACATGTCGCACTACGCCGTCGCGGATGCGGAGCGCACCGCGCGCATTTCGGAGCGCATTATGGCCAAGGCTGCTGCCAAGGAGGACGCCGAGGGCGACGCCGAGATGGAGGCTGAGGGCGACGAGGAGATGAAGGAGGGTGAGTTGACTTGAGGGTAGCGCGAGCTACCGAGAGATAGATGGAGGCATCTTGGCCGTGTATCCCGGATCGAGCTGATGCCCAGAGCCCAAGAAGATCTCAACCTCGGCGCCGCGCGGGAGCCGCCGTGAGGAGTGGCGTAAGAGCAAGGGCATGGAGGCGCGCCCCAAGCTCAAGGGCCAGAACAAGCTCGGCCGCCCGATCTCGCGGCACAAGGCGGTGAGTAATGGTTGTGGTTGCGGAACTGCCGCCGGAGTTGAGGCCTAAGAGAGGGGTTGGAGCTAGCGCCCCCGGGGAAGGTCAAGAGGCAAGGCTCCTGCTACGGTGGCAGACAGGCAGCGACGTCAAGCGCTGTTAGATTGAGCGAGGCAGGGCACGGAGGGCAGCGTGCAACTACCACACTCCGAGACCGCAGCTGACGGGCAGGGCAAGACCAAGCGCCGCCGCTGATCGCCCACCACCAACCACCGTGTCTACATCGATAGAATCAGGGTTCGCCTCAGGCCGCCTCGCCTTATGGAGACTTCACCGCCCCGCGCGCTTGTTGTACTAGGATACCCATGCATCCGTGATCTATGCTAGTAGTGTACAGTATCGGCCAATCTAATCAGAGCGCTTGAGCTCGTCCAGCAGATCCTTGAGGCTGTCCCACTCCGGCTCGCCCTCGAAGCTGATGTCAGTACTCTTCGCCACATTGGGCGCTGCTCAGCGCGCTCAGCGGCGCGCTGCTAAGCCCACTCACGCATCCTTTGTCCGCCCCATGAACGTTCGCACGAGTCCCCGCGCCTGGAAACGCCAGTCGCCGCCCTTCTTGCCCTCGACCTTGGGCACCTTGGGACCCAGCAGCTGGAATGTCGCCACGAGGTCCTCGACCTCCCGCACGGCCTCGACAAAACGGGCGCGGTCGCGCTCCACCCGCTCGTCAGAAACCACCTCGGCGCGATACGCGCGCACGTAGTCTTCCAGCGCGCCTGCCCAGTCCTCCTTCCACCGCAGCAGACGCGCATGAGCGCGCCACACGCGCGGGTCGTCCGAGATCCTGGGGAAGATGGTCTGATCGAACAGCCGCTCCACTAGGGGGAGGAGGCCCCAGCCCTCGTTGGAGGTGGGGGGCGGCTTGCCGTCCGCAGGGCCGTTGCCGTCGTTCCACGCGTCCCTGGAGATGGCGTCAACAAGCTTGTCCAGCACCTCGGGGTTGATGGCCAGCAGCGGGTCCTTGGTGCCCATGACCTCGACGACGCGGGTCATGGCACGAACAGCCTCGGCGAGTTCGCCCACATCGATCGAGACGACCATGTAGTTCTGCCACATGCGCCAGTTGTCGTAGCTCGTGCGCAAGCCCGACTTGAGCGCGTTCCAGGCGAGCTGCTTCGTCTCAAACGTGACTGGCGGAGGAGCCTCACCCTCCGGCACGCCCTCCTCGTTCATCCGCAGGTAGACGGCCGCCAAATTGTTCCACCCTTCACTGTCGTCGGGGTTGACGCCGACCTGGCGCCTGAAGGCATCTCGCGCATTCCGCCACTGCTCGAGTCGCATGTAGCAGACGCCGAGAGTGAACCACGCCTGCGCGTACAGCGGGTTAATTGCAAGCGCCTTCTGGAACGCAGTAATGGCAGCCTCATATTGCCTTGAGGAAGTGTACAGGGCGCCGAGGGAACGCTGGGAACGCGAGTTGCTTTCGCCACTGATCTCCCACGCCTTGTTGTACTTCTCGATCGCCGCGGCGCGCCCCGCCTCTGGGTCCCGGATACCGGCCTCGTTGTTGAGAGCCAAGTCTCCGAGAACGCACCACAACTTGCCGGCGCGGGCGGAGGAGAGCTTTGCGCGCCGTGCGTCCGAGAGGCTGCTCTTGCCGAGCTGTACGACAACGTCAGACTCAATCTTGCGCCCCTCCAATAGGTCGTGAACGAGGCGCTCAGCCTCGTCGTCCATGTCCATACGCATCATGGCCGTTGCCGCGTCCTCCCACATCTCCAAGCGGGTGAAGATTTCAAGCGCAGACCGCACCACGCCAAGCGACAGGTATCGCTTCGCGAGCTCGCGCTCCATCTCCCACTTGGACGGGAGAGGCAGCTGGTGGAAGTACTGGAGGCGCTCGGACGCGGCCGAGTCGGCTGTCGGCATCTGGTCGATGAGCGCAGCGAGCTGGAGTGTTGACCTCTCGACCGTTCGCGAGCGGTTGGCTTCGAGGCGCGATCGGAGAAGAAGCGCGGTGGTGTGCACACTCCAGTTCCGCGGGTGTGAGAGAACACGCGCAAGGAACGGCATCATCTGCTGGTTGGTGAGGCCGTGGGTTGGCGAGTCATTCCGCTGTGAGAGGCAGAGCGAGAGGAGCAGCGCTTGGTCGAGGGGGTGCAGTGGTGGCTGGTTCGATGGATCGAGATGGGAGAGCGCGCCCGAGCCCGTCTGTGTCACCTTGGTGAACTCAGTCTCCTCCAGCAGCGTGTCGTCGTTAAGCGCCAGCGTCTCAGGCACTTGCTTCGGCGCCGCCGACGCCTCTTCCCCCTCCCTTGCTCGGCTTTCAGCGAGAAGCACAAGCTGCGAGTGGTCCGTCGTCTGGAACTTTGTGCGACGGCCCATCGCACCAGTGAGCTCAAACTCGAGGCCACTAGCTCGCGCCGCCGCCAAGAATGCCTGGTTTGCCGCGCGATCCTGGCCCAGGCGGGACTGGAGGAGGCCGAGCTCGAGCTGGATCGCCGCGGCTGTGTCCGCATCGGGCGCGGAGTCCACTAGTGCGATCACCGCCTGGAGAGTCTCATCGGGGAGCGCGACGGGCTCATCGAGGAGTGCGAGGTGGACGAGATGGCTGCGCAAGAGCCACCACGGAAGGGTTTGGAGCGAGCTCTTCTGTAAGAAGGCTAGCACGCGCACAGAGAGGAGGAAGAGAGCGGGATGTGCGGCGAGGTGGTATGCCGGTTCGCCGAGCAGCGTCAGGGCGGGAAGAGCGCCAGCATTGGCGGCGGTGTTGGCGGCCTCGGCGTCGCCGGCCTGTCCGCGCACGGCCTGGATCACGTCGGCAGGGCCGAAGTCGAGGTTCGGGCCGGTCCAGTTGGCCTGCACGAATGCGTGCTGGAGCGCAACGGCCACAACGAGAAGAAGGAAAGATTCGTCGTCAGAGAGGCTGGGAGGAAGCGTTGCGTCTGAATCCGAGTCCGTAGCACCCTCCTGCAGCCCGTCCAACAGGTTGGGAACGCGCGCAAGCGTGGCCGTGCCCTCGGGGCTGAGGATGACCGCGCGGAAGTCGGCGTCCTTGACGGCCTTTACGAGCTCAGCGGGGCCGGATCCCGACGGCGCAGAGAAGCTCGCGAGCGCCCACTCGAGGTCGGACATGATTTTGTTGATGCTGACCAACTTTTCGAACTTCGAGCAACCTCCATCTCTCGCGACGGTCGGAGATCCACTCATCTCCGCATGACGTAACTAGATGCCGCCTCGGTTGTCGCGTCTCGCACAACGCGATGCCCGCCGTCTCTCGGGATCACACCATCCACCATGTCCCTCCGACCAGGTCTCCTACCACAGCTGGCGCGCGTTGCGCGCCCCACATTCCAGAAGCGCGGCTTCCACTTTCTGAACGAGTCGCGCGCCGCCACCCGCCAGGCGAACCCGTTCAAGCGCGTGCACGACACGCATGTTGTGACTCGCTCCACGCCCGCCAAGAAGAGCAACAGCACGCTGCTCTACTCCATCGGCCTGGGCTTGGCCGGTTTCGCCCTCACAACCCGCGCGACCCGCTGCGATGCTGCGGGCATCCAGCCCGCCCGTGCTGGTCCCCCCGAGCCCCCGCGCCCGGTCGACCCGCCGGTCCAGAGCATCGTCTCGGTGCCCACGCTAACGTTTGGCGCCGTCACGGGCATTTGCGCTGGCGTCTTCGTCAAGAAGGGCTTCAAGCTAGTCGCGTTCTTCCTCGGCGGTGTCTTCGTGCTCCTCCAGTACCTCCAGTCCAAGAGCTATGTGACAGTCGACTGGGGCAAGGTGTCCAAGAGTTACGACGGCGCTTTCGCCAGCACCAACGCCAAGGGCGAGGTTGTGTACCCCACCCCGCAGGGGCTCCTTAATGGCTTCATTGACTTCCTCACAGCCAACTTCCAGCGTGAGTTAGGCCTGCCGGCTATACCCAAGATGGATGGCGGAGCTGATGGCAGAGCGCGCCACTTTCATCGCTGGCTTCATCCTTGGTCTGCGTGTAGGGTAGATCTAAGCCTGGATAGAACAATGAATGGTAATCTGAAGCTGATGTGAGCATGTCGATCAGACATGTGAATTGCCGATCTTTCAGTGTGTGAGACATGTGAAGCTACAAGGGCACTAACCTGCTGCAGTTGGGAATGAGCAGGCGCAAAGATGTGCGGCGCGTGCCGCCAAGACACACGCCGAGTTTCTAGAACACGACATGATAATATGCATCTACGCTGTACAACGGCCGAAGCCTCTAGCTCCATATGTTAGCGAAGGGATCGCGATCATCCTTCTTCGGAGCGGGTTGCGCGGCCTGCGCAGGCTGAGCCCAAGGGTCGCTGCCCCAGGGGTTGGCGCTAGCGCTGGCGTTCTGCCCCCACTGCTGCTGTTGAGCCTGCTGGGGCTGGCCCCACCCCTGCTGCTGAGCAGCTGGTTGGGCTTGTTGCTGCTGGTGCGGCTGCGGCTGCTGCTGCTGCTGTCCGCCCCATGCAGCCTGATCACCAAAGCCGCCGCCCCACGTTGGCACGGGCGCGGCCGTCGCCTGCCCAACAGGTGGCTGTGTGGAGGTGACGCCGCCGTTCCACGAGCCAAACTGCGAGCTCTGGTTGAAAAACGAGCCCTGCTGCTGCTGAGGGGGAGGCTGAGAGAACAGGCTCATGATGTCATTCTTGGTCGTCTGCTGCTTCTGTGCGGGAGGAGTCGGCGCCTTGAAGTCAAGGTCAAAGATGTTGGACTGGGGCGCGGGAGCGGCGGTGGGAGAGGGAGCCTTGGCTGCCGTAGTAGAGGGCTGGGCCTGGGCGGGACGTGCAGCGGGAGCGGCGGCAGGAGGCGAGGTTGGCTTGGCGGCCGCGGGCTCGTCGTCGAAGAAGTTGAGAAGAGGAGCAGGTGCCGCCGCCGGGGCCGCAGTGGGGGGCGAGCGGGCCTGCCGTGAAAGCAGGGGGTGTGCGCCGCCCTGTCGCGGCGTCGGAGCCGTCACAGTAGGCGTAGGTCTGGCCTGCGCCTGCGGACGTCCTGCTGGCTGCGCTGGCGGAGGGGACGCCGCGGCGTGAGTGGCACTCCCGCCAGCGCCGTCCAGCACGCTCGGGTCTGAGGGTGGAGGACCTTCCATAGCCCACCGGCGGCTCTCGTATTTGCTTCGAATGAACGACTCAATTTTGCTGCTGTTAGCTCCGGATCATCAGAGAGCTTACTGCTCCGGGGGGACGTGGCCAGCCTTAAGATGACGCTCCCAGTACGCGTTAGCGCGCTTGTTGCCCCACTTCTGAATGTTCTTCTGTCAGCTATGTCGGACGATGCCAGCTCACCGCCATCTGCTCAGGCGTCCAAATGTCGAGGTCAATGCTCTTTACTGCTTGTCAGCGAGCAACTTCCGAGAGCTCACCCTTGGAGATGTGTGTGCCCATCGCGCGGTGCATTCCGGAACAGCGGATACACACAAAGACGCCGCTACTGTCAGCTCTCCGAATCAGGCGCGGCTCACAGATTCCACGATGCCCAGCGCGCGTCTGGAGTCAGCTCGCTCCTCGTCTGGCTCGCGTGACGCACCATTCTTTCGGCAGTCGGCGCATGTCTTGTTATCGGGCTGCTTGACGAGGTCGCGTAGAATGCGCGCGTTGCGATCCGTGGTGGCCTTGTCTGCTGTGAGCGATGGCCACGAAATGCGACATACCTTGCCTGGACATGGTTAGGTGGCGGACAGTCTGCAGATGATGAGGAGACGTCAAGGCGATCGATCGAGCCAGCAGGGTCGGCTTCCAAGCGGGCAGAGCCACGTGTCTCGCCCTGGCTGGATAAATCTCGGAGGCAAATAGTGCCGCACAGCAACTGCCGCATCGTAATGGGGATTTTGTAATGGGACTAATTAGCAGACTAATTGGCTTGGCTAATGCTTGGCCACAAAGTGAACACGTTTGCATTCAGATCGGGCCGACACTCCGCAGTCCTCAACTTTCCTCGTATCGTTCATCCTCTCCGTATCATCACTTCGCCATTACACCCCATCGCCCCACCTCGAGGCGTCCTCAAGCTCTCAACCATGGCGGAAACAGGCCCAGAAGAGGGCAACTTCAGTACGCCTCCTCGCTCTCCATCGCTGACCAAAGACGCCTTCTACCAGGCGTTCATCATGATCGTCGTCTCCGAGATTGGTGCGTCAGCTACGACGCGTTCACTCGTGTCATTCTTCCCCGCGGCGGCCACCCAAGCCAGTATCGCTGCCAGTGCTTACCCCAGGTGACAAGACGTTCCTCATCGCTGCCATCCTCGCGTCCAAGCACAGCCGCGTCACGGTATTTGCCGGCGCGCTTGGCAGCCTCGTCGTCATGTCGATACTCAGCGCCGCACTGGGCAAGTTCATCCTCGGGCTGGTCCCAAAAGTGAGTCGTGTCGCGCTCGCTGGCGCCAGTGTACGTGCCGGTGTAGGCGCCCGCGCCACGACCTTGTGTCCAGCACGACGGTCATACCTTGCGTAATTCATGTCAAGGGATTGGATGCGCAGCTGCCCCATCATTGTCCCCATGGCCACCTTCCTTTTTGATCGCGCCGGCCCTCGATTTAGATCAGCTCTGACGCCAGGTATGGACGCTGTGGGCCGCTGCGGCCCTCTTCCTCGTCTTCGGCGTCAAGATGGCCTCAGAGGCGCGACAAATGCAGGGCGACGAGATGGCTGAGGAGATGCGTGAAGCCGAGGAGGAGATCGAGGAGGACAGCGCGGTGCACGATCCTACGATGCGCGGCGCGATGCCCCTCGAGGCGATTGAGGAGGGACGGGTGGCGCGCCCGCTGACCAAGGGGTTAAGCGGGTCGCGTCCAGCGTCACCAGCGCACGAGCGTGGGCGCGCAGCTGAGAGGAGCCGGCGGACAGCCTCCCGATCCCGCAGCAGGCCCAGCATACATATCTCGATCCCAGGCGTCGGGCCACTCAAAGACGCCCCATTTATCGCCAGGGCGCGAGAGAGCTGCCGGAGCGGACTCCAGATGCTCACCAACCCCGTGTTCGCGCAGGCGTTCATCCTCACATTCCTCGGCGAGTGGGGCGACCGCTCGCAGATCACGACCATTGCAATGGCCGGTGCCCACGTGAGTGGCAGATGGAGTCTGATCCAGCCAGGCAGCTTATGTCGGGCCAGGAGAAGAACGCTTGATCAAGGTCGCTGATTCCAGTCTGTCCCTGTCATCGCTTTTGGAACAATTCTCGGCCACTCGCTGTGCACGCTCATGGCCGTCATCGCAGGGAGATGGATTTCGACCAGGTTGTCTGTGAAGAAGAGTGAGTCACCCGTGGCCTGTGTCGCTGACATCAGTTACGATCGCTGGCGCAGCGGCATTCATCTTCTTCGCGTTCCTTTACGCACACGAGGCATATACCGCCGGCGTCAACGGGGATGTGGACTGGTAGGCGGATAGATAAGTGATAGACAGATACCCGGCGGATTGCCGCCTTCACCATTCGACATTCATAGCATATTAAGCTAATGCGCTGGCTCGCTGGCGCCTCATTCGACGCATGGAGCAGATGCATTGACGAATACTGCAGTCATTACGGGCTGTCCCGTCATGGAAGTTCGTCTACTTGCCGCGGCGCTGGTCTACTGCCTCCCAGCTGGCTTGGGCGCCCTCCCACGCATCCGAGTCAAACACGCCCTCGTCCAAGCTGGACGGGAACGACGCGCCAAACTTCCGCAGGATCGGCAGCGGCGAGTTATGGAGAAGCTTCCCCACGAACGGGAGTTGCAAGGGTAGGTGGGGCGGGTGCGCATAGATTTCGGTAATGCGGAGAAGCCAAGGGGGGAAGCCGTGGATCTCAGGCGCAGGTCGAGGCAGCAGGCCGCGCAGGAAACCGGGCGGGGAGAGATCGTGGATGATAGCGAGGTCGGGGTCAGAGGGGAGGCGAAGATCGGCCTTGATTGCAGCGTCGAGCTGGGCCTGATCAATGTCACGTACGCCGTCAGCAGCGAGGCGGCGGGTGACGCGGGTGATGATGTCGGTGGCGCTGGGCGCAAGGAAGTGAACCTCGACACGGTGCGGACCAGTGGGCAAGTTGACGTAGACGCTCGAGGCGTGCGTGTCATCAATCAGATGTCCCAGAGCGCCCGAGTCGGAGCTTGTCCGGGGAGAGGCCGAGGAGCTAGGGGGAGACGGCGGGAGATCTAACAGACTGTGCGTGACGGCCGAGTGCAAACGCACTCCGAGCCCCGCCGTATCCCACACGCTCAGGTGATTAACCCCCCATTCCGCCGCCCAGAGAATGGCCCGGCGCACGCTCTCCACATAGCGCGCCGCCATCAGCTGCGTGTCACCGCCATCGACGAGGATAAGCGCAACGTGATTAGGAGGAGGCTTCGACAGCTCGCGCGGCGAGTCGGACCGCATCTGGAAGACACGCAGCGTGATAGATGACAGAGTGAAGAAGACGTGGAGGAGGATCAGGAGGGGCGCGAGGAGAAATCGAAAAAGGGATAGTGGGGCGGCGAGGGCGGCAAAGAGGGCCGAAAGGGAAAGAGCTGCGACGTGCAGCACGGGCATCAAAAATGTGCCGTTCAGCAAGGCAAAGGCGAGAGAGACGAGGGCCTGCAGTGCGTGGCCCGGCCACCGGAGGGCGGCTGTGACTGCACTAGACTTCTGCTTGGTGGTACGCGAGGCGGGAAGCGCCAGAGTATCAGCTTCCCTGGCGGCAACACCGTGGCTGTCATCTTTTTGATCCTCGACGTCAGCCTCGGACTCGGCCAACAGCGTGCGCAGGGTGGCATTCATCGCCCTCTTGGAGCGTGTACGGGTGCGCGTGAGGGCAGCGTACCCGCGAATGATTGAGACGACGTCGATCCATTCGGTCATCTTGCCAGCACCGACGTCTCCGCACGCAAGCTTGCGCCCCGAGTTGGCGCCCTGTGGCCCGAGAATATGGTAGCCAAGCACCTCCTTGACGAACTGAATGTGTCTAGCGGTCAGAGGATGGCTGTACATGAACGTGTTCATGGCAGGGCACAGCACGACGGGCGTGTCGTCGAGCGCGCGCAGCATCGAGAGCTGCTGTCAGCTTCTAAATCAGCATTAGGCTCACCGCAAGGTTATCGCAAATGCCTCCAGCGATCTTCGCGAGCATGTCGGCGCTGCACGGGACGACCACAACGAGATCAGCCCACCGCCGCAGCTCGATGTGCAGGATCGGGTCCCCAATCTTGTGCCAGTCGTTCCACTCGTCGTTATCAGTCCACACGCCCACGCCCTCGTGAGCGCCTTCGACCGCGGCCGCATCGTAGAAGTGCAGGCTTGATCCCGTCGCTACAACCTGGACCTCAACATTGGCGTCCGCACCGAGTGCCTCGACGATGAGTGGCATCTTGATGCTCGCGACCGACCCAGTGGTGACGAGCACGACCCGAAGCTTGCCATCGGGGGCCGCGGGCCGGTGATCGTCTGACGCAAATGGCTTGCTCCGGATAATGGGCTTGACTTCGGTCTGGAGCTGCTTGAGCTTCTTCTCCTCGCTCTTTCCCTTGCTTTCAAAACCGGAGGGCCCAGGCTCGGGCGAGAGAGGGAGGCCACGCGCGTTCAGGCCGGCCATTTGCAACGCCTCCTCCTCCGCCTTCTTCATGGCGGCCGCATCCACACGCGCCTGCATGATGGCGTTTCCTTGGTCATACAGCTCTCGCCTCTCGCGCGTCTTTGGGCTTTCCGGCTCGTCCTCCTGACTCCTGGGGGTGGCGGGACGCAAGGGTTGGCCAGTTCGTACAGGTGTAGGCGTCGCGATCGGCGATGGAGCTTTGCTGGCCTCGCTCGCACCCATTCGGAGGCCCGAGTTTGCGAGGTCCTTCTCGTCAACCCATCGCTGTCCACATGACACACACTCGCGCCGTGGGTCTTTACTGCCGTTCCGTCGGCGTGGGAAGCCAACGAGGGGTATGCCTCTGCAAGTCGGCTCGGGGCAGGTGGACGACAGGAGAGCGTAGCCCTTGAGAAGAAGGTCAGAGATGGCGTCGGCCGCAGCGTCGGGATCGCCTACTACTGTGGCTGCGTGGGATGCGGGCGGAGATGTGGGGGTGTTCTCAGAGTTATTCGAGAATGAAGACGGTCCGCGGCTTGGTGTGCTGGGAGGAGACAAAGCTGGGGAAGGTGCTGAGTCAGCCGCAGGAGCGGAGCCCGACACTCCCCCTGGTCCACCGTCACACGCTGCGCAAAACTGGATTGGGGCGTGTCCCTCACGTTGCGCCTCATGTACGGGTTGCCGCATGAGAGGCGACGTATGGCAACGGCCACAAGTGCGGTCGGTCAGCGTCCATCCCTTGAGCATATATTCGCCGAGCTGGCGTTAGCATCTTCTGTGATACCATTGATGATACTCACGATGGCCGATGTCGCTTCTAATCTTGATGACATTGTCTCGAGTGCCACGGGCATGGGAGAATGGGAGAGTGGAAGATGACAAAGTGGCGTAGAGCAGCAAGTCAACGACATGTGAAGAGCGTTGAGTGCGAAGATGACGGTTTAAGGAGGCCACGTGGCGAAATTCCAGCTCAGCACCGCTCGGAATTCGTCTCGGACTCCGCCAAGGGCGTGTGACCGACGCGTCACCTGGTACCTGGTGGAGGTTAACCAGCCCCCACATGCACATGGACCGCTGCTATTTCCACATCGCTCACTTTTCCAACCCAACATGTCCTTCTCCCCGCTGTACACGAAGCCAACGGGCGCGGACCGCGACCTCGCCACTCTCTCTAACTACCTCGAGATCCGGACGACGCACATTGACCTGGAGTGGACTATTGACTGGAAGGCCAAGACTTTTGGAGGAAGCGCGACCCTCTCCCTTGAGGCTACCAAGGCCGTGGGCGAGGTCGTCCTCGACACTTCGTACCTAGCCGTTGATGGGGTAGAGGTTGAGGGCTCCAAGGCTGAGTGGAAGCTCGACGACCGCATCGATGTGATGGGCCAGGCGCTGCGCATCACGCTTCCGCGCAAGCTCAAGGAGGGCGAAGTGAGTGAATCAGGCTGGACATGCAACTGACCTCAGAGCACCAAGGTCAAGGTATTCTACGCCACTACCAAGGACTGCACGGCTGTTGGGTGGCTCAATCCTGTCCAGACGAAGAGCGGCAAGTATCCTTACCTTTACTCGCAGGCGCAGGCGATTCACGGTCGCTCCATGCTGCCGTGTCAGGACACGCCGGCAATCAAGGCAACGTACAGCTCGCGCGTGACGTCCGAGCTGCCCGTTCTTATGAGTGGCCTGCGTCAGTCCCCGCCCCCGGACCAGGAGCTCGAGCTTGGCAAGACCATCGAGTATGTGTACGACCAGCCCGTCGCCATCCCCAGCTACCTCATCGCCATCGCATCAGGTGAAGTAGTGTACAAGGCCTTCCCCGACATGGAAGGGCGCAATTGGCGCACCGGTGTCTGGACTGAACCGCTCACTATGAAGGAGGCGTACTGGGAGTTTGAGGAGGACACGGCCAAGTACGCATGCGAGTTGACGTCTACTTACACGCAGGCAGGTTGCGTGCGCTGAGGACCTGACGTCGGCATACCGCTTCGGTGTTTACGACTTCCTCATTGTATGTTGACGTGTGTCTGTGACTAACTCGCATAGCTCCCTGACTCATTCCCTTACGGCGGTGAGCATCCACGCGATTATCTTACTGACGTTAGGTATGGAGAACTGTTGTCTGACGTTCGCCACCCCGACTCTGCTTGCGCACGACCGCTCGCTCGTCGATGTCATTGCGCATGAGATCAGTCACGTGGGTGGTCATAAGATTACTGGTATACTTACACCCAGTCGTGGTTTGGCAACAGCATCGGCTGTGCTTCGTGGTCGCACTTCTGGCTTAACGAGGGTTGGACGACCTATCTTGAGCGCCTGATCATTGGCAAGCTGCATGGCGAGGCCACGCGCAATCTGTAAGCTTGGGGGAGGGGGGGGGTGCAGCAAACTGACGTTAGTTCTTACATTATTGGCAAGGTCGGTCTCCTTGAGTCGCTCAAGAGCTACGAGAAGACTCCCCGCTTCCAAAGCCTTATACCCGGGTACAAGGAGCACGAGGACCGTGAGTAAGCACTCGGCGCTGCTGACATGCAGCCGACGAGGCGTACAGTCAGGTGCCATATGAGAAGGTGAGCTTTACGAGATCCGCTCCCAACTGACGGGCAGGGCGCCAACTTCTTGCTGTATCTCGAGCGCACGGTCGGCGGACTCGAGCACTTCCTGCCGTACATGAAGGACTACGTCAAGACTTTCACAAACTCGTCCATCACGACCGAGCAGTGGCGCGAGCATCTGTTCGACTACTTTGGCAAGCAGAAGGACTCTGAGACGTACCTCAAGAAGCTTGGCAAGGTAGACTGGGACGAGTGGCTTCACGGTGTGGGCCTCGGGCTGCCGGTAGACTTGACGTACGATGACTCGCTGTCAAAGCCGTGTCTCGCTCTCGCGGAGCGCTGGGACAAGGCGCGTGGTGATGACGACCTGAGCCAGTTCTCCAAGAAGGACGTGGCCGACTTCTCTTCAACGCAACTCTGCGTCTTCCTTGACAAGATGGGCGAGTACAAGGCTTTCCGACCTGCAACGGTGCGCACTCTGGACGAGCTGTACGCCCTCGACAAGAGCGAGAATGCGGAGATAAAGCTGCGCTTCTACAAGATCGCGCTGGCGTCGGGACCAGAGTACTGCAAGAGTGCGGCGAGTGAGTGTCCGTTCTGGGACGGAATTAGATCTGGGCAGTCGCATGTGGCCCGCGTGCATGCCTCTACCGACGGCGAGAGCGACGGGGGAGATTAGCTTTGCTGACGCCACAGAGTGGGTGGAGACCAAGGGCCGCATGAAGTTCTGCCGGGTAAGCCACGCCGCCGCCAGCGCTAATCTTAGCCGATTTTCCGTCTGCTCAACGAGCAGGACCACGTTCTTGCCATCAAGACGTTTTCAGCGCACGCAGACTTCTACGTGAGTATGGACGGCCTGGGTGTGGGGACGAGCGGTGGCGAGTGCCTGGAGTGCCTGTGCCGTGGCGTGAGGCTGCTCTGCGTGCAGTAGTGCAGAACGTTGGTGCTAATATGGACTACGCACTCCAAGCAGGCACGAACAGATTATGCTGACTGCAGCACCCGATCGCTCGCAAGATGATCGCCAAGGACCTCGGCGTCGAGGTGTAGAAAGAAAGCGTGCAACGACGCTGAGGCTGTGGCAGATGAAACCAGGAAGCTGGAAAGGGGGAGCGATAACTAATGAATGGTATCGACATTGCGACATTGGAGGCAGGCTTTTGAAGCATAGCTGAATTGGAATTGTGGAGTTGGAATTGTCCAGATAACTGGGCAATTGAGCGCAATTGATGCCAGCGACAGGCGGACAAAGCTTCCGGGATCCAGCGGAGCAAACTTATGTCATCTTGCCATCTACTAGCGCACGGGAGATCGGCAGAAACGGGACTGGCGTCGGCGTGCCTGCGTATGAGCCTGGTGAACGCAGTGGGTGTAGTGGGTACGGTACATGCGTTGCGTCCGTTGATATCGGCCAGATATCGCGAAACTGTAACTGATTAGGCTCGGGGTGGCTCATGGCTCATGGCTCGTGGAGGATGTGCCGTTCACGCGTCCGATCGCAGACCGGGTGCCGGGGCGCGGGCGCGAGCAGACGCGTCGCGCCACGCGTGGCGAGCCGTTCTGGCGGTGATCGCGGAGTGTGGGCGGGGATAGAGCTGTGTCGTCCGCCTGCCCGTTTCCCCGTTCTAGCGGCGATCGCTGGCCGCGGGGTGGCGCCGACACAGTTGGCTTGGCGACGGCGTGAGGGCGATATGCATGCGAGAGCGGGGGGTGCGGCGAGTGCGTCTGTCCGGTGTCCGGTGCGTCTGAAGGGGGAGCGAGGGGCGCGAGGCTGGACACTGTCCGATGGAGATTGGGCGCATACGACAGCGTATGCTTGGAGGTCGACGGAGATGGGGCGGCTCAGCGGCTCCGGCTCGGCGGCTCGGCGGCCCTGCATTACGGCCTGCAGCGACGATCAACCCCGGATGCCGGACCCTGGGGCCGGCCGTGCGCCACGGTGGGCTGCATGTCAGCGAGCATGAATACACCGCGTCGTGGCGCTGCGTGCCAGGCTGTGCAGATGGCAGGCTGGTGGCCTGGTAGCCTGGGAGGCTGGGCTGACAGCGGCACGGCACGGCACCGGACGTCGGACAATGGCGTGCGCGACGCGACGAACAAGGCGAACAAGGCCCAACGCAACGCCCAACGCCCAACGCAACACAACGCAACACAACGCACGTTGGTGAGTCGCCCAAAGCCAATTTTCCCTGGGGCGTCCGCCGTCGCAGGGCCGAGGCGTGTGGCGCAGCAGAGTTTACACTTTGGCAGTAGTGGTGTTCCTGGGCGGCACATCTGGGGTGCAGTAGGTGCAGCACCTGGGCACAGCGTACCTCTGCCGGCATCGTAGCGTACTGGGTCACCCAGACTTGTGGATCCGAGATTGCGATCCCGGGCCGAAGCGATGGAACATGGGAATACTAATCTGCTCGACGAGTGCCTAAATGCTAGCGGCGTGTTAGTGACTGATTCTCTGAGCAAAGGTGACCAGTAACATTGACAGGAGAAGATTACAAAGAGCCAGGCCGCGCAGGCCGGCTGCACGACCTTTGAGAGAACGGAGCGCCGCATCCCATGGCCCTGCCATACAATGATTATACAACGTGCAAACATGTGCGTCATGGGCGAGTGGCGGGGTTAATTGAGGCCACTCGCGGTGTGTCCTAGCCGCGTTGGTCACCTTTGAAAATCCAGCCATCACTGGTGAGTGTGGAGGTACTGGTTCCACTCCTCGGGGTGGTACACGGCTGGCGCGGGGGGCAGAGGCTCCTGCGGCTGCTGCGCGAGAGCCTGGGGCCACACCGCGTACTGGGTGCCCGGCTGGTCCTGGGGCGGGACGGGAGGGGGGTACATTTGGTTGCCCACGAATGCAGAGGAAACGTCGGGAGGGTACATGGGGTAGCCGCGGCGATCGTCGGGGGGGTGGATGGGAGGGGCAAACGAAGTCGACCACCCCGTGTGGAAGGGGGGAGTATAAGGAGTCTGATGGGGGGGCTTGGGGCGCGTGTACGGCGCGTAACGGGGCGTCTGGAGAGGAGGCGCGTAATGAGGCCCGGGGCCTTGCGAGTACAAGGCCGGCGGCGGCGGGGGCACAAAGTCGGGCGAGTTCTGGGTCGACTTCTTACGACGAGAGCCTCCACGCTCATACTGGTAATCGGGGTTACGCCTCTTGAACGCCCTAATCAGGCGCTCGTGCAGAATCTTCCAAGGCCTCTGCTGAATGTCGGACAAAGACTTCCACTCGAGCCCGAGGAGCTTGGACAAGTCGCCCGTAGACATGGAAGGGTTGGCGTTCGCGAACTGGGCGCGGCGCATCTTCATAAAGACAAAGAATGCTAACAATGTCAGCGGGCTCGAGGAGCCAAGTAAGCGAAGCAAGGCAACTCACCGTTCATGGGACGACGAGGCGTGTCGTCGGCGCGGGGGTCCTGGCGGAGGAGGTCTGGAAGGTCGTCCGAGTCGGCGGATTCGCCGCAAGGGCCCAAGGAGGGGACGAAGAGAGGAGGGATAACAGCTCCGCCCTGGTAGATGGATTTGTCGTGGAGAGGAGATGTCCAAGTCTCGACGATGGGGTGGCCGGAGCTAAGAGGCGAGGGAACTCCAGAAGTGGCAGGGGACACCAGAGTCGCGGGAGAAACAGTAGACTCGGCCGTCATCGCGGGGGGAGGGGACGAGGGGGGATGTGGTCTGTCATGCGACGAGGAGATGGCTGGAGCGTAAAAGCCGCCAGCATACTCGTTGCCGGAGCCCTGCTGCGTGAAAGCGACTGGGTGCGACTGACGGCGCACGGGCTGGGGGGGCATGGGCATGTACGAAGTGGACTGGGTGAGGGTGTCAAACCCAAACGGATTGGTCGCGTGGAGGGGGGCGGAGGAGGGGGGAGAAATGTAAGACGAGTTTGCTGGGTAAGGCATGGCAGGAGGGGGAGTAGGTGGGAGCGAGGCGGTAGGAGCAACGCCAGTGGGAGGAGGGGCAATGTCGTGGGTGGGGATGTTGAACGCGCCAGCCGAGATGGAGGGCCGGTGAGCAGAGGAGGAGGAGGGGGGACTGCGATAGTGCGAGTCCATGTTGGTTGGAAGTTTCGAGGGGTAGGTACAGAGGAGATGGAGGTGGTGGCTGATTGAGGTCGAGCCGAACAGGGGAGGGGATTTGGAAGGTATCTGCTTGGGGATTCCAGAAGACAGAGGGTTGGCACGTAGTCGGTGAGGACAGTGATGAGTGGTGCGGAGTGGTTCGGGTGTGGTTCGAGTGCAAGGACGAAGAACAGTGCTCGAGTAGAGCGACCGTTAGAGGGGATGGGGGGTTGATGGGGGGGGGACGGGGACGAGGGTGAGGGGGTGAGGGGGTGAGGTTGTTGGGGTGGTAGTGAGGGGTGAGGGGTGAGGGTTGCTATTAAATGATATCACAAGGGGATGTGAAGGGAGCGATCAAGTCACTGAAGAGACAGTCGATAGACAAGTCGAATAGAGTGAAAGAATAGTAACGCTGAGAGAGGATGCAAGTCGCGATGGACGATGAGAGTTGAGTGGGGATTGAGATTGGGGAGGGTGAGCGACGACGAGTCTATGTACTCGAGCGGAAAGTTGATGCTTGAGTGAGGATCAGCTCTAGGGCAGCTGAATGCTGACTGCAGGGGGGGGGAGATTTGAGAGAGAGAGAGAGAGAGAGAGGGCGGGGCTTGTGAGGACTGAATGGCCGAAAGTGCAGAGTGAGACAGAGGCGGAGGACGAGAAGGGATTCAATGTCAAGGTGATTGCCCCGAAGCCGGAAGACGGACGAGGTTGACGTGTGGTCATGTCTCTTGTCCGATTGCGCCTGTTTTGATCTAGGGCCTGCAATGGCGGAGATGGCTGCAGGCTGCACAGTCCGAGGCGGCGTGAGGTGTCAAGGAACGCAGAGTCTTGTCTCTAGGTGGTGGCGTGGGTTAGGGAACGGTGGGACGCCACGACACAGTCCTGAACTAGAGTCAGGCGGACAAGAGATGCAGATTGTCGAGTGGAACAGTTGTCGTCGACACGACGACGAGACAGAGAGAGAGAGAGAGAGAGAGGGCACAGCAGATGTTCCACAGGATCGGTAGAGGAGGCACGAGGAAATGTTGGATAATTCGTCATTGAATTTGGAAAGCGGCGGGAGGGCAGAGGAGAGAGAATATGCTCAGAGGTTGAGAAAACGAATACTGAGAGCAAAAGATGAGACACGGCTTAGGGCCCGCACAGAGTCCGGCGCTTGGAGCGAGAGACAAGAGAGAGACAAGAGAGAGAGAGAAAAAAAAAATCAAAAAAGCAAAAACGCCACCAGCGCGGCCATCGGACAGGGACCGTGCACGAACCTTAGCTTGCGCATACCAGGCACGGCATACTCGTCCAGGGTCAGATAAGCCACACCGGTGCCCTGTGCCTGCTTCCCTGAATGAGGGACGCGAAGATGGCGAGGTAGCCCGAGGAAGGAGCCCAAATTTGGCGCATGGACCCTGAATGCGTACGTGCAATGTCGATGCTGCGCCCTGGCTCCAGCTCACATCACGAGCTGGAGTGGACCCTGAATGCGTACTGGACACGCCACCCCGGAGACGGCTCTGCCCTGGACGGCCCTGGCCCTGCATCCAGCAATCCTCCAGCCGCGTCGTGATCTCTTGATGCTCTCTCCTCTAGTCTAGTCTCTCTCTCGCGTCTCGTTTACACCGCCTGGACAGCCTGGACAGTCTGGAAAGCCATGACTCGACCCTTGGCAAACTCTATTGGTCAGGCCGATGGCCGATAGTCGACCCGGAAAAGTAGCGCCGCCGTGCCTCTCGAGACTCGTGAGCCTCTACAGTAGAGCCTCAGCATTGCCGTCGCCTCGCGGCCTTGCGGGGCCGACGCGCGGTGGCGGCTTGCGGCTTGCTGCGTGGATCGTGGATCGTGGGTTGTGGATTGTGGCTCGTGGTCCCCCCAGCCCCAAGCAGCTCATGACGGCTCAGAGCTTACCGCTCACGGCCTACGGCCCACGGCCCACGGCTCACGGCCCACGGCTCACGGCTCACGGCTCATGGTTCACAGCTTCCGGCTGTCAGTGCTGCAGTGGCTGCGGCTATGGCTGCGGTTCACGGCCCAGCGTCATCCTCACCCCCGAGCTTAATGCTTAGGCCCGACCCAGGAGAGTGAGACCGACGTCGTGAGCCTGCGCACGTCTGCGGGAAAGTCGAGAAGCAGAACGAGCAGAACGAGCAGAACGAGCAGAACGAGCAGAACGCACAAGGCACAAGGCAGAACGGGTTCTACCTAGCAAAGGCCAAGAATACGCGTGCAAACTTATTACTCTACGGTGGTCGCCGCCATATCCCCCCCCCCGGATCATCTATGATGCCGTGATACCAGTTCTCCCGCCAGTGACTCACCCCCGCCGATACTCCCCAACGTCTAGCTAGCGTCTCAGCCTCACGCCATCTGGCCCACGCTCCGTGTCAGCCTGTGCACTCGGTGACATGCAACGTGTACGAGGCCCACAGACGGTGGAGCGCGCATGGAGCATGGAACAAGGTGCACGGATAGGGCGCGTCAGTCACCGATCGCACGGTCCGCCCTGTGTGATCATTTCCTGGGACATGGCTCACGTGAGCCGATACGAGCGATGACCACACCGTCGTCGAATCGAGTTCTCTCTCTCTCTCTTTCTTTGGCGCGTCTGGGTGGGGGAGGAATGGGCATCCAGGATGCACCATGCACGAGCTGTCCTCGAGCCAAGAACTCCCGATCGCGGCCCCCGTCCCACGCTAAGTGTGGCGCGTACGCCGGTGTAAGGGACACGAGATAATCTGGGTTTACCACAGGTATGGAGCAAACGCAGGCATGGGAATCAATGTTGTTTACCGCGGCACTCGGCTGCCGAGTGAGCGCCGAGATCTGGGGACAGTGCTGCTGCGACATGCAATGTGCGATGGATGCCCCGCACACCGCTGCACGTGCGCCCCGCGGGTCTGGCGCCTAGCGCCTGGCGCCTGACGTCTTGCACTTGGCACCTAGCACCTAGCACGGCACATGCGGGCGCCGGGTCGGGCGTCGGGCGGACTGGGCGCGTCGGGTCAAGAACTGCTGCCGTGCCGCCATGCTGTCATGGTGTCATGGCAAGAGGTCTGGACTGCGCCACTGCCCGCTAGCCGTGGGTCGCTGGCGCTTGCCAAGATGGATCACCACGCCGACGATCATGTGAATGAGATCTGGCAGCTGGCAAGTGGCAGTTGGCAGTTGGCAGCTGGGACCCGGGTGCTGGTGCGGTTACACGTGAGCGTGTAGTAATCAGTCATCACTTACTGATCACACCGACGTCGGTGTTGCCCGAGCCGTGATTACAGATCCGCACGATTGCGATCTCTCATCTCGGTGTCTGCATGCGTGTGCGAGATCTCTGATCGCTGATTGCTGGCCCTACTGGGTGTGGTGATACGATCCTGCGATCGCAGCTAGTTGCTGAGCAGATGCCGTCAGGAGTCGTTGCAGACTAGCAGCTCGTAGGTCGTAGCGAGCAGCCACTACTCCCATTGTGCATCCACGCCATCCACGCCATCCTACCAAGCGTGGCGTGGAGCGCACGGCGTCTGCAGCAGCGGTGCGAGTGCGAGCGAGTGCGAGCGAGTGCGAGCGAGTGCGAGCGAGTGCGAGCTCGGTCAAACCAGCCAACCGCCATGCCCGCAGCGCGATAGCGACACTTTCTCCGAAGCCCAAGACGGATTCTCCGAACACAGAGCACAGCGATTCCTGCAATCCTCGACGGGACGCGGCCGCCGCCCTCCTCGTCTCCTGCGTCCTCCTCGCCGTCTCCGTCTCCTCCTCGACTGCAGACTCCTCGATGACGCCAGACGCCATACGCCAGACGTCACGCCCGCGATCGGGAGGGGCGGCGGCGTCAGCCCTCGATTCCCGGAACCCCATGCATTCTGCACTCCTGCACTCGTGCCCTCCTGCCCTCCTGCCCTCTCTTCCCAATCCATGTCCATCCCACTCCGTCCGCTGCCATTCCATGATCTCTTCCCACATTCCAGTCCGGCCCAGCAGCCCAGTCCGGCCCAGCAGCCCAACAGCTCAGCAGCTCAGCGGCCCGCACACCGTGCCCAAATCCGGTCTCGTCGGGCATCCCTCTCCCGAGGAATGGTGGCGCGTGGCGCCGGCTCATCTGCATAACTGCTAGGCACTGTCGCCTGGGCGATAGCATACGTAGGCAGACGCAGCCACTGCGCCATTATGCGGGTCTGCCACCGAACGGAGGTTGAGGTCCGCGTGCTGTATGCGGGGACAAGTCGAGTACGAGGGATGCAGGGGGCAGAGGACAGGCGCCGAGGCTTGTGCGGGTGAACTGTGGTATTGATGCTATCACGAACGTGGGGGGATGGACAAGGGCGGACCCGCCGGGCGGCCTGCCGGCCCGGCTGGCGGCTGGCGGCTGGCAGGCTAGGTGGGCGAGACGAGGGTGGATGAGAAGGGAGTGGGTCAGTAGGCGGGGGAGATAGACGCCGTCGGAGACTGTGGCAGGTGGCAGTGGCTCTCCAGGTAATCCGATATCTCGTGTCGCATGCTGGCGTGCTCTCACTGGATGTGCGTGGAGCGGAGCGAGCGGTTGGACGCACCCCGGAGTGGGTGGGTATGCCACAGAAGCAGGCTGAGCCATGGACAGCGCATAGTAGTATGGTCCCGGAGACACTCTGCCTGGACCATATCTCACCGCCGCTCGTGTCAGATTTCCTGCTCAGTGGCCCTGTGCTTGACGCCGCGACAAGAGCGACCTAGCGAGCGGAACCGCGAACGACTAGCCGACTAGGCGAGCGGAACGAGCACAACCAGCAGAACGAACAGAACCAGCGGAACCAGCGGAAGAACGGTACAGACGAGCGGAATGTCGCGCCACATCTCGCACTAATGCCACCATCACCAGTACACCTCGCCGGCCGCCGGACGACACGAGCGGAATGAGCGTGTCCAAATATCCAAGTGGCGGACGGCGGCGGCGAGTACGTCCTATCTCATTCTCGAACGCCCGTGCAACTCGGGCATAGCTCCAAGGCATATTCGAGGGCCAGAGCGAAGCAGATCCACTGCCCATCGCCATGCCATCGACAGGGAGAGGAACAATCGCGCGGGAGAACATTCCATGACTAGAGGAACGAGGCGGAAGGAACTCGGGCTGCGTCAGTGCCATTCGCGTGCATGCCAATCTGCCGCCGGAAACCAGCTCTTATCGTGCGAGTGCAAGTGGCGGAGGCGGAGGCGGGGTGCAACCCAGTCGCCGGCCGGGGGCCGGAAAGGGGTGGTGGGCAGGATGGCATGGCGACAGCGCAGGGAGGACAGGACGCGAGGATCGCGTGAGTAAAGATAGAACGGGGTAGTCGAGCGAGCCAAACGAGGGGAAGAACGAGGCAGAACGCGTGGCAACCTCCTATGGCTCTTCCACTGGACTTTGCATGCAGAGACAAAGCTCATGCAAGCACCAGCATGCAGAGCCAAGAACGATGCTACAGACTGAGGCGGTAATGCGGCTGGTATTCGTCTCAACACGCTCTGTGCGATATCGCAACGCGCCGAACGCAGCCACGGCCGCCGGCTCGTGTCACCATCATGCACGCCATGTCCGCCTTCCGTCGCCGACGGTAACACTTCCATGCGTAGTGCAAGCAGGGGAACCTGTTCCACGGCGCCGCAAGAGGGCACACCATGTTCTTTCTCCATTGGTGCAGCGAACAATCTTCTGCCGCCGGAGCGAGTTCTGCCGTGCAGCTACGCCTCGCACGCGTCCCTGGTCTCTAAACGCGTGCTCTTGGTTGCGGCTGAGGTGAGGCTGAGGCTGAGGCTGAGGCTGAGGCTGGCAGGCTGGCCGGTAGGCCGAAGCTGGAGCTGAAGCTGGCAGGCTGGCAGGTAGGCTAATGACACTGATATGGTGAGCGTAGCTTCTGATCCGTCGGAGGGCATGTTACGCTCATGCGTGGCGCAGATTCTAGAAGGCGCGGCTGTTTTCGCACTGGCGTCGTGCACCTGAGCATGGTGAGCATGCCCTGCCCGCCGCGTCGAGAAGGCTGGACGCGGATGTCGGCGGACGTGAGCGGAGGCGGGGCGGACGCGAGCAAGGCGAACAGGCGTTCAGGTGGAGGACTGAATTGCGAGCCATCCATGGCCCGGATTCGCCACGGACGGCGGAAACACCATGCATAATGCAGACATGGAGGACATAATGCGACAAAGATGTAGTGTACAGAGCGACTCACCCCGTCGCGGCGCGCGGTAGTGCGAGCGTGCGCGGGAGGGGCGACTGGGATGGGCGTCTCGTCATCGCGGCTTTGGAGAGGGCGCCCGAGCTCGACCCCCGCTCCTCGGTCGGCACGGACGCGTAGTCGTAGTGCTCGCCGCGGACGGTGCGCGCGTCGGGTATGGGCGAGGGCGAGCGCGAGATCGGCCGCGACTCGGGGTCGTCCAGCACTTGTGGCGGCTTATTCTTGAGCGTCGACATCTGGCGTCAGCCAACGGTGTGATGGGTAGTACTCACCGCGACCCAGGCGGCTGAAGACAGGATGATGACCGTGCCCAAGAAGGACATGAACGAGGGGATCGTGTGGAACACCAACAGCTCGAGGATGACCGCGAAGAAGATCTGCGTGAGTTCGGTGCGCCATGCGAGAGCTTACTTGCAGATACATGGCGAGGCCGGCGCGGCCGGCCTTCTCGTTCTGCAGACCAAAGGTCAGGAGTGTCTGAGCGCAGAAGCCGAAGATGCCGATGAGGACGATCAGGCCGAAGCCGTGGAGGTCGTTTGGCCACTCGAGGTTCTGAGGCGAAACAAGCATCGCGCTGGGGTTAGCAAGCGCGCTAGAGCAGAGCGTACAGAGCGGATGCGATGGTGCACACCATCGAAAAGTACGAGATCGAGTGCAGTGCACTCGCGCGCGTCCCGATGTACCGGATGGAGAGGTAGGCGGTCGCGGAGAAGGACACGCCGACGAGGGCCCACGTCGCGCCGATCATGCGGGCGGCGCTGTCCGCGTCGCCTGTTACCGTGCTTCCCAGACGCACGCGGGCCGGGCCGGAGGCTTCGGGCTCTATGGCGGGGGCATCGCCGTGGTGATGCCCCACCAAAAAGGGAGGGCGGGTGATGAGCACGACACCAAAGAGGGAGATGACGCCGGACACGGCTTCGCGAGCACTAAAGCTTTCCCCGAGGACAAGCCAGCCAAAAAAGGCGGTGACGCTGGGTGTGAGGAAACCGATCGTGACGGCGTCGCTGACGCTCAACCCCCGCAGGGCTTGGTACGCGCACAGCAGGCCTGAAAAGCCGGCGAAGCCGCGCAGACACAGGAGTGGGCGGATGCCTGGTGGGCCCAAGAAGGGGTTTGGGTCGCGTTGGAGCAGCAGCGTGCCCCAGCAACATGAGCCGGTGATGCTCATGCGCACAAAGATGAGGGTGAGGGTGGACATGCTTGTCGTCTCCATAAGCCACTTTACGCTCATGCTCATGCTCGCGAAGAAGAACTGGGCGAGGGCGATGAGCGTGAGGCCAAAGTTGTTGTCGTAGAGCTGCACGAGTGTGGGGGGCGCGTTGGCGCGCACGCCTCGAGCAGCGCGCAGGGCTAGCTTCTCGAGCGTGTCCATGATGCCGTTCTCTGGCATCTGGGGGGGGAGGACAGAGGTACCAGATCGTACAGAGGAGGTGGTGGGAGGTGGGAGATGGGAGTCGGGGGTGGGGAAATGGGGGCGGGGGAGAGGAATGTGGGGGGGGCCAAGGGAGGAGATGGAGATGGCGATGGAGATGGAGACGGAGCTAGGCGATGACCGGGTGGCGCAGGTGCTCTAGATGCGATGCGACACAACCGGAGAGCGGAGAGTCCGAGAGATGGCGAGAGAGCGAAGGGACACGGCAAACGGCGTATGAATTGTCGCAAGTTGATCGAGTTGTGTCAGAAAAGGCCAGGAGGGGATCGCCCTATTCAGTAGGTCGCGTGTGGCGTTTTGGGACTAGTAGTCGCTTGATGACCTGATGGCTTTTGCACCTGGGACCCTATGCAATCGGAGATGGGACCGGTGGCTTAGGGGTAGTGAGAGGACGTTGAGTTGAGGATGATGAACGACGAAGCGACGGCGACGATGAGAGATGGGATCTGTGCGTTCTCCACAACTCCGGAGTCAACTCTCCACTCCAAGTACCCCGCTTACCATGCGGTGACGGCCCTTCATTCACCCCGCAGTTGCCCCCGCTTGGCCAAGGCGTAACGTAACCGAGGCGGCCTCGCACATGGCCGACATCCCACGTGTTGGTCACGTGCATTTCACGTGTTTGCCACGCAAGACACACGCATGGCTCGCGTGCCCACCCTCTCGCGTGGCCACGTTATCCACTCCTCCCACCTACCCTCCCACGCGAGATAGGCGAGGCAGGCTGGGCTGGGTGGGGCTTCTGTTGGTTTACCCGTGATGATCATAGGCGGAAAGTGACGGGCCGAGATGGCCCAGTTCGGATCGCTCGGATCACCTCGTCCCGCTCACCTTCCCCCCAAATTCCGTTGTCAAACTACGCGGGGCCCTCGATGATCCACGATGATCCGGCGGCCACCACTCAACCACTCAGCGGAACTCCCGGCCCACTCACAATCTCGACATCCAGTCCTCCCTCCTCCTCGCGTCCTCCTCGCCTATCCTCCTCGCTCCTCTTCTCCATCTCCATCTACATCTCCCTCTCCCTCTCCCTCTCCCTCTCCACAACCATGACCTCAACAGACCCCGAACAGCTCTGGGCACCCGCCAACCCAGAGTCAACCCAGTCCGCAAAGCTAGCAGCCCACGTCAGCCAAAAGTATGGCGTCCAGCTCTCCACCTACGAGGACTTTTGGCGCTGGTCTTGCGCCAACCGCGGCGACTTCTGGAGCGAGGTCTGGGACTGGGAAGGCGTTATCGGTGACAAGGGGCCTGCGCCGTACGTCGACGAGTCTGCTCGCCCCAAAGACAACCCCAAGTGGTTCCCCAATGCCCGCCTCAACTGGGCCGAGAACCAGCTCCGCAATGCCGCCGCACACCCCGCCGACGTCGCTATCATCGACACCTGCGAGCACACCTCAGACTTTAAGCCTGCTCCGCGCGAGGTCTCGCAGAAGGAGCTTGTCGGCCTCGTCGCCCAGGCCCAGGCTGGCATGAAGGCCGCAGGCGTGCAGAAGGGTCACCGCGTAGCGTACTGGGGCGGCAACCGCCTCGAGGCCGCCGTCACCCTCCTCGCTACTACCTCCCTCGGTGCCATCTTCTCGTCGGCCGCAGCTGATTTTGGCGTCGACGGTGTGATTGAGCGTCTTGAGCAGGTTAGTCGCGTCACGGCCTTCGGGCTTTAGGCTGTAACCGGGACCGCGGGCCGCGGGCCGCGGACCGGCACAATCTGTGCCCAGCAGTCTCCTCCAGTCTCGGTATGCTTAATGCTAACTGCCAGATCAAGCCCCACCTCCTCGTCGTCTCAAACGGATGCGTGTACAACCAGAAGCACCACCCGCTGTTACCACTGCTGCCGCGCCTCTTCACGTCGCTGTCGCACCCGCCCGCGAACACGGTCATCATCAACCACCTCCCAGACGAGCTCGACGACAAGGTCAGCGTCTCGCAGTTCCTCGAGGGATGGCATGACGGGCACACCAAGCTGCACCGGTGGGCCGACTTTGTCAACCACCCCGCCGGCGTGCCAACCTACGAGCGCATCGGGTTCAACGACCCCATCTGGATCCTCTTCTCGAGCGGCACGACAGGCAAGCCCAAGGCGATCGTCCACCGCTGCGGCGGCATGCTGATCGATGCCCTGCGCGAGCACCACATCCAGGGCGACATCTCCCGCGGCGACGTCTTCTTCCAGTACACCACCACCGGCTGGATGATGTACCAGTACTTGATCGCAGGGCTGGCGACGGGCGCCACGGTGCTGCTGTACGACGGCTCGCCGCTCAAGGACCCCGCGACGTGCTGGAACCTAATCGATGCGCACGGCGTCAGCATCTTCGGCACCTCGGCAAAGTACATTGAGATGGTGAGCAAGGTGTACCCGGACGTGGGGAAGAAGCACGCGCTCGCGCGCCTGCGCCAGATCCTGTCCACGGGCTCGCCCCTCGCCGCCGACCTCTTCGACTACGTCTACGCAAACATCAAGCAAGACTTGCTTCTCGGCTCGGTGTCGGGCGGCACTGACATCTGCTCCGTCTTCGCGGGCCGCTGCACCGCCCTGCCCGTGTACCGGGGCGAGATCCAGTGCCGCCAGCTCGGCTTCTACCTCGACAGCACGTCGTCTGACGCGCACGAGATCCCGGGCGAGCTGATCGTGCGCGAAGCGTTCCCGATCGAGCCCGTCGGCTTCTGGCCCCTGCCGCGCGAATACCTCCCCGACGGGCAGAACATTGCGCAGGCCGACATTGACGCGGCGCAAGCCCGCTTCCTCGACTCGTACTTCAAAGACGACGCCGGCAACTGGTACCACGGCGACTTTGTCAAGATCACGCGCTCGCGCGCCGGCAACTCTGGCGGGCTCGTGTTCCTCGGCCGCTCCGACGGCGTCCTCAACCCCCAGGGCATCCGCTTCGGCCCCATGGACATTTACAGCGTGCTGGAGAACCCGGCGTTCGCCGCGCGCGGCATCGAAGAGACGCTCGTCGTCGGCCTCCTCGTCGACGGCGGCAACGACGAAAAGGTCATCCTCTTCGTCAAGATGTACGACGGCAAGGCGCTCGACGACGAGTGCCTCAAGCTCATCAAGACCTCGATCCGCAGCGCGCGGAGCGCGCGCCACGTGCCCGCACGTATCGTGCAGGTGTCGGACATTCCCATGACGCTTACAGGCAAGAAAATCGAGGTGCCCATCCGCAAGGTCATCAACGGCGCGCCCGTCGCCGCCATCAACCCCGCCACACTCCGCAACCCCGCCTGCCTCCAGGAGTATGTCGGCCTCGGCGAGGCCATGCGTGCAGAGGAGGGCGTGCTTGTGCCGCTGCTGCAGTAGTATCATGTTTCACTCTAGATGTACAAGTAGACAAGGAGGGGGGGGGGGGGGGACTGAGCGAGGTAGGGGGATTATTGGTAGCAGGGAGGGTTATTGGCGGCAGGTGGTTGGAGTACTGGGGTTCTGTCCACGGGCCGGCGACGGGTCGAGGGAGCTGGGGAACGATTACTCTGAAATGGAAGGAGGAGGACGCGCCAGAGCCACCCCCGCTCCGCAGCGCCGACTACGTCGTCTCCATACCGTATCTACTCGGCGATATGCCACTGAATCGAGCGGAATCCCCAGCTGAGACACGCTCCCGGTGCCGCGTTTCCGCACGAGGCACACGCAGCATCACAGGCGTTCTGATACATTGGGGCGCGATGGAATGGGGTAGCGAATAGCGGGGGATGGGGCGAGGCGGGCTGATGGGGTGGGGGCAGGTTTGGTGGACGGGGGGCGGGAGGGTGGACGGAGGGGTGGAGAAGATGGGGGGCTGGAGGAGATGGAGGAGATGAAGAAGATGGAGGGATGATGGGGATGGATGGCAAGCCGTGGACGGGTTTTCTTCTTCCCCTCGACTCTGAAGTTTGTATGATGCTGGTTGTCGAGTAGGCGTCGTGCACGACTACACTTGCCGTCGTTGCACTGATGGCGCAGCGGAATATTAGTCAGAACCCCGTCAACGATCTATCAACATTATATCCACAGTGTCTTTGATGTGCAGACGGGACACAAGGGCACAGAATAAGATGCAAGTGCTCGCTCTACTCGCCCTCTGTGTTCACTGATGCTCCAGTGCTATCGCGCCGAGGCCGCCCACGAGTGCCACACCTCTCCAGATCCACGCTGCCCCACTTCTAAGTCTACAGCCACGTGCTCGGCCACGGACTTGGGTGCATGACGTCCGACATTCGTCCGAGCGCATCTCCTTCCTTCCTCACCACCTCCCTCCCCCCATGGCCGCGACCGACCCCGGCCCCTCCTCAGCCTACTACCGCCGCTTCCCCGGCGGGTCCGACGGCCCGCTGCGCCCGCCCTCCCCGCCCGCTCCACCACTAGTGGACGCGGCGCAAACGGGGCGGGAGTATCTCGACGCTGCTTCCTCAGGCGGCCTGTACGCGCTGCTCAACGTGCCGCGGGACGCGTCGCATGCCGAGATCCAGGCGCGGTATCGCGCGCTCGCGGCGCAGTTCCACCCCGACAAGCAGCCGGACGAGGCGCGCCGCCGCGCCGCCCACGGCCGCTTCCAGGACATACAGCGGGCGCACGAGGTGCTCTCCGATCCGGCACGGCGCGTCGTGTACGACATGTTTGGCGAGGAGGGCCTCCGGACTAGTTGGGAGGTCGGGCCGAGTAATATGACGCCCGCGCAGATGCGGCGTCACTATGCGCGCCAGGGCGAGGTGAAGCGCAAGCTTGATGCCGAGGCGCTGGTTAATTCCAAGGTGGGTAGGAGTGGGCGCGCAGGGTGTGCGTGGCGGAGGAGTGGTCGAGGCGAGTAGAACAGAACGGTTGTGCACAGGTCGTGCCGCCGTGCTGTTGAGCAAGGAGGGAATCAAGTGGACGACGGCACTGCCCTCAGTTGCTGACCCCAGGGCGAGCTCAACCTCACGTTCGACGCGCGAGGCGTCTTCCTCCCCGAGTCTGTTTTCGACGACCCAGACCGCAAAATAGACCACTCGATCATCGGGCGCGCGCGCCGTCTCGCCGTGGGCCAGACGACGCTCAAGCACAGCTTCGAGACGCCGCTTTCAGACCACACGCAGGTGGTCGTCGAGTCCACGATGGCCGCGATGGGCGGGCACGGCGGCGCGAACGTGAGCGGCACGCTGCGGCACCAGTTCAGCCCGCGACTGTGGGCGCAGGTGTCGCAGTCGGTGCTTTTCCCGCGCATCACCTCGCTCAAGGCCAACTACACACACGACGACATGACGTTCGTGACGCTCAACGCGATCGCGCAGGGCTGGGCGGTGCCGCCACGCCTGACCTTTACCTTTGGGCGGCAGCTGTGGCCGACGACCACGGGCTTCGTCAACTACTCGACGGGATTCTGGGCGCTAGGGCCGTGGGGCGCGAATATGCCCGAAGAAATGGCGTTGCAGGACATGGGCTCGATGTCCGTCGGCGCGACGAACGTCGGCGTCGGCGGCAAGGGCGGGTGGACGGTCGAGGCCGCCGCGGGGCTCACGAGCACGGGCGTGAGTGCCGACTACACCACGTTCGTTGCGGGTTTGCGGCTCAAGCTCGGCGCGGGGCTGGATCTTATCGACGGCGCGCACGGCTTCGTGGACGGCACAGCCCGAGTTACGGAGAACACGCGCGTCGGGGCCATGATCAAGCTCGCGACGTCGGGCGTGCGCCTCATCTTCCACTTTGGGCGCGTGGGGCAGCGTATCCGCATCCCCATCTTGCTCTCGTTCGACGCCAACCCCCGCGTCGTGTTCTGGAGCACGGTGCTGCCGATTGCAGGCTGGGCAGGGTTCTACCACTGGTGGATGGTGCCGCGGAAGCAGAAGCGGATTGAGCGGTGAGTCGGGCGAGGAGCGGGCGTAGCCCGCGGGCGCCCGCCTCGGACTCGCCGAGTCAGAACCTAACCCCAGTCGCATCAAGCGCTTGCGCGCCGAGCACGCCGACTACATTGCGCAGAAGCGGCAGGAGGCGGCCGACGCCGTTCTGCTGCTGGAACGGACGGCGGCGGCGCGCGCCGAGTCCGAGCGCGCGCGCAACGGCCTCGTGATCCTCGATGCGCACTACGGGCGCGCGAGCGCGTTCACGCCGCGCGGGCTGCGCGACGAGACCGAGGACGGCGCACCCGTCCTCATCGACGTCACGGTGCCGCTGCAGGCGCTCGTCGCCTCCAGCAAGCTCTACATCCCCGCCGGGCCGGCCAAGCACAACCTCCTCGGGTTCTACGACCCGTGCATTGGCGAGAACAAGCGGCTGCGCGTGCGGTACCTCTTCCAGGGCAAGGTGCACGAAGTCGAGGTCGACGATGTGAGCGCGCTGCGCGCGCCCGTGCGCGCGCATGCTGTTGACAACTAACTGTCACCTATGCATCATATTCTATTCATGTTTGGCCTGGCTGCGAGTATGCCAGTTGAGCTGGAGTGTCTTGGTCCAGCGCGCTGTTGTGTATGCCCTCGTTAAGAAACCCCTCGCTTGCTATGCGTCTTCTCAATCACCGCAAAACCAAACTCCATGTCCTCCCATGCATATGCTGTTACAATCTACATGCACCGCTATCAATAAAAGCGCCACTTCTTGCCGTTCTCCGCCGCGCCCACTACCGCCTGGCTGGCCTTCAGCCCCTGCTTGGCACCAGCTATCAGCGCGGCAAGGCGCGCAGCTTTAGCCTTGACGGGATCGTAGGCGTCCTCTTCACGCGCGCGCTTGATCCCGCTCGTGGCCGTGCTCGGCGTGAGTGGCGGACTGGGAGGGAGGGCGGTCGCCCGCGCTCGCTCCCACAACCCTTCCTGCGCAAGGGCGTGCACCGCCGCCTCAGCGGCGGCTTGCACGTCCTCCATGATGCTCGCCTCCACCCTCTGCGCGGCATGCAGGTGGTGTGGAGGATCGTACCACTGCTTCAGCCCTAATGTGGCGTAGCGCACGCTGTCGGCGACGTAAGTGCCGAGCGCGTCGAATGCTTCTCGCAACGGCAGAGGCTGGGAGTGCGCTACCGCGTCGCGCAGCTTGGCGCTCACGATCGCGACGCCGGCGCCAAGTTCAGGCTGAGCCATGTATGTCTGTAGACTCTCGGCTACGCCCGCCGCGCTCGTATCCGCCGGTGGCGTGTACGGCGGAAAGTCGAAGGGGACGTACGTCGACTCGTCGGCCTCGCCAAACCCGTCGAGCTGGTCCTGAATCGCATTGGGAAGCGAGGAGAGGAGGTCGCACGCTGCCTTCAACGTCGTGGCGACCAGGCGCGATTCCGTGGGGAACTCGCGGAACAGGTTCTCCGCGACATGCAGGAGCTCCTGGTACGCCTGCGCGGTCCGGTCTGCAACGCGCTGCAATGGAACGACAACTTGCGACTTGCGCGGGTCGGAGGGAACGACAGTTCGCAGCGCTGCGGCAAAGAGCGCGCCAAATGTCTCGGGATTGTGTATCGACACGGCGGCGACGTGTTCGAATGGCTCAATGTCGTGCTCGATACCCAGGCGCTGGACGACTTCCTCGAGCGTCTCGGGCTCCCAGGTCAGGATGATCAGGCCTGCTCGATAGCGCGACCCCTGCTGGATTGCGCTCGACGCAGCCTCGATCCTGTCGCCCGCATCATCAATGTTTCGCGATCTCGCGGCCGTGTTGAGAGTGATGAGCGGCGCCTCAAAGACGTAAAGTCCCGTGTTCGACGAGCCAGGGAAGTATCCGCGCACGTCGGTCGCACATGAGCGGAAGCCGACGTCGGCCTGATAATACACACCGTCATGGACGCGCGAGCCGCGCCTTGGCGTCATGAGCTTCGAGGTGAGCCATGCAGACGCGCTTTCGCCTGCTGGCGAACCCGACTGCCCCGCCGTCAGCAGGACAGTTTCCCACAAGGTGTCCTCGTTGGGAGCGGGCTGGATGAGCGGCGCCACGTGCCCGGCAATGGTCTTGAAAAGCGAAGAGTCACTGTCGAAGAACTTGCGGCGCATTTCCTGCAGCTTGTGAAACTTGTTCTGAGACACATCGACCTGTTCAGGGAGCGTTATGAGAGACGGCGCACCAGAGCGAACCGAGCGTGAACGGGATGTGGCGTGAGTGGCGCAGTCGACGTAGCTGTGCGATCTTGCTAGGCCAATGCTCTTGAGTTGGTGCCGATCCTGCTCACGCTGCCGCGCGGCGCTGGCACGTATTTCTGCCCTTCTCCTCGTCCACGCCAACCACTTCCGTGCGATAGCGAAAGCGAACACCTGTGCCCGCATGTCGTAAAACCACTCAGCAAACAGCTCGCATTGGACGTGCTCGGCCAGAAGCTGGTCATAAACCTGTCTTGCCCGCTGCTTAACCAGCCCTGCACGCTCTAATTTAGAGCGCTGCCGTTCAGCTGCTGCCTCGTGCTCGTTCACAAGTTCAAGTAATGCCGCCTCGTTATCGTTAATGAGTTCCTTGACGACTTCGGAGATCAACTCGTCTCTCAAGATCGAGGGCAGCTTGCGCATGAACGCGCGTGTGACCTGGATGCTGGGAATCGCTGGCTCGGGTGGTGTGCGTGTTGGAGTGACATCAGGTGGCGAGGTCAGCCGTGGGCTGGGCAAGGTCGACGAGAATACCGTGCCTGTCACTGGCGCTGTGCTTGAGGAGAAAAAAGTAGGCATGGCGGCCTTGGATGGCCCAGATTCTGGTGGAGGTGTGGGCCTCGGCGTGGTGTCGAAAAAGCTTGGTTTGCTGAAGAGTGGGGCCGTGGGTTTGGGCTCTGTTCCCTCGTTGTCCGTCTTCGCAAAAAAGTCAGGCTTGGGGGCCGGGGCGGTGGTAGGAGCGGCTGCGGGGTCTGAGGGGGCGACAGGCTTGAAGCACTCGGGAACGGCCTTGACCGTTGAAAGGACTGAGGCCGCTGGAGCCGCGGGCTTCGTCTCTTCCCTCTTGGACGGCTCGAAGGCGGGAGCAGTTGCCTGTAACGAGCTCGGTTTGGGCTTGAAGTCGATGGCTGGCGCTGGCGCATTGGAGCTCGACGCGGCACTCTTGGCAGCGCCGAAGGCGCTCGTGGAGGGCACAGACGTTTGGGTCCCGAAAGCGCTCTTAGCCGGCCCAAAAGCACTAGCGGAGCCTGCGCTTGGCCCAAAGGCACTGAAAGAGCTCGCGCTCGGCCCGAAGGCGCTGGCCGGGGTAGTACCGAAAGCGCTCCGCCCTGTGCCAAAGGCGCTCGCGGACTCAGTGGGTCCGGTGGGCACTGGAGGAGTGACAGAGGTAGTGGGCCACGCGGCGCCATTGGGAGTGGGAGCGGACTTTATAGTCGCACGCTGTTGGGTATGAAGCTGTGGAGGCGGTGGAGGGGCGACTGATGCGGGCTGAGCAGCGGGTCCACCGGAGATGCCAACACCCGCGCGACCGTTGACAACCTCGGCATATGAAGAGGGCTGCTTGTCCGAAATCAGCTTCCACCGTCTCGTGAAGGGTGCGTCCTTGTTGTCTAAAGTCAGATCTCTCGACTCAGAAGACCTGCGACTCACCATTGTAGGGTGATCGCAGGTTGATGAGTGCGCCCATGGGGCGAGGGTCCCCCATCTCCTGGTATACTCTGATGTTGAAACGCTGCACGACAGCGATCGCCTCGTCGTCAGGATGTCGTGACACGGGCTCAATATCGTCCCATGCCGTCTCCAGAGTTTCCTGCTCCTCAGCTCCCAACAAACGGTCCAGTGTTGGCATCAGCACCATCTTGCGCTCGAGTATGGCGCCGCTCTGGTCGCGGCGGATGGGCTCGTCGTTCTTGAGACCTGGATATGTGCGGACTAGCGCTCGGATTGCGCTCCGCCGCATGTCGCGGAGACGAACTTCGGCCAGGCAAGACATCAGGTACGGTACGTGGTCCTGCTTGATCAGGCGGATGTACCGAGTGATAAGGTTGGCCCCGAGTTCGGCGTTGAGTTTCGAGCCCTCTTTCTGTGAGTCAAAGTTGCGCTGCGCGGCCTGCCGGATCTTCCAGGCCAGCTGCACGAGAGGGTGGTCGAGGATGACCTGGGGCAACTCTGAAATGGGGATCGACACCGACTTGCTTGCCAAATCGTAGATGAGCATGTAGGCACGGAATTCGGGCTCATTGGCGCACGGCATGTCGAGACCCGTCTCTTCTCGCCGGTCGTTGTATTGCTGCCGCAAAGAGGTAAAGCAGCGCCCCAGTTCGGCGTTGTCGATGTGCATGTCGGTGTTGGTGCCGGTCTCCTCCTGGAGCTCGCGCAGGCAGAGGATGTGCCATCGCGCGATGCGCTCGAACGTCGCTATAGCCTCGACATGACCCCAACTTGACTGGAGAGAAAACTCCTTGCGAATAGCACGGGTGCGGTCTCGAATAAAGCCAGAGGAGTAGCCTAGCGCGCGTCGAGGAGTAGGAGCTGGCGGATTGACTGCATTGGGATTTGGCGGAGGCTGCTGGCTCATGATCTCGTCAACGAGGTAGTCGAGGGAGCGCTGGGGTAAGTTTCGGGAGAGGCAGTCGAGGACATACGACGAGGGCTGAGGGCGTGCGCAGATCCGAGGGGAGGATGGTGGCTGTGCCATGCCCGGCACCAGCGTCAGACCGAGTGTAGGCTGCAACAGCCTTGGAGTGGTCGATTCGGCGCTGAGGGGTCTGTCGTTAGCCTAAGTATGGTTTCCACAAAGCCAGCTCACGGCTTCAAAGGGATGAATTTCGCGCGTATACTCGCGGAACTCGCGCTCATACAATGAGCACATGTCCTCACACGTCCCGCGAAGGTCAACGGCGCCTGTCAAGTCGGTTTGGCCAGAGGTTATCTTGCCCTGTTGGATGAAGGCCTCGCGCTCTCTAACGCGAGCTTCTTCGAGCTGCTGTCAGCCTGGTGTCATAGATGATTGTTCACCTCCTTGTACCGGTTGCCTTCGAGTTGCTGATTGAACCGGGCAGCGCGGGCTGCGAGCTTGACCTGTCTCGTGAGAGAGTCATCGTCGCCGGGGTCGGCCCCCGACACGGCTGCGGGGGCCATGGTGAATGATTGTGAGGCCGTGTCTGCACCAGGGGCAGACTCGACGGGGTGTTGGATGCGAGGTGTGGGGTGGGTCAACAACAATGGGAGGGAGATCGAGGTGCGTCATGAAGTTGCGAGGTTGGACCAGCTGTGATGGAGGGCGAGCGGAAGCAGATCTGCCATGTGAGAAAGACGTGGCGATGTGGAGATCACCCAATCTCCGTAAAGCCACGTGAGAGCGGGAGCAGATGGAGCTCCGCAGGTAAGCGCGGGCGATTTTGACCTCGGAGAGTTCGTGTCCGCGTTTCCGGTGCCCCGCCCAGCCACTTTTTTCTGGTTGCCATGTTTATCCGGCCCCCGGACGCGGTCCGATGGGCGATGGACGAGCAGTGGGGCACTAGAGGAGTGCCGCCCACGCCGCCCGCCGTCAGCCGCAAGCCGCAAGCCGAAGGCAAAGCGAGCGCTCTCCTTCCTGCTCCAAGATCCAAGAGACACGTCCCGTCCAGGCTCAGAGATCACAAGACTCACATGGTCACAGATGCTAGGTCTTGCTTGCTTGGCTGGAATGGCACGGGGGAGGGCTCGCAGGATCAAGGGTTTCGGGGCCGCTTGATGCGATCGTACGAATACATACAGCCAAGGAAAGGTACCCCACTCCATCCATCCACATCATCATCATCTCTTTCATCACTCCATCCACACTCCTCTCCCTCTGTCGACTTCGGTCACCTCTTTCTTTCTTTTCCTTGGGCACCTGTTTCTCGCATCTCCCGCCAGCTACTAGCTCCCCTTCCACCATGGCGTCCCAAGTGGACCTCTTCATCATCGCACTCGCCGTCCTCCTCCCCCTCCTCTTCTGGTTCCGCGAGTCTCTTCCCCTCATCGGCGGCAAGAAGAGCCACCATGTCGGCGCGGTCGGTGCTGGAGCAGCAGGCGGCGATGAAGAGGACGGCGACCCTCGCGACTTTGTGGGCAAGATGAAGCGTGCTGTAAGTGCTAGTGGCGAGCTTCTTTCTTTCCATGAGATGAGCAGAGCTCACGCGTGCAGGGCAAGCGCTGCGTCGTCTTCTACGGCACTCAGACTGGTACGGCTGAAGAGTACTCGATCCGCCTCGCCAAGGAAGCCAAGTCCCGCTACGGCCTCTCATCGCTCGTGTGCGACCCCGAGGAGTATGACTTCAACAACCTTGACCAGGTCCCCGATGACTGCTGCATCTTCTTCGTCATGGCAACCTACGGCGAGGGTGACCCGACCGACAACGCCGAGCAATTCTGGGAGTTTATCATGGACGAGAACGTTCAGTTCTCGCAGGGTGGTGACTCGCTCGAGAACCTCAACTACGTGATCTTTGGCCTCGGCAACAGAACCTATGAGCACTTCAACGGTGTTGGCCGCAAGCTTGACGCCAAGCTTCAGGCTCTCGGCGCTCACCGTATCGGCACGCTCGGCGAAGGCGACGACGACAAGGCCCTCGAGGAGGACTACCTCGAGTGGAAGGACCCCATGTGGGATGAGTTCTCCAAGCGCATGAACGTTGAGGAAGGCGGCGCCGGCGACGTGGCCGACTTTGTCGTTACCGAGGTCACCCCCGACATGAAGAAGGTCTACCACGGTGAACTGTCCTCGCGCGCGCTTTTGGCCAGCACTTCGGGTGCCTCGACGCCCGTCGGCTCGTACAACTCGAAGAACCCGTATGCCTCCCCGGTCCTCACCACTCGCGAGCTTTTCGCCGTCGATGGCGAGCGCAACTGCGTTCACATCGAGTTCGACCTTACCGGGTCCGGCCTTACCTATCAGCACGGTGACCACGTCGGCGTCTGGCCCTCGAACCCCGACCTCGAGGTTGAGCGTATCTTCACTGTCCTCGGCCTTCTTGAGAAGCGCGGCACTGTCGTCGACATTGTCTCGCTTGACCCCGCTCTTGCCAAGGTTCCTTTCCCCACTCCCGCGACTTACGAGGCCATCTTCCGACACTACATCGACATCGCCGCCACCGCTTCGCGCCAGACCATCGCTTTCCTCGCTCGCTACGCGCCCAACGAGCAGGCAAAGGAGAAGCTCACGCGCTGGGGTAACGACAAGGATGCGTACCACGACGAGGTCGACGGCCCCCGCCTCACCCTCGCCGAGGTCCTCATGGCTGCTGCTGGTGACAAGCTTAACCCGCCATTCGACAACGTCACGCGATGGGAGATTCCGTTCGACCGCATCGTGTCCACTGTCCCCCGCCTCCAGCCCCGCTATTACTCGATCTCGTCTTCGTCCAAGCTCTACCCGTCCGCCGTTCACGTCACCGCTGTCGTCCTCAAGTACGCCTCGACCCAGTCCAAGGTTCACGACAACAACTCTCGCTGGGTTTACGGCCTTTCGACCAACTTCATCCACCACGTCATGCAGGCCAGCCGCAGCGGCACACCCAACGGTATCGCGAACGGCAACGGCCAGGCTCACTTCGGTGGTCTTGCAGGTGCCGACGGCAGCATCCGTCTCGATGGCCTTGCTCCCACTTACAAGATTTCTGGCCCCCGCGACTTCCACTTCAAGGACAACATCTACCGTGTCCCTGTACACATCCGCCGCTCCACGTTCCGTCTTCCGACCTCGCCCAAGGTGCCCATCATCATGATCGGCCCCGGTACCGGTGTCGCGCCGTTCCGCGGCTTCGTGCAAGAGCGCGTTGCGCTGGCACGGAAGGCGCGCGAGAAGGCTGGTGCGGACGCCGCGAACGCGCTCGAGTCCTGGGCCCCGATCCACCTCTTCTACGGCTGCCGCCGCGAAGACGAGGACTTCCTGTACCGCGAGGAGTGGCCCGGCTACCTGAAGGAGCTGGACCCCGTGTTCAAGATGCACAACGCGTTCTCGCGCGGGCCGAACCGCAAGCCCGATGGCTCCAAGATCTACGTGCAGGACTTGATCTGGGACCTGCGCCACGAGCTTGCCCCCCTTATCTTGGAGAAGCGCGCGTACATCTACATCTGCGGCGACGCCAAGAACATGGCGAAGAGCGTCGAAGACCGCCTGATCCGCATGCTCGCCGAGGCCCGCGGCGGCACCCCCGAAGTTGAGGGCGCCAAGGAGCTCAAGGTCCTTAAGGACCGCAACCGTCTCATGACCGATGTCTGGAGCTAGTGGTCTGTAGCGTCTGTATTGCGACATCTCAATCTGCATTTGATACCAAGCTTGATGATGTTGGGAGGGGGCAGGGCGGTATAGCAGGGCGAGCCGGGGGTTGCTCACGACGCAGGAGCGGTGCTGGAGAAGCTGGCCGGCTCATGACACTCCGGTACATGCCAACCTGCCCCCACAGGCCCCGCCGCCACCCGGCTGCGACGACCGCTGCAGTGTCACCTGAAATCTCGGCTACGTTGAAAGATCCGATAAGTGTCACATGTCCCGGCGTCCGGACATGAGATGTGCGGTGGATCTGATCAAGCGGGAAGCGGGGGAGTCACCGTGGTGCTCCAGCTCTGGAACGAGGCTCCGCGGGGCGGTCGGCCTGAAGCTCTCCAGCTGAGGCCTGATCTGCATGTTGCCTGCTGCTCATTGTCGAGCAAGAGCATCCAGCCGGATATATCCGCCCGTGTACACCTATATCCTACATCACACCGTGGGAGACCACTCCATCTTCAGGCACGACGATATTTTGCGACCTCCACTTGCCACTCAACATCTGCAGCTCCTCGTATCGTCTGACTACTCGTCTCGCCATGGCCAACCCCCGCCAGCGCTCCAAGGCCAAGTCGCACAAGTCGACCAAGCCGTCGCTCGCGCAGAAGAAGCGCATGCACGCCAAGCTCAAGAAGGCGCCCCCCCTGCGCGGCCCCGAGACTCTCCAGAAGGCCTGGGACAAGAAGAAGACGGTGTACCAGAAGTGCGTCGTTCATGGGCGCAGTCCGTACTCGACCGCGCGTTACTCGCCTGCCTCTCATCCCCCTCTTCGCTGACCCCAGCTACGCTGCCCTCGGCCTCCTCCCCACCATCCCGATCCCGAGCAAGCCGGAGCGCAACCAGCGCGTCAAGCTCCCCCTCCTCCCGCCGACGGAGGAGGCCTCGGCGCCCAAGATCGGGTTCGGGCGCATCGTGCGCGACGACGACGGCAATGTCATCGACATCATCATCGACGACGACGAGGAAGATGACGGGAAACCCAAGCCGCTGAATGCGGAAGAGAAAGCGCCCGAGCCTGTGGTTGCGAAGACGCAGGTCGTGCGGGGTAAGTCACGCGCTGGCTTCGTGCTGCGCTGTGCAGTGCTAATCCCAGACCTCGAGGCACTCGCGGCCTCCGCGGCGCCCGTGCAGCGCCACACGTCGTCGCAGGAGCATGTGTGGCTCGCGGAGCTGGTGCGCGCGCACGACGACGACTACACTTCCATGGCGCGCGACAGGAAGCTGAATGTGTGGCAGAAGACGCCGGGGGAGATCAAGCGCATGGTGAAGAAGGCGGGCGGCGTGCAGGCCCTGCGCGGGATGGACGTCGACGCGTAGTGTTGTAGGATCATGTATTGCTTAGATGGGTCGGAGGTGGTGCGGGCGGTCTCTTATGTTGGCTGAGTGTAATCTGCACAAGTGATGGGGCACCCTGTTGCGCTACTGAGAGACAGAATCGTCCCCTTCCTGCGCCGCATCACATTCTTTCTTCCCGTTCTTACCTGCTACGCTCGTTCCTGCTGCCCCCGCTCCCGCTACTCTCCTCCTGCCACGCTCCCTCCTGCTCATAACCCCTGCCTCAGACCCGTGAGTAATGCATATGTCTACGACTTCCTGTGGAATGGTATCCTGAACCCCGTGAGCAGCGCGCGCGCATGCTCCTGCGCATCACGTCCACGCGCATTCGTCTTGAAGTACATGTGGAAACCGTGGAGTTTGGGGTATGCGTCAATGTTGGCCGCAATCTGGGGGAAGAGGCCCATGGCAGCGGGAGGCAAACCGAGGGCGACGACACCGGCAAGGGAGGACGGGGACGACTTGCTCGCGCTCATAGGGGGGAGGACGAAGCCGGGGAACTCGCGGATGCGGGGGAGCACAAAGTCGACGAGGCTCTGCAGGAAGTCGTACATGGCCTCTCCGCGGAGCTCGACCTTTGCCGCGACGGGCATGCCGGCGCGCAGCTTGAACGCCGCAGCACCTGTACGCGACGCAACGACCTGGACGCCGCTTGCGCCGGTGCGGCCGCCGCCGCGCTCTGTCTCGCCCGAGATGGCGCGCAGCGCCATGATAGCGCTCAAGAGCGCGTTCTTGTCCCCAATCGCCTCTTTGACCATCGTGTGCACCGTAATCGCTTCGAGATGCACAACCTCGTCGGGCACGAGCGCGCGGTTCATGGGCTTCGGCGGCCGGTTGCCCTTGGGCGGCGGCACGGGCCGGTTCGCCTCGTATCCCGTGACGACGCGGGGCTCAGCGGCCTTGGCGAGCGCCGCCGACGCCGCCTTCGCGGCCGACTCCCACGAGCGGTGGTCGTACGTCATGTAAAGCATGTCCGAGGCGAGCGCGTTCTCGTAGTGGTCGCCGTAGCGCGAGGGGTGGGTGCGGCCGAGGTGGATCTCGGGCATGACCCAGTTGGGGTCGAGCTCCTCCTTCTTGGGCTTGACGGGCTTCTTGGCCTTGGTCGAGGCCGCGCGCACGAAGCGCGGCGCGAGCGGACGGGATGCCGAGGCGACGGCGGAGCGGAGCGACATGGCGGGGCTTGGCTTCGGCGTCGGCGTGAATGAGGTCGAGAGCTCGTCAAAACGAGGAGATCGAGGAGAGGCGCTTTCGCCCGGACTTTTCTGATTCCGCCTGCGCGCATAAAGGGCGGGCGGAATAACGGCCACATGGCTTGTTTGGTGGCTCTTGCGCCGACGTCACGGCGCGTTTCGAGCGATGGAGACGCGCACTTTGGCCATCTACTCATATTCCATCATACTCCAAGAGAGCGGTATCGAGATATGCCCTCGCCGCCGCTCTCGATTGTCCAGAGCCTATCGCCGCGGGTCGCCGTTCTCGCAAGTGACGATGTCACCGACAGCTGCGCCGCCAACGGCTGCCGCGGGCTCGACGAGCTCCTGCGCCCATGGGAGGGGGGCACGGAGCGGGGTGCGTCTGCGTCCGAGCAAGCTGACAGACAGTCCAGATCATGTCCTCGACTCTGACCCCGACGGTGCATCCAACGTTTCCGCTGCGCTTCGTTTCTTATGCATCCGTGTACGGCGCGCCAGGGAGTGCGTCGCCCGCACCGGAGATGGTCGTCGACTTGATCTCGACATGTGTAGGAAAACACCAGCCAGGTGCGTTCGAGCCGAGACGTTGCGGCAGTGAGCTGATGACAGACGAGGAACAACACTACCCTGTTACACGAGCGTTATTGCTCAACTCGCGCCCTCTGGCCCCGCACGAGACGTTCAATCACCCCGTCGGCGTGCTGTTCGCCATCTCTACCTCCACCCCAGATCCGCTCAACACATTGACAAAAATGTACGAAAAAATGTACGGACAGGCGGTGGGGACGGGCGCGCAAGCCGCCCCGTGGATGGACGGCGTGCAGGTGCTCAAGTTCTTCGTGGTCGTGCACGACGTCTCCAAGATGGGACCGGATCTCGAGGCGTGAGTCGATCCACAACTGGGCTGACGGCAGGGCGCAAGAGCTGCTGGCACAGGTGAAGAAAGCATATGGGCCGCACTCGACATTGCTGGTTGTTAACTCGCGCACGATTACTGGCAGCACGCCGCCCCTCGAGTCGCCAGACTTGACGGCGCATGCTGGGACGGCGCCGCTGGATCTCGCGGCAGCCGAGGACCCGTGCGCCCTCTCGCAGCTGTACGCGTCGACCATGTCGTCGCTTACTCTCTCGCCGATGGCGGCTGCAGCGCACGAGGCCGGCGTCGACCAACGGAAAGCAAAGCGCTACGCGGCCAAACTGACGCCGGACGACGTGCAAGCGCTCATCGCGCTTGTGCGCGAGCTCGTCGTACAGTCGCTTGTGCCGTGGATGGAGGCGCGCGTCCGCGAGTGGAACGAGGCGTACCAGACAAATCGGCGCGGCATCACTGGTCGCCTCTTCGGCGCGGGGCGCAAGCTGTTCGGCTCGCGACCAGCGTCACCAGCCCCGTCTAATACGCACCAGGGCTACAACGCCGTCAAGGGATACTACGCGGCGTCGTCGATTGAGGCTCTCTCCCGCCGACTGGGTGACTTCGCATTCATGCTTCGCGACTACAGATACGCCAGTACCGTGTACGACAGCCTGCGCAAGGACTACGCTCAGGACCGCGCGTGGCGGTATGCAGCCGCAGCGACCGAGATGTACGGTCTCGCGCAGCTGCTCGGCCAGGCGTACTTCATGCCGAACACCCCACCAAGCACACGCGTCAACATTACGACGATGCAGCACACCGAGATCAGCTCGTGGCTGGAGCAGGCCGTCGCGACGTACCAGTCCAGAGGCGGTGCGGGGCAGGTGCAGCTCGATGCGCTGCGCATCACTGTGCTATACTACGAGGCGTGGAAGGCTATCAACGAATGGCGCGGCGTCGGAGCCGCGCTGGTCCGCGCCGCGGGCGAAGCCGACGAGGTGCCATGCGCCGTGGTCGTTGAGGAAGCAGCAGCGACGGATGTGCGCGGCGGCAAGCGCCATCGCGGGAGGCGGCGGCAGGCCTTCCACCTCGTCATGGCTGCGCGGCGGTACGAGAAGGCTGGCTTGGTGAGCTTGGCGACGAGAGACGAGCTGACGGCAGAAGCAGTACTCGCGTCGGTGTCTGGAGCAGGCGGCCGCGCTGCTGCGCGACGCCAAGTGGGGCGCGGTGCGTGACCGTGTCGAACACTCACTGGGGCGACAGGCGTATACGCTTGGCGAGAGCGACGTCGCGGTCGAGCACTTTCTCAAGTTGCTTACGCGCGACGACCTCGCAGCACAAGGGACGCAGGGGATGGTACTCGAGGATCTGGCGCAAGCGTATGAGCAGCTCTCGCTGAATTCTGAGCAGCTTGCCAAGGCCGGCGAGCTGCATCTCCCGACGCCGGTGTTTGATGTTAAGAAGACGCGCATAGTGCTTGCGGCGGAGGGCAGCGGGGCTGGCAGCAAGGACGCATGGGCGGCGCTGGACGCGCGCGTCTTGGCCCACTGGGACCGGAAGGGGAAGAAGCCGGCATCGGTGCTGCCGGACGCGAAGCGGATCGTGACGGCCGTCGGGGAGGAGTTCACCGTCGAGCTCGTCGCGACGAACCCGCTCAATGCGCCGATTGTTCTCGCCAACCTCACGCTTGACTTGGACGGCGAGGGGGAGGCGAGCACGCGCGAAGAGGTGACGCTCGACCCCTACGAGAGCCGCCAAATCGCGCTGACCGTTACGCCCAAGGCGCCGGGCACGCTCACTGTCAAGAGCGCGCGGTTCGTCTTCCACCGTTTCTTGCCGACGACGCAGAGCCTCGAGCGCCGCGGGCGCAGATTGCACACGACCAAGGCGCAGCGCATCACGCCAACGTATGCGGCCGACACGTCCCTCACCGTCCACGTGGAGAGCAGCGCGCCGCACGTGGCGGCACACATCATCGGCGTGCCGGACGCGGTGTTTGCTGGTGAGGTGGTAGACGCCGAGCTGCGGCTGCGCAACTCGGGCGCGCTGCCTGTCGAAGACGTGCAGCTCCTCACCTCGCATTATGGGGTCATATCGCTTTCTGACACGGCGATTCCGAGTCCTGTGCCTAATGCGATCTCCCCGAACCGGCCATTCAGCGTCCACGCCGGGACGATCAAGCCCGGGCAGGACGTCGCTATCCCAATTCGCTTCTCATATCCCACACCAGGGCGCCTCGAGCTGCTCGCCCTAGCGACCTTTTCCACGCCGGACGGGACAGCAGGCGCGGCGAAGATTGCGCATACGGCGGACATCCGCCGTGTTGTCTCGATCGCCTCGGAGGTCCGGCCGGCGAAGGATGGGTGGTTTGTCTCTCTCGAGGTCGCGAGCCACGCCGACGTCCCGCTGCAGGTCGAGCCGCCAGTAGCCGTGAGCGAATACTTTGCCGCTTCCGTCCGAGGCGGCGGGGCGACGCTCTACCCAAACCAGAGCGTGCGCGTCGTGCTATCCGTGACGCCAAAACCATACTCAGGTGATCTGGCCCAGGCAGGCCTGGTCCAGAACCTGGGTCATCTATTGCGCGGCGACAACCTCAGCCCCATTTACCCAGCCACAGTCAAGTTGGCCGTGCCACCCGGCTATCTGGCCTCGCGCAGGGCGCATCGCCTAGCTTTTGCGGGCACGCACTTCCCGGCCCTACCGATGGACATGGTGCCCAAGCTCCTGCCGTTGTTTGACCCACTGGACTTGGACGTCGCGTTCGCATGGACCGCCGGCGAAAGGGGCGGAATAGCGTGCACGCACGGGATCCGGCCCGCACCAGCGTTCTCGTTGGTGGAAGGGCTGCGGGAGGACGTCAGTCCCGCCAAACGCACGATGTACGAAGAGACAGGGCGGCTGCGGCGCGCGCTGGCAGACAGCGTGCTCGAGGGAGTGTATGCGGACGAAGGGGACCCGGTGCGCGTGCGCGCAAGCGTCGCAGGCGCCGAGCGCGGCCGTGTATTGCACTCATTTACAGAGTACGTCGAACGGCCCCCCGGCACTGACACCAGCGCCCTCGTGCTCCCCATATCGCTTACAATCGAGAACCGCTCCCCGCTCCTCCCGGCGCGCTGGATCTTGCGCCTCCCTCCGCCCCGGTACCCCTCGAGCGTGTTGTACACCGGCGCACTCGAGCACCGGGGCACGCTGCCGCCCGGCGGCGCCGCGACCGTGCAGACCGGCGCTTGGGTAACCGAGCCCGGGCTGCTGCAGCTCGGCGGGTGGGAGGTGGAGCGGGAGACGGGGGAGGCTGGCGAGTCAGACGAGGGGTGGACGCCGCGCGCGTCGTGGGCTGGCGTCGGGAATGGGCCGCTCGTCGAGGTCGTTAAAGCATAGTATAATGCATAGACTGTCTGCAGGTGGTCGCGGGTTGGGTGAGGTGTGCAGGGATGGTTGAGGTGGAGCATAGGTCGCATGTTTTGTGGGCTCACTATGTCCATTTTCAGTCTTTGTTACCAGAGTGCATACACTGCACACTGTGGCATAAAACCCCAAACACGAAACAGACAGGCAATCATACACGAAGACCTTGGACTCAGGTTGTAACACATCGTAAACAGAGTCATATCACATCCTCCTTAGCTCAGTTGGTAGAGCGCGACACTAGTAATGTCGAGGTCAGTCGTTCGAGTCGGCTAGGAGGAAGTAAAATATCTATTTTTGTGTCGTATTTGTGGGTCGCTAGATCGATGCAGCTTCTGTATGTCGTTCTGTTCTCGGTCTGGCAGCGACTAAATAGTTAATGCCGCAGATGAAACGTATTGCAGCACAATCAGGAAGAAGATTCTCGTCTTCTGTAAGCAAGGTGGGAGGTGCGGAATGTGGCAGTCTGGCAACAACGGCATGCGTCACCCGATTAAAAGCTTACCACATCAGCTAATTTCGATGCTGAAATGAGACGCGTCGCTCTGACGCGCATCCCCGGGGCTCTGAAGAACTGTCATCGAGATCGTCGCCTTGTTGTAGATCAGTCGACTCATGTCCGTTTCGATTGATGGTCGAATGCCTTGTATCATGGTGCCACCAACTCCTACCAATACCTCGCAGATGTCTAAGAATGCATATTATATACGGTAATATGGGGATGGAGGCTGTGGTGGCCTCGTGCTGATGATGTGACGGGACGCCAGTGCCGGAGTCTAGTGGACGGGAGCCTTCTCCTCGTCCTCAGCGACCTTGTTGACCTCGCCAACGAGGCCGACGGGCGTCGCCGCACCGTTGTCAGCGTAGCGGGTAAGCACGCCGAGGTAGATGATGTAGAAGAGGTCCATGCCAAACAAGGCCCAAGTCATGCCCATCATGCCGCGGATCGTGCCTTGGCAGTCCATGAACGTGTACGCGGCGCCGGTGACGTAGTGGCCCTCCGGGAGGGGCTGGTTGCAGAAGTCGTGGCGCTGGACGGTGAGGGCGACAACGGCGCCGAAGTTGAAGCACGCGAAAAAGGCGAGCGCGATGAGCACCTTGGCGATGCTGTACGATGTGCGCTTCGCGCACAGCCAGTACCCGACGTGGTAGAGGGTTTGGAGGGTGCTCATGACGAGGATCGCGACGATGGCCGGCACGTAGTTGTCCACGCGCTGGCCGTACATGTCCTTGTGCTTGCAGATCTGGACGATGGAGAGGATAAACACGACATAGGCGATGATGTGCGTGAGGAGCGCGAACGGCGTCTTGAGGGACGTGTAGCTGGGGTTAGCATGGGCGGGGAGGAGTAAGGGGGCCGGAATGCTCACAAAGACATTATGATGCGATATGAACTGGTAGCCCGGGAGAGGGTGAGAGTGAGGGGTGTGCCGATGATATGTGTACCGCTGTGCTGGCTGTGTGAAGATGCTGACTGATAGTGAGAGGTGAGAGGGGACACCGCTCCGCGTCTTATAGCCTCGACGACGTGTGCTGGCAGCTTTTGCATTAGTGAGCAGGGGTCAGCTGGTAGAGCGACGACGTTGGCCGCGGCCGTGGGTGGCAGACACAACCAGATAGAATCACTATGCTGGATAAGCAGACGTCCGTGGCCGTAAGCTGCGCAGGCGGAGGCGGGCAATTGTGTCGCCTCCGCACTCGGACTGCCTCGGGAGATCAAGTGGCGTTTGCGGAATTTTGAAGGGGACACGTGGGCGCACGTGCACCGACGTCATGATGACGAGAGATCTTATCGCCACCATTCAAACTTTGGTCCCAACGTCGGCCGCGGAGACGCAGGTCGGAATGGGGCATGCGGCGAACACCCTTCGGTCCGCTCCGAGCGATCAACGCCGCGCGCGGTCTACCGAGCTGGCCCAGGGCCGTGCCTCATTATTCAACCATCTCCACCATGTCTCGTTGCTGAATGTCGCGTTCGCCTCGCGCATCAGCCCTGTGTGAATAAGTGCATCTCCGCAGAGCGTCCAAAGGCCCACTAGTTGCTCCGTAAAGCTCCTGTCTATGTTCTAAGCGCCAGGCGCCTCTCCTACCACGGGTTCTCGAGCGCGTCCTCCAGCCGTTTCGGCTGCCCTGAGCGACTCGTCGCCCCCGCGCCCGACCGCTCGTCGCCATTTGATGCGAACGGGTTCGCGAAGGGGTTGGCCATGAGGTCGGGCGGGTGGGGCCGCGCAGGCGGCGCCGCGCGCATCCCCATCTGGTTGTACGAGCCGCTTTGGGCGGAGGCTGGAGACGCCCAAGCATTGAAGCCAAAGACGGACGGTGCCTTCTTCTTATCCTCAACGGGCCACGCAGGCCGGTCCCAGCTCGGCATCTCGAGGCTCGCACTGGCTGCGGCCTCCTTCTCCGCGGCATGCTTCTGCGCCATAATGGCAATGTCGCCATCGTCTTCGACCGGCAAGCCGTGGAAGCTGTTGGCTGTGTTGCTTCTTGGTGCACCAGGATGGCTAAAGGAGGCAGGGGAGGCGGAGGGTGGGGGCGCTGACTCGGTGCGTTCAGGAACCTTGAGAGGCGACGTAGACCGCGCCTCGGCAGGAGGTGTCGGATTATGATCAATCTTGGACACGTCCAGGTCCTTGCCCAGCACCTTGCCGATTGCCGCAAAGTCAAATCCAGCCGTCTTAGGAATATGCCGAACTGCTGCCTCCTCGTCGGCAGGGTCAGGTGATGATATCTTTGGCACGTCTGACGACGTCTTCGGCGAGTCGCCAGAGGCTCGTGGGTCATGCGAGGCACGAGGCATCTCACCGAGATCGGCCTCTTCTTCGCGAGGGGGGAGGTGGTCCTCGCGGGGAGGCAGATCGTCGTCGTCGTCGGCCTCCCGCGCCGGAGTCGCGGAGCTCGTCGCGACATCGCCGGACTTACGTGCCGGGGTGCTCCTCCCCGAGTTGTTTCGGCTGCCCTTGTTCTTGCGAGGGAAAATGCCGAGGATCTTCTTCTGCTTTCGCTGTTCCTCCTCTTCCTCGTCCTGAACAATATACCGCTCCTGGATGTCCGGGTCGAGATCGGGGTCCTATGGTCAGCCGTGCTCAACTTGATTCTGTTTCGCTCACGTCTGGTTCGTCAAAGTATTCCGCAGTGACAGGAAAGCCAACGCGCGCAAGCAGCTGCGGCATCACAGTGCGATAGCTCATGTGGCCGTGGATGAGGTCGGTAACCTCTACGTTCTCCAATCCAGGGACAGTCTCCACGGGCCGCAAGCCTGCTACAGTCTGCAGACCACCTGTGGCGGCTCGGAGGAGATACCCAAGCATCCAATCGTTGGTCGAAAAGCCGTTGACAAACCTTCCGCCGACTACGCTCCGCGCATCGAGCCACGTCTGGCGATTCGCCGTGAAGGTTGCGCCAAAGAGATACACGTCCTGTACGATGCCATACGCGCCGCGGCGCGATAGCTCGAGGAGCGCGTAGAAAATCACTCGCGCACCGAGCGAGAAGCCGATGAGCGAGGTGGGGCGGACACCGACGTGGCGCTCAATTAGCACGTCGGCGAGGACCAGGCCGGCAGCCTTGGCACGGTCCATGGCGTTGGACCACGGGTTGTCGATGAGATATCCGAGCTTGGCGAGCACTGGAATCAGCGGAATAAAACAACAAGCGACTCACACACTGGCCACTGGAGGGCACTCATGAGCACACCGGCAATTGTGGCGGCCAGAATTTGCTGCCCAACGGACGACAATACTTCGTTCGAAATGATCGCGATGGCGTTACCCATCTCAGCCATCATCTCAGGCTCCCACAACACAGAGAATACGTCGCCAACGATTTGGTCCAGCACGGAGAACGGAAGGCGCACGTCGTCGCCCTTGCCTGCCATGAAGCCGCCCACGGTGATGTAACAGGATACACGCTTGTTATTGTGCAGTGGCCTGAGGATGAATGTTCTCACTTCACGCGTGCGCTTCGCCATGCCCCTGCCGGCAATATTGGCTCCAGTAAGCACGCCTGTGGTAGTGATCATCGTGATACCTCCCACACCTGTGAGGAATCCCGCCGTTCCACTGATGCCAACGACACCGAGGGCGGCGCCTAGACCAGCGCCAATAACTGGGGCAAGTAGGCCTGCCGAGAGACCAATCACGAGCGCTCCGCCGGCCGCGGCAGCGCCCATCAGCGCGTAGCGACGTGTCTTGCCTCTCTTCTTCCGACTTTCAATCACGTCGCCCTGCTCCAGCTGCGACACACTCTCCTCAATTTCGAGCGCGTCTGTCACGCGGTTCTCAAAGCGGACAATGTCGAGCCACACGAAGCCGAGTGCGTTGGCGACGCGCTCCAGGAAAGCGCGCGAACGCGAATCGTACACCGAGTCGGCAATGAGTACGAGGAATAGATCACAAAGCTGGGGTCAGCGTGATTGTCAATTGCGTGGCTTGTGAGGTGACTTACAACCGTCCATCGGATGTCTAAGGTGACCATTTCATCTGCAGCTGTCAGAGATGTTGAGACGCCCGGCAGCGCTGGCATCGCCTGGAAATCCTCGCCGCCGTCTAATGGTGCCTGCTCGGGCTTGGGGGTTGTCTCAACTGCCTTGGACGGCGGCTCGGGTTGCTCCGTCGGTGCCTCCGTGTTCCTCCTGTGTTCCGCAGACGACCTTCGGCTGTCGGTTGACCTCCGTCCTTCGGACGAGCGGCGCCCATCCGACGAGCGTCGCGGTTCGAGCAACCCTGGACTGTCAGATGAGAGGCGCGGTGAGCGTGATGCAGAGTGCATGTCTCCCGCAATGTCTCCCTCGTCCTCAACGGACCGGGGTAATGGGGAGGGTGAGGAAGAGGCCCCGATGTCTCCGTCATCATCGAAGAGGCTGGGCATGGGTCTCAACGACGTGCTGCGAGGTGGTGGCTTAGTCGCTGGCACACTTGTCACCTCGCCCTCGTCGTCGAAGAGGGACGGCATGGGTCGTATTGTTGAGGTGGATGCGCGTGGCTGCTGTATTGGGGACGTAGGAAGCTCGTGCGAGGGAGAGGGCAAGGGAGAGGGTGAGGCTGGCTGGTGCGCGGGTGGTGTTTTAACCGCCTCCTCGTATGGTGGTGCGGGGTCATCATCCTCTTGCTCCTCGGGCACAGCAGCGAGACAATCCTCCTCGATCTTGAGATCTGCGCGACGCTTGGCTTCGGGGTCGAACTCGGGATTCTTGACTGTATGCGTGGCCATGAGTGCGGGTACGAGGTCGGCTGGGTCGACACCGTGCTCAGCGAGGCTCTCGATCATGCGCTGCTCTGCGCGTGTCAGCATTGACCATTCCAACACCTCGCGGGAACTTACCATCGGGACTCAGCTCCATATGCTGGTACAGTCGTGCCATGATCTTGAGCATCCAGAGACTGCCGCTCTCGACGACGGGCACGTCGTGCGGCCGCCCTTTTCCCTTCCACATCTTTGCCTGGCGCGCCTTCTCCTTCGTCCCCTCCCACCCGCGCCCCATGTCACGCACCATGCGCCGCGCAATAAGCTGACACAGACCGACATACGCAATCCGCTGACCCTCCGTGAGCAGCTCCTTGGTCGCCTGCATTTGGGACAGAGGCGTCATCGCCTTGTCCTCGTCGAAGAGGTAGCGCGTGCGCATGTGCACCTCCTCGCTTTCGTTGTCCTCGTCTAGTCGGAGGCGTGTATATTCGCCCTCGTCGACGCCGGCTTTCTCGCGCCACGAGTCGGTTGTGATCTGGTCGGGTTCGAGCTCGAGGCGTACGCCAGTCGCGTTCGAAACACCTGCCGCCTCCTTCTCGTCTACATCGAGCCGTGCGGGTGGGCGGAAGCCGTATCGCTTATCATCGATCGCGTCCAAGTCAGAGGTAAAGTCGTCTGAGCGGACCACGGGCATGTCTGCGTGGCGTTAGCGGCGCGAGCGTGGCAAGGAGGGAAGCACGGGCGCAGGAGGTAGCGAGCAAGGGCACACATGCTGCGCAGCCCAACTGCATGGTTCATTGGGAAGATGACTTGCACCAGCCGGGCTGGCCAGCGTGCACCGACAAGAAAGGGCGACTAGAGAAAACGCGCGCCGCTGCAACCGCCGGCCCGAGACTCACCCTGCCATCCGTCGTCGTCGTCGAGGTCATCCGCCCAGCCCGAGGTGGAAGCCTTAGGCGGCGGCGCAACATTGTGCGCGCGCGGGGCGGGGAGCATGTCGCGGGAGAGGAGATGACTGCTCGATGAGAACGATGAGAATGAGAAGAGATAGGAGAAGTGAAGGATGGAAGAGAGTTGGCCGACGTGATCGAGTTGAGCGGCGAAACGACGTGGTGTGGTGGTGAACCCTGCGTGTCCCTTGCATCTCGCATACCCCGCATAATACCCCGCGTCACCCTCATCTATCGATCTCCTCGATCTCCTCCTCTCAATTCTCTCTTTCTCTCTCATCTCTCATCTCTGATGCAATAAAACTATGCTATCCCCACGCCCCCCACCCAGATCTCGATCTCGCCGCGATCCTCTGCGCCCTGCAACGTGTCCACGAGCACTGTCCCGATCCCCCGATCCTTCAACATTGTCCACAGCTCACGCTCGCCCTCGTCACGCTGCTTGTATGCCAGGAGGAGCCTCGGCGGACCTGCGTCCACCTGGGCTTTCAGCAGCCGCTCCAACGTGTCCACCAATGCCGGGAACGATGCCGTGTTGTACGTCACGTCGGCAGCGATAACGAATCGGATGTTCACCGCCCAGGGCGGCAGGGGCGCGTCCCAATCTAACACATCGGCTCTCACCAAGTGTCCAACCCCGTTCAGCGTGACGTTCTCGTTCATAATTTCCATCGCCGAGTCTGCGTCAGAGAACGCGCGACGAGTACCTCACCAAGGTCCGTAGCGGTGACTTGGGCCTTCCGGTCTATCAGGCCCAGCGTGATGCCGACCAGCCCGGTCCCGCTGCCAAGCTCCAGTGTCCGCGCTGCGCGAAGGTTGGCGATGATCTCGTGTGCATGCGCATTTGGATGGCGGCCCCGTTGCCAGCCATCTTTGAGCCAGTGATAAAGCCACGACGAGAGGGCCAGTCCCGAGTCCCAGACTTTCTATCATCAGCTCTGCACTCTCGCGCAGCGCACTTTGTCAAGGTCGAAGCTCATCTGCTCAACGAGCTTCAGTTCCCCGTCTGCAAAGGGCCACGCGCGTGTGATGCGAGTCTGCTTTGCCTCTTCCTTGGCCTTTCCATTCTCCTTCCCTTTGCCCTTCTTCTCATCCTCCTCGCCTTTGCCTTTGCCTTTCTCTTTCTTGTTGGCCCCGACGCCGCGTAATGGCCCAGCCTGTGATGGCTCCCCCGCTCGCAGCTCGATGCTCTCGCTCCACACACCCATTATTGGCACGCTGCTTTCCATAAGCGAGAGGAGGGGCGCCTCAAGCGGGTGGGGCGGAGACAGCAACCCGAGCCGCCATCTTTCGCCTGCACGTGCGGATCGCGGCAGCGGTACGGTGACGGGGCGGTATGTGGATGCCGGGGGCTCGAAGGTTGTGAGTTCGGCGGGCTTGGTGATCAGAGGCTGAGCGACGCGTTCTCCAGGCTTGGCAGTTGGAGGCGGGGCTACGCGGTGCCAGACATAGGAGATGGGAGTGGGTTCGTCGCGTAGCCTAGCGTCAGCGGTGAGGACGCGAAATGCCGCAGCGACTCGTGAAGACCCACTCGGTGCGCAGGTCATTGGCGACTTGCGGGGTGATAACCACGCCGTTGCTGGGGAGGGTGACTCCGACTGGCGGGGGGCGGAGGAAGGAGATGTACCAGTACATCGAGATGACGAAGATTGAGTGGATCTGAAATTTGGGATGTTGACAACACAACCTCCACCATGCTGGGCGGGCTCGGATTAGACTACCCGTCCAGCGACGACAGCGGCAGCGACGATGGCAGCGACGGGCAGTCAAACCCCTCTAAGCGGTGAGAGGATCCGACTCGAGCGAGCTGACAGCAGGAGAAGGTTATCACTCGCATCCCCCAAGAGTACGACTGTGACTGCCGCGCCCACTTCCGCACCTCCTCCGAGGCCACGACCACGCAAGATGCCCTCCCTCCCGCCGACCTTTGACTCTGCGTCCGCCGCGCACAACAATCCATCCGCACACCAGGGCCGCAGGCGATCCCGCCCCTTCGTTGATGGCGACTACTACGCCCATGTCTACCTTGAGCTCGACGTGTCCCTGTCTCTCCGGCGGGCGATCGACGCGGCGCTGGCCGAGGCGGGATCGATCTCCCCACAAGAGGTCCACGCCCTTCTCCCCGCCAACGGCAAGCTGCACGTCTCCGTCTCCCACCCTCTTCCCCTCCGCCGCGACGCAGTCGAGACGTTCCCGCACACCCTGGCGGCCGCATTGCGTAGCACGGGGCGATTCGCGCTGAGCCTTGCTGGTGCCCCCGTTGTATATTTCAACACGCTTGGTGGGCCCTCGCGAGCTGCTGGACGGGGTACGCCGACTCCCGGAGCCCGCGCCTTCCTCGGATTACGCGTCGGTGCTGGCGCTAAGGAGCTCGTCGGATTGCTGGGACGCGTCGAGAGCGTATTGAAGAAGATGCACCTGCCGCTATATCATGCGCAGCCCGAGTTCCACGCGAGCTTCGGTTGGGCGCTGTGCCCCGACGCGAGTACACAGGAGGGAGAAGGAGATGAGAGGGCGGTCACGCCGTTCCCCGATGACCTCGTCGCTCGTCTCGCTGGGCACACCGACGCCGCGCTTGCTGCACACCCCGGATGGCACGTGAGCACGCTGAACATCAAGGTCGCGAAGGAGGTGACAACTGTCCAGCTGTAATTTGGTCCACAGCACTGCTAGAGCTCACCGCCATGGATGGCATGCTCGCCTCCCTCCACCAGTCAAGACCGCCTGCGATCCTACCAGAAGCGCCGCCGGTAATCTTTAAGAGTGCCGGTGGCTGCATGTCTGGGAATCGCGCAAAGTTCCGGGTATGGTGTATTTCCAGGCCCAGCACAGAAAGTCCGCGGCCGATCGGGCGCCGCCAGGCATGGGGTGGGCAGTTATGCATGCGTCGCGTGCGTGATGCGTGAAGTAGGACCTGCATTCCTCCCTTGCCAGCAGGCCAGCAGCGGGTACTGGATTTCCAGCCTGAAGCTTGCTCACGCTAGCAGCCAGCTAAGCAGGGTTGACAGAAGAGATTTTACGCTGGCTGGGCAGGGGGCCTTGCGGTTACACCGGCATTCGGCAACCGGGCGGACATGGCCGGCCTCGTCGCACTCGTGCCGTTGGTCCCCAACCGCGCCAACAGCCCACTCTACCCGGTCATGGGGTGACATTTGGACCGGTGCTTCTTGCCAGCTGCCATCCATATAGCCTCGCGATCACGTTGGCACTTCGGCTCTGCTTTCTCTCCTTCTCCATCTTCCACTCGTTCTCCTCCACTAGTAATCATGGGCCTCGACTTTAAGGACCTCGTTGTTGTCATCACCGGCGGCGGTGGTGCTCTGGGCCGCTCGTGAGTTTTCGAAATGACGAACGGATGGAGGCACGGAAATGGAGGTGGGCGTGCTGGCAAGGTGCTGGCAAGCGATGAGAGTCGGTGACCGAGTAAGGCGAGAGCGCGGTCTCGGTGATGGAACCGAGACTCCCGCCTGGCTGTCTAGCTCGCTGTGCAATGGCGCCCCCTCCCCACCTCAGCACTCCCCATGGCCAATGCTAATTCCTCAGCTACGCCCTCATGTACGGCCGCGGCGGCGGCAAGGTCGTCATCAACGACGTGTCGAAGGAGGCCGCCGAGAAGGTCGCGGCCGAGGTCCGCCAGGTTGGTGGCCAGGCCGCTGTCGCCGTCGGCTCGGTTATGGACGGCCAGGCCATCATTGACGTCGCTGTCAAGGCCTTCGGCACCGTTCACGTTCTGATCAACAACGCCGGTATTCTGCGTGACAAGTCGTTCCGCAACATGACCCAGAAGGAGTTTGACGAGGTCTACGACATTCACATCCGTGGTGCCTTCTACATGACCAAGGCTGTTTGGCCCATCTTCCGTGCGCAGAAGTTCGGCCGCATCGTCAACACCTCGTCCCCCGCCGGCATCTACGGCAACGGTGGCCAGACCAACTACTCTGGCGCCAAAATGGGTCTCGTCACCTTTGCGCAGGTTTGGAACGCCGAGGGTGTCAAGTACAACATCAAGGCCAACACCATCGCGCCGCTCGCCGCTTCCAACATGACCGCCACCGTCATGACCCCCGAGGTCCTCTCGCACCTCAGCCCCGAGCACATCGCTCCTCTTGTCGGTGTGCTTACCGCGCGCAACGGCCCCGACGTCGGCGGCCGCCTCTTCGAGGTTGGCGCCGGCTTCTACGGTGAGGTTAAGTGGCAGCAGAGCGAGGGCCACGTCTTCAAGGCCGACGACTCGTTCACCCCCAACGCTGTCGACCTCGCCTGGCCCAAGGTCAAGGACTTCTCCAAGGGCGCCACCTTCCCCAACAAGAGCGACGGCCCCAAGATGATGGAGATCGTCAAGCTCCAGCCCACTCTCAAGCCCAACCCCCAGGGCCCCGCCGCTCCTACCAGCTTCAAGGGCTACACCGTCCTCATCACTGGTGCCGGCGCCGGTCTCGGTGCCGCCTACGCCCGCTACTTCGCCAAGTACGGCGCCAACGTTGTTGTCAACGACATCAACGCTGAGGCTGCTAACAAGGTCGTCGAGGAGGTCAACCGCCTCGGCGGTGTTGGTCTCGCTGCCGTTGGCTCGGTTGAGGAACCTGAGCCGATCGTCAAGGCGTGTGTCGACAAGTTCGGCACCGTTCACGCGCTCATCAACAACGCCGGTATCCTCCGCGACAAGGCCTTCATCAACACCACCCCCGAGCTCTTCGACTCGGTCCTCAACATCCACGTCCGCGGCTCGTGGAAGATGGCCAAGGCCGTCTGGCCCTACATGTACAAGCAGCAGTTCGGGCGTATCCTCAACACCTCGTCGCCCAACGGTGTCACCGGTGTCCACGGCCAGGCCAACTACGGCACGGCCAAGGCCGCCATCATCGGCTTCACCCGCGCGCTCGCCGTCGAGGGCAACAAGAACAACATTTACGTCAACGCCATGTGCCCTTCAGCCGGCACTGCCATGACCGCGACCATCTGGACACAGGAGCTGCTCGACACCTTCAAGCCCGACTTTGTCGCGCCCATCTCGGCATACCTCGCCTCGCCTCTGTGCCACGACAACGGCCTCATCATCAAGGCCTTCGGCGGCCTCGCGTCCCAGTACCGCTGGATGCGCACTGGCGGGTACGTGTTCCCCAACGACCGCCCGGCCACGCCCGACCAGCTCGCGTCCAAGTGGGACCAGGTTGTCAAGGTCGACGGCCGCGCCATCTTCCCCGCGAACGCGGCTGAGGCGCGCGCGCCCATCACCGCAAACTTCTCGTACCAGAAGGGCGCCCGTCTCTAAGCGTGCCCGGTGCGGCGATGTAGATAAAACGTCAGCAGTGCGGGTAGATATGCATAGGGTTGTACTGCGGTTCCAGCTTCCGTCGGTGTCGTTGCATCGTAATGGTATCTTTGCTGATCGCTGAGCCGCTTAGACTCAAGCCGAGGCGATCCTCGGCTTCCATCCGCCTCCGCCACCAACTCATCGGCAGAACTGCAGATCTCCTTCAATGTTATTGAGAGTCTCGAAATGCCAAGCCCGCCGCCTCTGTGAACTCAAGAATCACGGGGAGCGGGAGGCGGCTTGCCAACTCCCATACACCATGGCCACAGGCGAGGCCGACTCCGAGAAGGGCTTCGACCCGCCGCCGCCGCGCCGCGTCTCCACCGCGCCTGTTGCAGGCCCGCTGCGCCTGCGCCAGGGGCGGGAGGACGACCGGCGGCTGAGTGGGATTTCAGAGGTACGTTTAGTGTGTGTGTGGGGGGAGGTTGGGGGCACGAAGACGGTGCTACGAAGAGAGCAGAGCCGAGATCGAGATCGAGGAGAGCGATGACGGAGGGGAGAGGAGGAGAACAAGGCAGGAAGAACGCCGCTCACGCAGTCCTCGATCGCCTCCTCACTCACACACGCGAGCTCGGAGGACTCGTCGGGCCTGCCGCGCATCGACACGCGTGCGTCCGTCGCGCCTGCGTACCCCGTGATCCTCGGGCGCAAGAAGACACGCTATATCCGCCTGCCGGTGCTTGTGCGCCCGCTGCGCGAAGCCGGGGGCCCATGGCTGCGCGCGGAGGATACGGCGACGATGTGGCTGTCGCTGTTTTATGGTGCGTCTGTGATGGCGGAGGGGTAGCAAACGGAGAGTACGACGCAAGGAGACGGACCGTAGAACGCAAGGGACAGACTCACCCCAGACCTCGCGGTCGGAGCCATCCTCTCCGCGTTCAACGGCAGCCACGAGCTGCAGACGCCCGGCGAGATGCCGAGCTACTTTGGGTGCGTACTAGCGCCCGCGCCGCTGGCTCACCCCAGGTACTACGTCATGATCGTTTCTATATGGACGACGCAGCTGCACTACGACATGCGCTATGAAGGCGACGACGCCGTCCACCGCCTCTTGAAACCCCTGCACCTCGTGCTCTTCGTGTACATTGGCGCGGCGTCGGGCGGGTGGGACCTCGCGAAGATCAGGCTGCCGCAGTACGGCGCGACGTCGTCCTCGGACGCCGTGGACCACGACCTTGCGGCCGACAGCTTCTTGACTGTCGCGATCGCTGTTGCTCTGCACCGCGGCCTCCTTGTGGCGCAGTACATCATGGGTGGGTTGATGAGAACTGGAAGAATGAGGGAGGAAGGAGAAGGATGGCCGAGCTGACACCAGTCATCGTGCTGGGCCACAAGGCGGGGCGGCCGACGTCTTCGCAGGCCTTCTTCGCCATCTCGTTCGCAGTTACCTGCATACTGGCAATTATCGCCGCGACCATCCCGGCGCGCGATACGGGGCTCTCCGCCGCCAAAATCACGTTCATGTATGCCAGCGTGCTCGTCGACCTCGGCGCTATTCTTGTGCAGGTCGTCTGGGGCGTGCAGGTGCCTGTGCGCTGGCACAAGGTTGCCGAGCGATACGGGAGCCTCACGCTCATCATTCTCGGCCAGGGGTTCGCCAAGCTTACGACCGTGTTCCAAAACTCGCTCACAGGCCTGGGGCAGCGCGATACGACGACGTACGCGCAAGTGTTTCTCGGTTCGTCCGCGGCTCCTGAGGACTGACCTCCGGTCGGTGCGCAAGCTCACACTGACACCAGCCATCGGGGTCATGTACAACCTCTGGTCGCTCCTCTTCGCCAATTTCCGGCAGGAGGTGCCTGTGGACGCGGGCCGGACGTGGCTGTACGAAATCATCCATTTCCCGCTACACTTCTGCATGCTCCTCCTCCTCTTGGGCATGGTGAATGCCGTCACGCTCAACTCGTTTGCCTTTGGCATTGTAGACGTCACGAACAAGTACCTCACGGCATACGCGTACGCCGCGAACGGCGTGCCGCTCACCGCGGCCCCGGTCCGGCGCCTCGCGGTCGAGATGAACCGGCTCGACACCACGCCCGACTTTGAAGCCGAGTACGCGCTGATACAGGGCATGGCGAACGGGACGATTGCGTCGGACCCGCTCCTCGAGTCGTGGACGTACGTCGCGCAGCTGATCTACGCGGCGTGCGAGAAGAGCAGCGTCGTTGTGAACGGGGAAGCGGACGACCTCCTGACGCAGCTGTACTCGATCGACCAGAACGCGACGTCGCCGGGCTTTGACGTGGCCGCGAGTCGCGCGCAGGCGGAGAACCTCGCGTTCCGCGCGCTCAACTCGATCGTGCGCACCGCGCTCACGGGCACGCTGTGGCTGTTCCCCGCGGCGGGGGCCACGCTCGTGCTCTGCGCACTGCGCAGTATGACGCGGTACCACTTTAAGGGCGCGACGCACTGGGTCGTGCACGGCCTCCAGTTGGGCTTTGGGGTCGCGCTCGGCCTCCTCGGCTTGCTGAATATCGGGAGCGGCGAGGTCGGCGTCGAGTGGACAGAGGAGATGGACGTGCACAGGCCGATATACGAGGTTGTGCTCGCGAATATGGGGCTGGCCGTCGTGTTCCTGTCGTATACCGCCGTCGTGCTCGGGTCATCGGTTAGTGTGTGTACGGCGGGGCTGACGGCAGCTGTGGATCGAGTGCATCGAGCGCAAAGACGAGTGGAAGGAGTGGTGGTGCCGCGTGTTCAAGACGGCTTCATCAGAGGGGGAGGGAGAGGAACACGAGTAGTGTTGTTGTATTGGGTTCTTGGTGCGTCGTGCATGGACATGGACACGACCGCGGTGACATGTCACGCTCGCCCGCTTGCGGCTGTGCGCGACGCGTCTGGTGGTCTAGGCTCTGGTCTCGGCGCTGCTGCGGCGCGAGGTAAAGGGAGAAGGGAGGCGGGATGATCTGGTCATTACACGCTCGGCGTCAGTCGCTACTCGTACTGGCCAGGCCTCGCCGACGGTCATTTTTCCTATGTGCTTGATGTGATCAGCCGTCGCCGCCACTTGCGTACTGTGTGCTTGGCATTCTCGTCCATGATCGTCCGCCACATTCTGAACCGCCGATCCACCCATCTTGACGCTCGATGCATACTCTCTTATGTACATGGACGCCGTGCCCACCAGTCAGCATTCCGCTCCGGCTCTACTTGCGGCGGCTCTATGCATACGAGGGCAGGCCGTGATCGCGTGAGGGAGGCTCGATGCCAACACGTGGCCCGGGATGCGGGTATGACAAAGCCGTCTCAACCATCCAGGGTGGGGAGAGAGATGACGCCCGCCCAGCCTCAACTCTGCAGCCAAGTCGGAACGCCCGACTCTGCCGCAGTTGCCGCAGTGCAGCCAGTTGCTGATGCAGCCGGCCCACGGTACTCGGGATTTGCCTGGCAAGACCGCAGCGTGGTCAGCGGCGAGCCGGAGACGAGGGCGTGTGGGGGGGACATGTGCGGAATAGCGCCGCGGCGACCCATGGCAACGGGTATACATACATTTGTCTGACGAGACGAGTGTGTGCTATGCATCCATTTCTGTTACTCACTTTTTACATTCTCACTCTCACCCTCAGTCTCATCTCTCATTCGCATCTCCTCATCACAGACATTGCGCTCGCGAGAGCAATTGTGCTCATCAGTACAAGTAGTAATCAGCCGTAATACGCTCGGCTGCGGCTGGAAATCGTTCCTCGGCTTTCCCCGCTTTTCCTTGCTCCACCCAGGGATTTCCCTCGAGGCAGCAGCCAACCACCACTCTCTCTCTCTCTCTCTCTCCATCCATCCCATCGCTGGGACTCGACAATGGACGTCGTCCTCCCCCATCACCAACCTCAACCTCAGCTCCTCGCACGCCAACGGCCACTCCCATCTCCCAGCTCCTCAACCGCCTCCCACCACATCACAAAGGCAGACCTCGACTTTTTGTCCCTCATCTCCTCCGACTCTCCACCCGGTAACTCCTCCCCGGCATCCACTGCCGCCGCCGGCAACGGCACCAGGAAACCCTCCTCTCGTGACCACGCCCTCGACGCTCTTCTCCTCCAGGCAGTCATCGCAGGCAGCGCAGCAGACCTCACGCGCCACCACGTCGCCCACGGTGCTATCATGAATACTGGCGCTTACACATCCTGCGACCAGAGCCGCCCCTCCACCCCCAATGCTCGGCCCGGCACTAACCGGCTGCCTGCCACCAGCGCCGCTCCTACTTCTCCAGTCGCGTCTCGCCAAGCACCCCGCTCGCTCCGTCTGCAAGCCGAGGCTGTCCAGCGTGCCCAGCTCGCTGCTGCGGCTGCCCCCGCCCCAGTTTCCATGAAGAACAGGACACGGCGGATGTCGACAGACCCCGCCCCCATTGCCCACTTGTTGCAGCAGGCATCACCTGCCCATGTCAACTTTTACCACGGACGCAACTTGCCTCAAAGCAAGCCGCAGGGCCGGGCGAGCGTGCGCTGCATGGCGCGGACTCGTGTGCCGACGCCGCACGGCGACGTTTTTCTCCATCTCTACCACAACAGCCACGACGGGAAGGAGCACCTCGCGATCGTGACGGATCCCGTGCAGCTCGACCCCGCTGCGCGGCGGGCGGCGCCCAAGGGCCGCCGCGAGATCCGATCGCGCAGCCTCGACGCATGCTGGCGCGACGGCGAAACGGACATGGAGCGCGTCGTGCGCGGCGCCTACGTCGGCCGCCTCCTGCCCGGATCAGAGGGGCAGGCATCGGTGCCAAAGAGCCAGGCAGAGTACGCGGCGGAAGATGCGGGCGAGTACGACGACGAGTGCGAGGCCGACTGCCTCCCGCTCGTGCGCATCCACTCGGAGTGCTTTACGGGCGAGACCATCGGGAGCATGCGCTGCGACTGCGGCGAGCAGTTGGACGAAGCGATGCGCCGCATCGCCGAGCCCCAGCCCGTCGGCAAGTCCGACTACCTTCCCACACCGGAGGCATCGCGCGCGCCCTCGCCAGGGCAGGCGAACGGGTCCTGCCCCGTCGTCCCCGGCCGCGGCGTCGTCATCTACATGCGGCAGGAAGGCCGCGGGATCGGGCTCCTCGAAAAGATCCGCGCATACAACCTCCAAGACCTCGGCCACGACACAGTCACCGCCAACCTCATGCTGGGGCACGGCGCCGACGAGCGCACGTACTCTGTCGCGGCGGAGATTTTGCGCGACCTCGGGCTGGCGGGCGACGAAGCGCTCGGCCGTGGCGGCGTCCGCCTCCTCACCAACAACCCCGAGAAGGTCGAGGGCCTCGCGTCCGAGGGCATCCGGATTGCCGAGCGCGTCGGCATGGTCCCCCGCGACTGGCAGTGCCAGGGGCACGCGGCTGAGGCGCTCGCGGCGCACGCGCCACAGTTGGACGACGAGGAGAGCGAGTACGGCGAGTGGCGCGCGCGGCGCGCCGGCGTCGGACTGTTGGGCGCGACGACGACGCGGGGGCCAGAACTCGAAAAGTATCTTCGTACAAAGATCGAGCGGATGGGGCATAGTGAGTTTGCTCGCGGCGTGGCTGACCAGCAGTGATTGACATTCCCGAGTAGGAGGGCATCTTGGATCTTGTATACGTATGCAGCGGTGGCCAGTGATCGTGTTGCGGGTGGGTGTGGGTGTGGGTGTGGGTGTGGGCCAGGCGGAGGCGGGGCGAGGGCGGGCGATGCTATTGCAGACATGTCACACGATGTCTGAGCGCTGTTCACGCCCATGGCGAGTATGCAGACTCGGCTGGGAATCACATGCATGATTATAGCTCCTCGGCGGGCTCGGCGCTCAACGCATGCATGTAGTGATGGAGGATGGGTAGGGGGACAATGGTGCGAGACGGCTGACAGCTGACAGGGCAGAGGACGACAAATGTTTGACGCGTCGATTGACGCGACTTGATTATTACACAAAGTCTTTCATCGACGCTCCGCTCCATCTCTTCTCTTTTCCTCTTCATCTCTTCTCCTCATCTCATCTCATCTCATCTCATCTCTCCTCTCTTCTCCTCTCCTCTCCTCTTCTCATCTCCATTCTCATCGCCCGCATTATCCCATCTTGCATACAAGCCCCATCCACTGTCACCCACCGCATCCTCGCCCACCACCACCACCACTCCCGCCCCCCTTCCGTCCATGTCCAGCCTGGTCTTGACATCGCCCTAAACATGCGGACCAACCTACCTGATGATAAGAGACGCGTGAGTTCCGCAGCTCTTCCGACGCAATCGCCTCTGTCGCCATCATTCTCCACTCCACCGCCTTCACCATCACTCGCCCCACTCTTGTTCTGCTCCACCCACTCTGATTCGCACCTGCACATTCTCGATTGTCTCCTCCGCCCCCGCTCTCATCTCACTTCCTCCTACCCCCTCCGTCATCATCCTCCCTCCGTCTTTCTCACCCCCACTAACCCTAGGCGCTCCTCACCAAGCTCAAGGATAAGCGCGCTCCGGTCCCCGCACCACCGGACACGCCTGAACGAGACCGCATCCTCGTGCCCCCCTCGTCCTCGCCTACTGCCCCACCACCCAAGGCCAGGGGCACGCTCATCCCCTCCTCCAATCTCGCACGCCCCATACGCCCCGACGGCTCACCACAGGCCGTAATGGATGCCTTCAAGCGACCGTCGGCTGCGGACTACAGCCCGGATTCGCCACAGCCCCTGTCGCGATTGAAGAAGCGCTACGAGGATAGTCCCTCCGCGAGCCCCACCAAGGCGACTGGATCAGCCATGCCTCTGCCGAATGCCGGCTCACCATCTTCCGTGCTCTCCCAAGCTCGTGGCGGCGTCAAGGCCAACAAGCTCATCAGCCTCGCTAAACAGACCCACAGCGACCAAGTCGAGGTCTCCATCAAGCGTCTAAAGGTCCAGTTTCCCGGACTAGAGCGCGAGGTGTACCGGCGCGCGCTGGAAAGACACGGCAGCTCCAACTCTGACGCCCTATTGAAAGAGCTCCGTGCAGCCAAGGTGAAGGCCGATGCCGCGCACTCCTCACAGAACTCTGCATCGTCAAGCACCTCCAACCTTGCCGCGTCCCTCCAGAAGTATGTCTTTGAGCCCGGAGTGCCGACAAAGCCTTCCTCCCAGCGGTCGTCGCCGGCTCCTCCCCCGCCAGAGGCGAACCGCTCGGCATCACCGGCCAAGCGTCCACGGAAGAACGAGAAGAGCACCATTTATGCGCGTCGAGAGAAGCAGTCAAACCAGGCACAGCGGCGAGACCCCGACGAAGAGAGCGACCACATGTCATCGGATGATGGCGAGGCCTGGAACGACGGAACACGACGGCGCAAGCGACGAAAGTCGGAAGACGAAATTGACGCCGAGGGCGAGGCGCTCAAGGCATTCAACACGGCCGAGGCTGAGGTGCTCACTGGAACCATGGCATGTTCAGAAGAACAAGCTGAGAAGATCATCAAGCTGCGGCCTTACGAAGATGTCGACGACGTCCAGGCCAAACTCAGCAAGACGCGGGGTGTCAGCTTCAAGCTCTTCGAGCAATACGTGGAGATCATGGAGGGATATGTCCAGATCGACAACTGCCTCAACGGATGCGACAGCATTGCGCAGGATATCGCTCAGACGTTGTCGGTGTGGAAAGGCGCTGCGACGACCAGCGACAGCATCGTGGGCACCCCGCGCAGTGACGGCCTCAACGACGCCAAGATCGACGTCGCCAAGGTCTCCGAGCTGCTTCTTGCCGAGACGGACATGCGGAGGAAGAAGATCCTCGCGTCGTACATCCGCCAGCAGCCCGCCCTGTTGTCGGAAGGCACCGTGCTTAAGGACTATCAGTTGCTCGGCGTCAACTGGCTTAATCTTCTGTACACGCGCAAGATCGGTTGCATCCTCGCAGACGAGATGGGTCTCGGCAAGACTATCCAGGTCATCGCCTTCTTGGCCCACCTCAAGGAGCACGGTATCAAAGGTCCGCATATGATCTATGTGCCTGCCTCGACCCTCGAGAATTGGACTCGCGAGTTCCAGCGCTTCGCACCCGAAATCGACGTGGTGACATACTACGGCTCGCAGTCCGAGCGGGCCCAGCTGCGCGACCAGCTTAAACGCCAGTTCCGTGCCGGCGATCTCGAGGTCGTCCTGGCGTCGTACACGCAGGTGGCGGCGAAGGACGATCTCAGCTTCTTCAAGCGCAAGATCGAGTTCGAAACGTGCATCTACGACGAGGGACATGCGCTCAAGTCGTTCGACACCAAGCGTTACAAGGACTTGTTGAGCATCGTGCCCAAGTGGCGCTTGCTGCTCACGGGCACACCGGTGCAGAACAACTTGCAAGAGCTTGTGTCGCTCCTCATGTTCATCCACACGGACATGTTTGCAGACGCCGAACCATATCTTCGCCAAATCTTCAAGGTGCAGAGCGCGAGTGCGGCCACCTTGCTCTCGGCAAGCCGCACCTCGCGGGCGCGCACCATGCTCTCGCCGTTTGTCTTGCGGCGGCGCAAAGCGAATGTGAGTGAGCAAGGAGGGGATTTGCTAACGCCAGGTCCTGACGCTACCGCCTAAGATCGAGACAGTCGAGGAGTGCGACATGACGCCGGCGCAGGCACGCCTGTATCGCGAGACGATGCGCAGATCGCGCAAGGTGATCGCAGAGATGGGCGAGGACGCGCTGGAGGCGGCCGCTGCGGCGGACGATGAAGGCAAGGCGGCTGCAACAAAGAAGAAGAAGAGCGCCAAGGACGCCAAAGTAGCAGTCTCATCGTCCAATATCCTCATGGACCTGCGCAAGGCGGCCAACCACCCCCTCCTGTTCCGGCGGCTGTACACCAAGGCCAAGGTCGAGGCAATCGCCAAGGCGTGCTTGAACACGCCGCAGTGGGCTGACTCCCGACTGGATTATGTCATCGAGGACCTCGAGGTGAGCTGCAAGCTTTGCGTGCGCTGATTCCCAGATCATGTCCGACGCCGAGATTCACAACTTTGTCAAGGAGCACGACGAATTAGCCAAGTTCGCTCTCGCCCCATCAGTGTTCCTCGAGGGCGGCAAGATGCAGGCGCTCGTCGCGCACATCGAGCGGTGCAAGGCCGAGGGCAAGCGCATGCTCCTCTTCTCGCAGTTCACGATGATCCTCAACATCTTACAAGTAGCGCTGGACCACATCGGCGTTAAATGGACGCGGCTGGACGGGGCAACGCGCACGGACGAGCGCCAGGGCTTGGTGGACGAGTTCAACGACGACACGGACATCACCGTCTTCCTGCTCTCGACCAAGGCCGGCGGCGTGGGCATCAACTTGACGGCAGCGAGCGTTGTCGTCATTTTCGACCAGGACTTTAACCCGCACAACGACCGGCAGGCGGCCGATCGCGCGTACCGCATTGGGCAGGAGCGCGAGGTCGAGGTCATCAAGCTCGTCTCGCGCGGCTCGATCGACGAGGATATCCTCAGCATCGGACTGACCAAGCTCGAGCTCGACGACAAGATCGCCGCGGACGCCGACGTGGGTGGCGAGCAGACGGCGCGGGAGGTCAAGAAGAGTCTGTTGACGACTCTCAAGTCCAAGTTCCAGGATGAAGGGGAGGAGGCCGAGGATGACGAGCCGATCGAGGACGACGAGATCCCGAGCACTCAAATGAAGCGTGCGCGCGGCGGCGAGCGGCTCGAGTAGAAGCCCGTAGACGCTGTCTAGACTGTGCATGTATGCAGTGCTATAGTAACTCAGCCTCGCCCAGCTGCACAGCTGCATATTTTACAAACTACACCGAGATGGTCTTGAACACATTAAACCCGTCCGCGGCCGTCGTGACCACCATGCCCGGCACCTGCGGGTGCCAGTGCAGCTCCTTGACGTCCTTCTGGCCCTGGTGCACGAACAACAGCTGCGGGGGGACGTCGAGGACACGCCCGTCTGGCCCGACCGGCGCATCGCCCGCCTGCTCGTCGTCCCCTTCCACCGACAGGTCCCAGAGTGTCACCTGGTCGTCGGAGCCCGACGCCGCGAACACGGACGGGTCGGAGGGGTGCCATTCGACCGAGGTGATCGGCGCTGTGTGCCACGCGAAGTGCGCGACGGGCTTGGGTTTTCTGGTGTAAGCAGGGCAATGGGTGGGGCAGAGACCACTCCCGCTCGACTCTCGCTGCTGTGCGGCTAGACTCACGACTTGAACATGCGCAGGTCCCAGACCTTGACGCCGCCCTCGTCTCCGCCCGAGACGAGCAGATAGTCGACGTTGCGGTTCCACGAGATGACGTTCACGTCGTCGTCGTGCGCGCGCACGCTGACGGCGCACTTGCGCGACTTGGTGCGCACGTCCCACACGCGCACTGTCCTGTCCGCGGACGCGGAAGCGAAGACGGTCGGCTCGGCCGGACTCCACTGCAAGTCCTCGACGGAAGACGTGTGGGACGTGTACGCCTGCGACGTGCTCCACCCGGTGGGCGTGTGTGTCGTGAGGAAGATGTTGGAGTCGACGTCGCCGGTGAGGAGGCCCGAGCGGCCCCACTCGACGGCGTAGCCCTCGGCGCGCCCGTGCGCCGTGATGGTGTGCACGGGAGTCTTTTGGCGGGGGCGCCCCGACCCGGCGCCGGAGAGCGTGTCGACGAGCGGCTTGACGTCCCAGATATGGACTTTGCCCGTCTCGGAGAACGAGGCGACATGGTACGGGTTCGGGAGGGCGCCGGGGGTCGCGGGCGCCGCGCGGATACGGTTCACGGCGCCGACGTGCGGCAGCGTCAAGAAGTCGAGCTTGGCGTCTTCGTCGACTTCGTCGTCGTCTTCCGCGTCACTGTCGTCGTCGTGCTGTGTCCGGCTCAGCCCGCTCAGCCGCATCACCACCACCTCGTCCTTCGCCCGCCCTTGCCCCGACACCTCGCCCGCTTGCGTGCCCGCTACGAGCCACGCCGTCTGCGGGAACCCCGTCCGGTCCACGCCCAGGTCGTCCTTCAGCACGTCAAACGACAGGCAGGGCCACGCGTACTGCACCGCGTGCAGGCACGGGTAGACCGAGTTGTCGGGCACAAGCTGCTCGTCCGCGTTCATTGCGACGCCGGGGAGGTACGTCTGCTTCTTCGGCTCGGGCGCGTCCTCGTCCTCGGGCGCATGGGTGAATTCTGCTGTCAGCATGGCGGAGTGGAGCTTGGGCTCGCTGCGGAGCCTGCAAGCTCGCAGGCCCTGCAAGGCATAGCTCGCAAAGCTTGCGAAAGTGGCGCTATCATGGCGCACGCTGGCAGCTGCAGCCGCACTCACCGTCCTCGCCGTCCTCGTCCATCGCGTCGCCGTCCACCACCTCCTCCTCGATCTCGTCCTCCCACCGGTCCTCGAACTCGCCCATCTCGTCCTCGCCTGCCGCGGGGCGCGCAGTCTCCTGTCCTCGCGCTGCCGCCTTGGAGGGGGTAGTCTCGTCCTCTGCCGCACGCTTCTTGTTCATGGCGGCTTTTAGTGTGGTGTGTAGAGTGAGGAAACACTGACGCAGTGGCCACCCAACATCAACTTTTACGGGACGACCGTGGGAAACCTGTTTTCCACTCCGCCTTCTCCTTCCTCTGTTCTTTCCGTCTCCGATCTCCGATATCCAAACCACTATATCAACCATGCTTCTCGCGCGCCCGCTCGCGCGCACGCCGCTGGCGCTCGACGTCGGTCTGCGCGCGCTCTCCGTCTCCTCGCCCGCGCCGAGCTTCGCCGATCTCGCGCGCATCACGTCCTCCCCGCCCTCGTCCTTCTCCGTCGCCCTGCCCCCCACGACGTCCGAGGCGCGCGGCTACGCGCCCGGCGCGATGGCGCTGCGCGCCGACCCCGTCCTCGACCTCTTCACGAACATGCTCATGCGGCACGGCAAGAAGGCCGAGGCGCAGCGGCACGCCGCGTCCGTCCTGGCGATGTTGCAGGCGGCGACGAACAGCCCGCCGCTCCCGCAGCTGCACCGCGCGATCGAGCTCGCGAGCCCGTCCGTCAAGCTGCTGTCGATGCGCAAGCGCGCGAAGACGATCATGACGCCGCGCGCGCTCAACGAGCGCCAGCGTACGCGGACCGGCATCAAGTGGCTCCTTAAGGCGGCGGAGCGCGGGCGCAAGGGTGGCGTCAGGCGCGACGACCGCGTCGCGCGCGAGGTGCTCGCTGTCCTTGATGGGAGTAGCGATGTGTTCAAGCGTGTGGAGGAGGTGCACAAGATTGCTATGCTCCAGCGGTGGGTACTAGAGTTGGGGAGGGGGTTTGGGAAGCACGGGCGAGAGTGCTTCTGCAGGCGCGGCGGAAAGCGTTCGCGACGGCTGCAATGCTCTCCCCGGAGCTGTGTAGTGTCCTTCCTGTTTGTCGGCCACGCCTTGAGCACCTCGCCTCAGCCTGAAGCCATCACCATGTCCGCTGCATGTCTAGATTACTTCGTCCTCACCTCCAAACCCCCACACCCCATCACGACCTCGCTGACTCCAGCTCCAACATCAACGCGCGGTAACCGACCACTCCGATAGAGACGATGCATACACTACAACAGCACAACACAACATTTGGTAAGATCATGATCGTGGGTGGTTATTGAGGACGGGTTCACTTGTTGTCCCAGTTGTCGCCAAACTCCCTGTCCGTCAGTGTCGCGCAAGGCTGCCGCGTGCAGAGGCGCCGCAGGTCATGCGTTGCTCACACCACACCCCCACTCACCACTTGTAACAGTCGACACACGTCGACTCGGACTTGGCCCTGGGCACGCCGCCATGCTTCTCCCAGTCGGGGTTCTTGGGCTTCTTGGGGTCCTTCTTGCCCCACCGGCCCCACGGGAACCAGTTGACCCACCCAGTGCCGGGGTCGGGAATATCATCGTCGTCATCGTCGTCGTCCCAGCCACCGCCTCCACCGCCTCCACCACCTCCCTCACCTCCATCCCGGCCTTCGTCGTCGTCTTCATCCTCGTCGCCCACTGGCCACGGGTCCGCGAGCACCTTGTTGATGACTTCACCGATCCGGTGTGTCCGCACGTCCACGCTCCATCCCTTGACAGTCACCGTGTCGTACAAGATTGTCAAGCCCGTGTGGCACTTGGCCTCAAGCGCGAACCCTGCCGCATAGCAACCAGAGTACGCGCCCGTGCACGCGCCCATGGGGATCGGGTCGGCTGTGTGGTACACGTGTGTGATGCCGGACTTCTCGGGGGGCACGGCCGGCGGCTGCGGGAGATGCAGGCGGCGCGCGGGAAGGCGGTCGCCGGGTGCCTCAAAGCCAACGGCAGGCGCACCAAAGGAGAGACCGATGAGAGCGGCAAGAGACCCGCCGAGCTGGGGTCAGTGCTGGGTGGCGATAAGGTGGTCGCGTCACTTGTGATGGTCACGCGTTGCGCGCCGCGTCGCACGCAGTCCCACACATGTACTCACCGAGTGCCCAGTCAGCCAGATGTTCGCGTTGGGATACATGTACGTGACGTTGTTGTAGAGGTTGGTGCCGACTGTCGCGTACACGCTCTCCTCGACGAGAGCCTTCTCGAGGCACGTCTGCTCGCACTTGTACCCGCCGGCATAGCAATCGCACACGGGTGACCACGAGAAGTCGACGCGTGCGCAGCAGCACGAGAAGAGAAGGTTGTCCTGCTATCAGCGACGTTCCTGTACAGTGGGAGATAAGGAGCACCTCTCACTCACGTTGAATTTGTCATTCTTTGAAGTCGGTCCGCCGCTACCGAGCACGCCCGCGCTGGTGCCTTTGATGGCGATAACAACGGTAGAGTTTGTCTCGTCAGCAAAGACGTGGCCGCGCAGCCCGTCCGCGTCCGGCTCCCATCCGAACTCGGTGCCGTTGTTGCTCCCGTTGATCGGGTACCACCCGTAGTCGTCGTGCTGGGAATACGCGTTGCTGGCCATCTTGGCGAGCGTAAGCAGAGTCTGGCGGTCCGTGATGTCGGGCATCTCGACCTCGACGTCCTCCCACCCGCCCTCCCACTCCATGCTGGGCGCCGCCCAGCCGTTGACGGTCGCGTTGCCACCGGCGGCACGGGCGTGCGCCGAGCGCGCCCAGCTGAGGATCTCCGGGGGGTGGGAGGAGGGACGCCGGATTGTACTCCGGCGCGTGCGGACGACCATGTCGTTGGCGAGGGAGGCGACGGACTGGACGGACGCGGGCGTGTCCGCGAACAGGAGGGGCGCGGAGCGCGAGAGCGAGTGCGCGTGTGCGTGCCGCGGGGTGAAGCTTAGGCTCTGCGGGGGGGGCTCCTGCACGGCCTCGAAGACGAGGGGCGCGAGGGAGGTGATGAGGGGAATCCTCATGATGTGAGGAGTTGATTGTGGTGATGGATAGCGGCTGTCGAAGTGAGGCTATGTGTGATTGAGTGACTGTGACTGATAGTGGAGCGCGAGTTGCCACCCAAGCTCCATGCATCATGGGGCAGCGGAAGCAATTCCGCGTCCCAATTAGGATGATGGGATCTGCTAAGCAGGGTAATTAGCTATATACAGCGATCTGGGTCACGTCACCGTGGCCCCTTCGCTCTCTTTCTCTCTGTCTCTCTCTTTCTCTTATGCTCTCTTCTCCTCCTCCTCCATGTCCCCCTCCGCCCCTCCAGTAGACGTTCCCGGCCTCCCGCCTCTCGAGTGGGGCTTCCGCCCCGGGCGCGCCTACGCCGACGCAGGCGTCCTCGTTCTCCTCGCCTACGCCTCGACCGACTGGGTCGTGGACCCCCTCGGTGCCCCGCCTGTCCTGTCCGCGTGCCCGCTCGGGTTCGCCGCCCCACAGACTTTCAGCCTCAGCGCGCGCGTGAGCGTCAGTGGAGCGCGCACGACATTCGATGCTCCCGCCCTCCTCGTTTGGCGCGACGAGAAGCACTGGGGCAAACTCTGCTTTGAGCGCGCCCCAACCGGTTCTGTCGGCCCCGTCAGTGTCGTCACAGACGGCGGCACGAGCGACGACGCCAACGCGTACACTCTTGAAGGCGAGGAAGGACACATGTGGCTGCGCCTCAGCCGCGTTGGTGTATGCACGTTTGCGTTCCACGCTTCGCGCGACGGGCGCTGGTGGGATTTCGTGCGCATCTTCCGCCTTTCCGGCGGCGACAGCGGCTCCGATCAAGGCAGTGAATCCAAGTGGCGGGTGGGGTTCCTTGCCCAGTCGCCAACTGGGCCAGGATGTGCGGCGCGCTTTGAAGACATCCGCCTCGGCGCTGCTCCCACCAACCTGCGCGATGGGAGCTAGCGACGCAGTTATGAACAAACCGGTTGCCGACGGGCGCCGAACGGCATGCATGATGCATGTGGACACGCTTGTTGGCCGGTAGCTGGGCGGATGTGCGGCTGCCGGCCCTGCACTGTTTCACGTGGTGACGTGCTCAGCGGCCAAGGCGCGATTAGATCAAGATCTAGGACCCCCTCGGCGATCGGCTACCTCGCTAGCTCGTCGCGTCCGCCATTTCGTCATTGACAGCACTCTCCACTGCATCAATGGCGCCCGCCGTCGACTCTGCATGGCCTCAAGATGAAAATGCATGGAATGACTTGAGCGCTCAGCACAAGGTATGCTATTCTGGGCCCCCACCGGGAGTATATCGCGGGCGCCGACCGGGATCCGCCCACAGGCACTGCGGGCAGTGGGCGCGCGAAATCATTGTGATTGAAGGACCTTGGCGGCCAACTGCGGCACCCGAAAGTGCGCCCACCTCCCTCCGCGTTCACGCCGTCGCCGAGGCCGAGGGGAGGGCCGACATTGGCTATAGCGGCCCGACTTTGCTCTGCAATTCACTCTTCCGCACGTCCTCTCATCCCCCATCTCACCATCGCCCACTCCCGCCATGTCGAGCTCCCCGACATGCTCGCCAACGGCCAGCGTTAGCGCAATGGAGACGGCGCACACCCGTCTAGCCACAGAGCTCCCCATCGAGAGCTACACGCTCCCTCGTCGTCCCTGGCGCCGCTACGTCACCTCGTTTGAGGATATCCTCGACCACCACTACAAGGGCGCAGGCACCGAGTCTGATCCATACGTCGTCGACTGGCTACGCGACGACGCGGAGGATCCACAGAATTTCCCCGCCTCCTACAAGTGGTTTCAGGTCGGGTTGACATCGCTTCTGACTCTGGCGGTGACACTTGCATCTTCGGGGTATGCGGGTGGCATCAAGTCGCTCATGATTGAGTTTGGCGGCAGCTCGGAGCTGTGGGTCGGCGGTGTCTGTGAGTGTTGCCGGTCAATCACGCCGCGGGACAGGTGTGCGGGCTGGTGCTCTGGGCAGGCTATTTCATGCCAATCTCACGCCACTCACCTGCTCGCCACATCTGCACGCCGCATTTGCTGACCCTAGCCCTCTTTGTCCTTGGATTCGCCTTCGGTCCTCTGCTATGGGCCCCCACATCCGAGGTCTTCGGTCGCCGCATCGTCTACCTCGTTTCGTGCTTCTTCCTCACCCTCTGGCTAGCCGTGACCATTGTCGCACCCAACCCCGCCGCTATCCTCGTGTTCCGCGGGCTCTCGGGCTTCTTTGGCTCGTCGCCCCTCACCAATGCCGGCGGCACCGTGTCCGACCTCCTCACAGCCGAGCAGCGCGGCATCGGTATGGCTCTCTTCTCCGCAGCACCGTTCCTGGGTCCTGCCCTTGGCCCAATCTCAGGCGGCTACATTGGTGACGCTGCGGGGTGGAAGTGGGTGATGGGCTTCCTTGCCATGTGAGTCCCCCCCCTCCGTGTTAGCTTTGGGCGTTACTGATGATAGCCTCTGCGGAGTGGTGTTCGTCGTCCTCGTCCTCTTCACACCCGAGACCTATGCCCCGACTTTGCTTCGCCAGCGAGCCGAGCGCCTCTCCAAGGCCACGGGCAAGGTGTACCGCTACCGCGGTGATGCGCAAAAGCCGCTCGAGGTCATCCCTCTCTTCCGTGCTGCTTTGCTACGCCCATGGCGCTTCCTGCTCGAGCCAGTGGTGCTGATCCTGTCGATCTACATCAGCATCATCTATGGCACGCTCTACCTCAACTTTGCGGCGTATCCGATCATCTTCCAGCAAATGCGCGGCTGGTCGAGTGGCGAACAGGGCCTTGCTTTCCTCGGCATTGCCGGCGGCGTCGTCATCGCCATCACCGTTGTTCTTCTCATGGTGAACAAGGCTTACGTCAAGGCCAGCCAGCAGAAGGGCACCCCGCCGCCTGAGGAGCGCCTTCAGCCCGCGTTCATGGCTGGTGTCATCTGCGTGGTTGGTCTCGCGGGCTTTGCGGCGACGTGCGGGCCCAACGTGCATTGGATCGCCTCAATTCTCTTCGGGATCCCCTTTGGCTTTGGCATGGTTCTCATCTTCCTCTCGACAATGGGTTACCTCGTCGACAGCTACACCATATATGCGGCGAGTGTGCTAGCTGCCAACTCGGTGTTGCGCTCGCTCTTTGGCGCTGCATTTCCCCTCTTCACTCCCAAGATGTACGAGCGTCTTGGTGTGCACTGGGCGGCAGCCATCCCGGGCTTCCTGGCTTTCGCGTGTGTCCCCTTCCCCCTTATCTTCTACAAGTACGGCGCCGCCATCCGTGCGCGCAGCAAGTACGCAGCGGATGCTGAGCGCACAATGAAGCGGCTCACAGAGGAGCGCCGCGCCGAGCTCGAGGAAGAAGAGGCCGCTGGGAAGAGCGGTGACCTGTACGTTGCGGGAGGGGAGAAGCCGGCCCTCGGCCGCGTCAAGACGGGGGCGTCCATCACGCGTCCTAGCCATCCTAAGAATGACGCGTGGATCCAGTGGCGGGTTCTGGCCGAGCGCGATGAGGTGGACCTATCGGACGAGCAGCGGATGAGCGTGCAGCAGGGTGCACGCGAGTTTGCGCCGTACCATCATCCATCGAGCGTGTAGATGCAGCGGCCGGACGGACGGACAGCAGACATAGACAACATACAACAGAGACCACACATGCATAGTATAGTTTGTGTTTGTGGCTGGGCGAGGCGAGGCAAGCGGCGGCAGCGGCGGCAACTAGTACTTCCGACCACTCGTGTTTTTACTAGAGCCCACCTGTACACGCCTAGTATAGTAGGCACGCTTTCCTATTCAGACGCCTATTCGTGATACATACGAGCCTAATGCAAGGAGACGCCGCGCCGTCTATGGTGGCTTGAACGCCCATTTCCACGACGCCGACGACGGAACATGCATGGAGCCCTTCAGACACTGTAGCCACAGCCTGTGGCTATCAGTAGATATCAGATACATGCATGTAGATGTCGATACAGGATAGATATTGATTTCAGAATGACGTCTACAAGGCGCCATACGTCCCATACCGTGGGTAGTGATACATTTGGCTCGCAAAGAAGTCTGACGCTTGCGTAGACTGCGTATAGAACGTTCTAGACG